TATTTAGTTAACCCCTAGTGCCTCACCTTAACACCTTAAACCGAGTCAGCAAAATAACAAAATTATTACACATTTTACATCCGTGTTTACATTGTTTTATTGTATTGGAATAGTCTCTTTATATTTGAAAACATTAATATTTTATACTTTGTTTGCCTGTGGCACGTGAAACCTGAAAACACAGAGTTGAAAACAGGACAAATTGCGGGATGACATTTTGTTGTGTTTGTTATATTCGTCACTTTATAGAAATGATAAAGTTTAATTTTAATGGGTTTGGTATCTACCGGTTTTGTGATAAGATCCTCATGTGTTGATAAGCTTTCTTTACCTACTTCATCTCCTTTGCAAACATTATCATTATTATTGAACGTTAATGACCTTTACCACATATAATCACATTATCTTCCATCTTGTGCAAATATATAGTCGTTTTATATTGTATTCAAATTTGTTTGATAATGTAAAACAAATGAACATGAACCCCGATAAAAAAATGAAATAGAAGCCGAAGGAGTAGAAAAATGAGAAGAATGAAAAGACGAAGACAAAAGAATGGAAGATGAAGAGATATAAGAATAGGAAGAAGAAGTAGTAATGAAAGGGGAAGATGAAGGGATATAAGAAGAAGAAGAAGAAGAAGAAGAAGAAGAAGAAGAAGAAGAAGAAGAAGAAGAAGAAGAGGAAGAAGAAAAATGAAACAGGTAATATGTAATAGAAAAACATTCAATTCAAGGAGAAGTATGAAATATGGAGATGGCATAGAGAGAAAGAATTTAGAGAGAAAGAGAGGGGGAGACTGACAGACAGACAGCCAGTGGGACAGAGAGAATGAGAGAGAGAGAGAGAGAGAGAGAGAGAGAGAGAGAGAGAGAGACAGTGACATCCTAGAGAGAGAAGGAGTTTGAGAGTGCGAGAGAGAGAGAGAGGGAGTGAGAGAGAGGGGAGAGGCAGAACGAGAGGGGGATAATGAAATAGAAGAGAAGAAGAGAGGAGAGAGACACAGAGAGAGAGAGAGAGAGAGAGAGTTAGAGAGAAAGAGAGGGAGGGAGAGGAAAACGTTTTTTGGATTACGAGTTGCAAAGCTTGAAACAAAACCTTATTTGTACACAGGATGTATTTTGGGAGCAAAGTTCACTCTGTTGTTAAGAATATTGAGTTAAATTGATTGTGCAATAACATTTAACCTACTTCTCTTTTGCCTTTATTTCGCTCCGGCTAGCAAAGTTGTGCAAGAAATAGGCACATAGTTATAAATATGTTTTATTCTAATGATCTAATAAAGTGCATGCAAATCCCGCGGAGGGAAACTAAAATAAAATTGATACAATATTTGAAATTATCTGATACAGTGTTTCTCCATAAAAGGTTTTGATTGTTTATATGATGACTTCCAGTGGGATTTTAACGCGGTATTTGATTTCTTTTCTATATACATTAGGGAGCTTATAATCACGATCATGTGTGTTTTTGTTTTCCTATTGGAAACTATTTAGGACTGGGCTGTCATATCGTAACGCTTCTATAAAGAGTGACTCTATCTTTCAAAGCTAAATAGCGCCGTCTCTCTGCGTGTCGGCACTCAACAATACTCGTGATTGATAAAATATAAATGAAGACAAAAACCTAACTAAAAAAACTATATTCTTATCATTCTTATCAAAATAGATTTGTTAACCGCACATAAAAGGGTAATGTAAAGTATGAAAAGAAAAGAAAAAGCAGCATGGCAAATAAGCATTGTTTCCATCTTCTATGACCTTATCTGAAAAATACAAACACGGTAATACAATTATTTAGCTCCTTAGTGGTGCCTCTATGGGTTTGTCAATATTGATATTGCATTCTGTTCGCGTCATTGAACTTCTCGACATTTCCATTTAGTGCGGGTATATTGAAGATAAAAAGACGAAACTCAAAAATAAAACCACTATTTATATCAGGTTTGGAGTAAGGGGATGCGACTGATGTTAAAAGGGGAAAACCAAAGAACAATAGAATAAAGAAGACATCAGTTAAACAAATACATCGCTCATCCGGCATTGTTCAAACAATTAATCAACTTTATAAAAGTTCATTCCTTCTTTTATATTGTGACTTAGTCCGTTTTCTATCCTTATAATCACCCCGAATTAGACGTATAACGAATTTATACCAAATTCCAATTGTGTATAACAATGAGAGCCTCTGTGATTTATGTCTTATAATTGAAGCATTTGCTGAAATTTATTCAAAACTTTTGTTAAGAATGGACGATTATTGCTTTGTCAAAGAATCATAACAGCTACTTTCGCATTTCATCCAATCCAAGGCCTAACAGTAACACATCACTTGTTTTATACAATCCTCACAGGCTCACTGTATCAATACAAAATGAGTGGTTCTCCTCTCTTTCATGGGTAATTAAAGATTGGTTCGTTTTCGAGTTGAATCAACTCCTGAAGGCCCGGTTACACAGAGGGGACGCATGGGGGGGGGGGGGCGCATGGCCGGCGCATTGAAAAATCGGGAAAAGTCGTGATTCCGACTTTTGTCAGGATTTGGGAGAAGCTAGCGAGCTGACACCGAATGCATAGCGTGTTGCATAGCGTGTTGCTAGCGCGCTGCGCGTATACAGGGCGTGTGCTCCACGTACGGCTGGCGTTGGTCTAGCGCGCTCCGCGCATGTTTGGCGTCCCTTTGGCGTGTATATTCATGCGTCGAGCTCCGCGCACACTTTTGAGCATGCTTAAAAAAATCCCGACGCACACAGCGAATGACGACGAATGCATAGCGCTGGTCCAGCGTTGGTCCAGCGCGCTCGACAAACGAGTAACGAATGATGACGCACACCTAGCGAACGACAACGCACTGGCCAAAATTGCACATTTTCAATGCGCTGGCCGTGCGTCCCCCATGCGTCCCCTCTGTGTGACCGGGCCTTAAATGGTGGCTTTATTGACTATTTAAGAGTATGTTTCACTCTTTTATTTTGGTGTGAAAGGTAACTCCAAAGATAAGTGTCCCAAATGACTCCTTAAAGAACGGAATCCAGCTCAGGGACATAACGGTTACATTAAAATTAATGAAGAACATTCTTGAGCAATTATGTCGCATTATTGAGTGTAACATTAGTGCTGCGACTGGGGTTCAAACTGCGAACCATGTGATCATGTCTAAGAAAGACTTAGTCATCGCACGTGCGTAATAAAAATCAGTTGCATATATCCGGCATGAAACGAAACCAGGCGAACATTCCCCGTTTTTGGAAAGCCCCCCCCCCCCCCCCCCCCCGAAAGAAAAAGAAACCATAATCCTGATAATGCATGCTTTCGCATGTAAGACTGCCCTAGCATATCCCATCTTTTCTTGGAGGAGGCTGCCTTTTTTCCCCTTCTATTTGTAGTTTACGCCATTGGACAACATAGCCCAGAATAATTCCGTCATTCTCGTCAAACAGACCGTCGAAAAATCACTACCGATAAGCACACCTTGTTCTGCATTGAATTGCAAATAAACCACCTTGAGAAGCGGCGACCCAGGATGTTGTCGATGAAGCAAGATCCGTGTTAACGAAAAAACAAAATGAAGAGGGAGTCAAAAATAATCAGGTTTAAGTCGTACGTGTCTCAATACAAATTTAATTATGATAATGAGCTGGTTTGTGCACAATGTAATTAAAACAAATCACAATTCACTCCATTTTATTGTTGACGTTGTAATGGTGTAATCTACACACGACAACAGATTCATCACGTGACCCTACTGCAGTTATATCAAGGGGACAAAAGGCATAGGAAACAACAAACAAATAATCATTTACTCCACTTTATAAAGTGATCCAAAAATATAGCAAAACGAATATTAACATTTTGGAAACTTCCATCATGCAATGATAGTCTACACTTTACGTTTGAACATTTCGAAACATCTTTTCCCATTACTCACGATTCCACTTCCAGGCTGCATTTAATGATAAACTACGAATAGCTCTCAGGGTCATCGGCGCATTTACACATAATATATACACATCATTAAAGTGTTAGTATTGTAAATACACTGACCGACTCATCGCGACATAAATAAACCCGAATGTGCGGCCAAAGCTTACCAATCACTATTATACCTTTTTGGTGGATCTTTCTCCAAAATAGCTGTTCTTGGGTAATTTTTATTTTTTAATTTTTTAATATTAAGTAGGACGTTGGTAAACGGAGGAATAGGATGAAGAACAAAAAGGGAAAGGATTAGAAAAGGAAGGAAGGAAGGAAGGGGAGAAAGAAGAAGAATTTATAGTAGTATTAGAGCAAGAACAAGAAGAAGGCGAAAAGAAAAACGGAAGAAAAAGAAAAAGAATAAGAAGGAAACAAAGAAGGAGGAGAAGAAGAAGGGGAAGAAGAAGAAGAAGAAGAAGAAGAAGAAGAAGAAGAAGAAGAAGAAGAAGAGGAAGAAGAAGAGGAAGAAGAAGAAGAAGAAGATGAAGAAGAAGAAGAAGAGGAAGAAGAAGAAGAAGAACTAGAAGAGGGGGTAGAAAAAGAAGTGAAGAGGACGGAGAAGAAGGGAAAGAAGAAGAAGAAGAAGAAGAAGAAGAAGAAGAGGAAGAAGAAGAATAAGAAGAAGAAGAAGAAGGAGGAGAAGAAGAAGAAGAAGAAGAAGAAGGAGAAGAAGAAGAAGAAGAAGAAGAAGAGGAAGATGAAGAAGAAGAAGAAGAGGAAGAAGAAGAAGAAGAACTAGACGAGGGGTAGAAAAAGAAGTGAAGAGGACGGAGAAGAAGGGAAAGAAGAAAAAGACTAAGAAAAAGAGATATCGGAGAGACATAATACGGAGAAGGAACCAAGTGGGGAAGTCCATACACAAAACTACACACGAAATACACCTCTCTCATGGCCAAGTTTAGAGTCTATTCCACACCAAACCTCTTCGCGCATTGCTGAGAACAATCCGACTCTTATCTAAGTAATAATGAGTTCTTGAATTAACATGACGTGCTAATCTCTAGTTAATAAACAACCAGGATGGGTGTTTCGGGTCAAAGACTAAAGAAGTTAGTTACAAAGTAAACAAGAATCCTAGAAGGAGCTGTTACGAGAGCCACCTACATCCCATTACGGGCGCCTTCAGCAAGCAAATCAAATTCCTCGGTAATTTTCTTTTTTTATATCAACAACGAAAAATTGGAAAACAGAAAGAATCACAGGATCTTCAAATGTTGTGTCAATAAAGAACTAAAAATCAAGTCGAACCTGAACACCTTGGCATCCAATATGGACGCACGTGTTAGGATCTCGTAGCAGCCGACTCAATGACACAGGATACATTTAGTAAACGTGTAAATTGAATATTTGACCGCTTTATATCTTGCTGTGGCTGGGTTATAATTCGCAGGAACTATATACATATTCTTATCTTTATACCGTTGGGGTTTACGCTTTTCTCTTCTTTTTGGGGGACTATTCTTTTCGAGAACGAGACCGGATGTGCGGCCTGATCGATGTTGAAATGGTGGACTAGCGGAGATCGTCTGGCACAGAGGAAAGCCAGGGAGACCCAAAACATGAGTGTCCGAGGTTCGAAACTCAGTCCCATTACGATCGTCTTGATTTCAGTCCTTCTATCAGGTATTGTTTCTTTTTCTATTCCCCACTGCATATTCTCTGCGAATTAATCAACTGTATTATATATTATTTAGGCTTACATTTTTACTTTTATGCCGGTTATCCAAAGGCTGCCTCTGAACCAAATTCTGAAATTTTTGTAACATGAGGGCGATCAATTAGTTAACCAACCTTTCTGTTTTTCACTTTGCTTCATTGTAAATGAAAAAGAGATGAAAATAACATAAACATTAAACTATACTTGTATTCGTTGTACTATATCATCGAAGCCCATGTCTGTGCGATGTTAATACCCCACTACTAAGGGAGCAATGTTAATATTGACTGTGTAGGTTGGGCACATGTCAGTATTCTAAGACATTGCTTCAGTATTCTAAGACATTATATGCATGATATTTGCTTGAAACCAATGTTAAATTCAAGGAGGATGACGTTACTGAGCAACATATACATATATATCTTTTTATAATCGAATGATTAATGATCAGTTGCGATTAAATTCATTATTCATTATTTAAAACACTTGTGAATAATTGACTGCGGTTTTCTGAAGGTATTTTTCTTTGCTTCATGCTGTCATTTGTCACTAGTGCTAAATGACTCGTATTTCTCGTTTGTCAGACGTGTAGATTGACATAAATAATTCATGCGCAACAATGCTCTTTTGAAGCACAAAGCTTTTACAAAATTACCCATTTTCTGTATTAATTACCTACATGACAACCCTTTTAACACCGATTAGTTATACATAAGGAAAATATTCACATTGTCTTGAAGTCTTCGGTATTGATATCCAAAAAGAAACATAGGAATGTGGCACAGGGAGAACAATTTCGCGAGGCACATGAAATGCTTTTATCTAGAAAATGTCCATCATTTTATGAAATAAGTTTTCAATTAATCTAGACAACAACGAAATTTGAAAATGAAATCGGCGTCTTTAGGTATTATTTGCCCCCCCCCCCCAAAAAAAACATATATACTGAAAAACGTGAACCAATAATATGCATATATCCCCTACCGATTGCCATATTTACCGATGGCAGAGAAACATGATCACCGGTTGTAGAAAATGAATATAAATATAAATACTGTCTGTACTTTAAGTGTTGAAACTTGTACATACTAGTACACAAAATTCATCACAATGCCCCAAGGCCACAGCAGTAATAGGCATGGTGGGCAATATATCGACCAGGGTTGCTATCGTTTTTCCACATAACCTATTCCCCCGCCCCCTCCCCCCTCCCCCACAACAAAAATGAATAAGTAAATGGGGAACGGAAGAAACAAGTGAGACGCAATCTCAGTCATTCTACCGAAAACAGTGAAATCATTTAGTAAGTGTTGAGCTTGGTGGATTGATTTCGCTAATAAAATATAATTATGACGTAACTATTCCAAAGAGACAAACTCACTACCGGACTACCATATGACGGTTGCCTGAAGATTTGTAGTTTAAGTTTACTGGGAGGGGGGCAGTCCTTAACGACCGCCTCGTACATCGATTACTCTAATTATCATCATTCTTGAAGGTATATCAGGCCTGTTATGATTTTAAGTATGTAATATTATATTCATATGCAAGTAATGCGTATTTCATCTAGAGATCCCTATAGAAATTCTAATACCTCTCAATGTCACGTAGCATAGCAGACGGTAAGGCGCTATATCTCGAGTACGTGTTCCTGCTTTTGTTAAATGTTTTTAATTATAATTGCAGCAAAAGGAACACATAACCAAAATATAATGGCACTTTATTTTTAACATAATGACACTATTGGACAATATCATTCAATATCATTGCGTATATTCCAACTCGTTACACCAATACGCCCCGTGCTGCGAACCGGTGCCCGACACCATCGGCCCGGGAAAAATGACGGGAGAATGAGACCAGCATGTCATATATTTGAAGCGTTATATTGCATCTACATGTAACTCTTAAACGGTGTAGTGTACATGATGGCAGGATTTTAATTTTCTATTCATATGAACAATTGTTTTTCTACAAAACCACTTCTAAAAATTATCTCTGTTTCTTTTCATCGCCACAGGCCAATTCTTTGTTGGGATTACAGGACAATGCGGTAAGTTTCATTTAATGTGTCAATTCTTCAGCGGGTATTTTTTTTAAATTATTGATTAACTAATTAATATATTCATTAATTATTAATGAATATCATTGAGATTATTTTTGTTTGATTATTAGGAGTAGTCGTAGGACTATTATCATTACTTGTTATCGTTCTCATACTAATGCACTGTTTCATGACCTCAAATTATTGAATGTTTTCAAATTGCATAAATTATCTATTTGTACTTTTGTGTTTGATTTGATTAATCAAAGATTACCTCATTCCTTAAAACATTATTGCAGTATGATACAACGTGAATATTCCACAAGACAAAAAACGGGTCGACAATTACGTCTTTCTTTATTCAAAACAGACCAAGGAAAGTTTTTTGTTTCGTTTGTTGGAAGTAATTTTTGGAATATATGCTTCCTACTGATCTAAGAATTGAGAGATCAAGAACCTCTTTTCGTAAAAAACTTACAAAATTACTCTTAAGTGAAAACCACGAATTTTAATATTATACACACATCTTATTTATAAGATTTGGAAACCCATCATTTATTTTAGGCTTTAAATAACGAGAGTCAGACTCGACTAGCACATGTGCTATTTCTGACTTTATTTTACCATCGATCACAAACTAATTGTATAGTCATTTATTGTTTTACTCTTGAAGCCAAGTTAAGTTTATATTTGTCACAATGTACATGTATATCGCTGTAGAACATGTATTTTTTTTATAATTCATGTCATGCATTTATGTTATATTGACATTGTCATTGTACATTTATCTTTTGTTTCAATGTTTTCAATGGTGGTGAATAAATCAATTCAATTCAATTCAATTCAGTAATATTAGTATTATTAGTATCATTATAGCTTTTCATGGCCAATTTTGCATCTTTGCCAATCCAATTCATTTGTTGTTCATTCAATTTAGCTCACTGATTACCTCCATAGAGTTAATGGTAACAGTAATTCATGATCGGTGCATTCAAGTACGCATTGTAAGTGATGTCGAAATACCGCCTTTCGAACATTCAAATTCATTTTGGAGCAACCAAATTAGCATTTCGCTCAATAAAATTATTTACTACTTTGTAAATTATTTCCTATTTTAAATAAATCAAAGCGTGTACTACAGTATTGCTTGGTTTAAGTTGGCATAAACTTTAAACGTATACCAAAATGATTTAATGATAAAGATATGTGAATATTTGAATTCAAGATTATTTATTTGTGTGTATTTGTAAGGGCGTGTACAAATGTAAAAATAATTGGATAAAGTCTCTTTTATTGCTATTTGAATGGGTTCATAAAGAAAGAAAAAAGTCCCCTCTGATTTTAATGAGCGTCAAGAAAATGATAATAGGGAACTCTTAATTGCACACATGAAGACAAAAAATAAGTGCACAATGGTTTAACAATATTCATACTCAGTAGTGTTCCCCGGCAAATAATTAGTGGGGATATATTTTTAACTTTGAATGACGCCCACCATGAGCACACCATCTCCGCCACCCCCGCCCCCCCCAAAAAAAAGATAATAATAATAACTTTAAAAAATAATGATGATGATAAAATATGATGATAAAACATTGTTCTTATTTGGTGGAGGGGGTCGAGCATTATCATCACCATCTAATGTAGGTATTTGAAGTGAATAGAATAGGAAAAATATAAAATATATTTATAAGGTCTTCATTTATCCTACCATGTTAAAAGTGCGTCTGATATTGACAATGGAATAAAATAAATCACAATCATTTCATTTGTAGGGAATTAACAAAAATAAAGGTAGGAGTCTACCTAAACAACATTCCTGTTAACTCGAATGAACTTTTTGAAAAACTTGCTGCCCATTTGCGAATATGAATGCCCGATTGTACCTTTTGGAAATTACCGACGAATTTGAATGAACCTTGGCACACGCGCTAGATGGAATGAAATTGAATGATAAAAGGGCGAAATCAATTGCCAGATACTCTTAATTGATTAACTGTTATGCAATTTGTATTGAAAGTCTCGGAAGACGACGGTATTTGAGCTTAATTGAATGAACTCTTTTCAATATGACCGAAAAAGCTGTGAGATTGGCCGAAAAAAACCTATATTAATATTATATTTTAGAAATTATTAATATTAATGTTATCATTATTATCGATGTGGTAGCTGAATTTGTATTATCATTACTAACAATATTGTTATTATTATGATTATCATTATAATTACTATTATTATATTTATTATTATTATTATTATAATTATTATCATTATTATAATTGTTATTATCAAATCATCATCATCATCATTCTCATTATTTCTATCAACATCATTAATGTCATTATTTTGTTGTTGTTATTGATTTTAGACCCACGACTGGAATTCCTTGTCTGACTTTGAAACTCTCATTCATATTATTTGTATATACATGTATATTCATTGTGTTTTATTTCACCATTAAACAGATACTGGCTGCTCACCCCCTGAAATAGATGGTGGTGGGACACCGGGTTTCTCTCCGGATGAGGACTGCTACGATACAGGGTCAAGTGTGAACGTCACCTGTAGTGGATATCTATTTGGAATAACGGAAGTTGGCGTGTGCGTATCAGCGGGATACTGGGACGCACAGTTCCCACCAACCTGCGAGGGTAAAGAAAGCAATACATTTATGGCATTATATTTCCTTTTGCCTCTAACACAATCGCGAAGGCTTTCAAAAAATCAACCTAACTCAATTTAACTAGCATTTTTCGTCACCCATTGAATGCATTACAAAGGTATTTTACGTTAAGTCAGACATGATTTCTATTGGATACACTTATGACAATCGGGGTACGGAAATAGCCTTTGAGTTGATTTCTTGAAAGTATAGCCATCATAAAGCTCATGTTCTATGGATTATTCTCACCGTTCAATGGCTATTTTAAAGCCCTACTGTACTACTTGTAGCTACTTGCTCCCTCTACATAGAAACAATGCCTAATCGGTGCCTGTTGGTACCCCATGATCCTCTTTTTCTTATGTTAATTGAGAGCTGAGTTGATGAGATAGACACCCGTCATTGACCTTGCTGGGTGGTCTGATCCCTCCTGTCCACACTAGTACATATGGCCTTTAAAGCTATTGTTACTGTGTATCATTCTATAAAGAGTTATCAAGGTGCCCAACGTATCTTACTCTACTCTAATCTCCAAACTTCCAGGAAGCATCCCTATACTTCTACCTTGTCATACTCGTCTCCTCGTCGATTGTTAACGCGCCCACTGCATCGTAATTACGTTCTCGAATTTATTATGGCGGATATCATGCGCGCTCCGTTATCTAACCAAAATACGATTAAGTAATATTGACTGCCTTCTGGGCGAAACGACACTATACATGTCTAAAGTGATGAACTTGTAAATAATAACCTCTTTATGCTCTATAATAGCTCCTCTCAAGGTCAAGATATGAATTATCTAGAAAACAATGTTTCTTGACTAAAATCGACCGATCGGCTATTCCTGTTTGGAATATATATCACAACTACATATTCCGAGATTGTTATGGTCGCATATTCTACCATTGTATAGTCGTAGGCGCTATTTAAAATGTATCAAAATTTACCGGGTGCACTGGTAAATTTTGATATTAAACTTTCTAGTGCTTATATTACATCCACAGGGGCATCCAAATATATTTTTAAAAATTATAAAGAATCACCATCCAGCCAATTTTCAAAACTTCCCAAAACCATGTTTTACCTTTAAGGCTATGGTTAATATAATATCATATTAAACATTGCGACTTTATCTCTCTTTCTCACTCTCCCTCCTTTTCTCTCTGTCCGTTCATCTGTCTGTCTTTTTTTTCTCTCTCTACCCCCCCCCCCTCTCTCTCTCTCTCTCTCTCTCTCTCCATCTCCATCTCTCTGAAATAGAATCCAGTTGCCCCGTGCCCACTGCTCCCGGAAGCGGCTTAGTAAGCCCGGTAAATCAGAACTCCTTGTACGATGAGATCGTCTTCTCTTGCGACGAGGGCCTGTACCTTGATGGACCGGGAATGGCGGTTTGCATAGGAACAGGTCAATGGTCTCCGACTACGGTCCCAACATGTTCTGGTAAGTACAGAAGCTGTAGAAAGAGATTGTAGAGGTGGTGTGGTCTAGTGATAGGTCTCAGGACTGTGAACCACAGTTTCGAATCCCTGCTCATGTGTACAGTAGTAAATGATTACATCGTAGGATTCATTCCTTGAATGTACTGAGCGCTACCGCGGCCGACGCTAACCTCCAAATTCCTTTAGAAGTGCATGGAGATTTTATATCACAATGTAACATGCGCCATACAAGAACTGCATACAAGAAAAAAGGAGAAATACTTGAAATATTCGATGACGACTCTAATGATGATGGTGATGGTGGTCATAATGATGATGGAGATCATAATATGATGATATTACCCAGGGCCAATATTCATGAAACCTCACTATTGCTAGCTAGTTGTCTACTAATTACATAGGCTGTGGTTTCATAAATTTGAGCCCTGCCTCAGCAGTCCCTACATCTAGCTGTGTTACTTCTAAAACCAACGCTACCAATATTACTCTTCCATCATATACTACTAAGACTACTACTATACTACTACTATTACTAATACTACAACCTCTACGACTATGACGACGACATATTACTACTATTGCTACTACTACTACTACTACTACTACTACTACTACTACTACTACTACTAATACTACTACTAGTTCTACTACTACTACTACTACTACTACTACTACTACTACTACTCCTACCACTACTTCTTTCATTACTATTACTACCAATTTGTCTTTACTTCTCTTTGAAGGAAACTGTACGATTCCCGTTATAACTGATGGAGAAGCTACCTCGTCTGATGACGTACTTCAAGAAGGGAGTCAGATGACAGTCACGTGTTCTGAAGGGTACACTCTGACCGGTGTAGCCGATTTCAGGTGTCACAATGAAGAATGGGACCCGGATGTGGGAGAATGTTTAGGTACTGGGTTTTATCATAATGTTTTGTCATTAAATGTGTGCCATTTAATTACTGTCAACACTTTTTAAAATAACAACATCGATCACTTTAAAGGTGTAGTAATATTTGTAGTGGCTGGACAGAATGAAAGAGGGTTCTTTTTTCACACACCGTTTTTGTGTTCTTAATTGTTTAATCGTATTTCTATCCAATACCTCACTGTAAGATTAATTAATGGATTAGATGAATAAAGTTTCAAATATAAAAAGAAATAATCATCATATATAAGTATTGAACAATTTTTTGAAGTTTTACTGTAGAGTAATACAACTCTTTACTTTCATTCCTCGAACCGTAAGTAAATATTCGTTACAGAATGTCTGGACATCAAGAACCTATCTTCTATTTACCGTGAATCGTTAAACCTGCATACTAGATATTGTGACTATTCATTTCATTATCGAATCTCAGCAAATTGCCCCTCGCCAACCATTACGAATTCGGACTTTGCAACAGACCGAGATGAAACAGACCACGGCGATTACATCATCGTGACCTGCGACGACGGTTTTACTTCCGGGACAGGGGATAATGTATCAGAACCTGTGACCTGCGGAGAGGGGAGTTGGGACGTGGATGTATACTGTTATGGTGAGTATGACGGTGTTGTTTGGGAGCAATATTTCCCCTGTTAATTTTTATGGTTTCAAACATACTTAATCTTAAGTGCAATGGGTCCTACGGGCTATTGTTCTTATATATGTATACATACAGTTGACCCTACCTAAACCATGGGGCCTATGCTTCCCATTGGTCCTACGTGCCAACTGTTGTATGTCTCAATGGTTGTATGTGAAACCTGTCGTATATCTCATTGGTCGCATGTGGCAAAGGACCGACGTCCAATTCGTCCTACATCAGTTTGGAAGGCTAACATTTATCCTAGCCTTAACTTTAAGTTTACCTGAAGTTTAAAACTTCGAGTTATCTGATATTATTGCTAAAAGTATGAACGGGAAAGGATGTCCTCACACAAATTTAGGTACGAGTGGATGTAATTATCGTCGATGTTATGCTTTGTTTAAAACTCCGAGGTTCCACAAAACTTAAAGTTTGTGTCTACGATGCCGTGTGAACATACCGTCTGATAGGTCTTGTCTTTCAACTATTTTCATATTTGTTGACAGCGAATTGTCCATCAATATCAGCCCCTGACCATGGATACATCAACAGCCTCGTTGAGCCGTTCTATCATGGCCGCACCGTCGCTTTCAACTGCAGCCTCGGATTCACATTGGTCGGGGATTCGAGTTCAACGTGCGAAGACGGAAGTTGGTTGAATGCCGTTCCCGAGTGCAAAGGTTTGAAGTCAATCGCATTTCTTCCGTATTATTGTCTTCCTCTATATTCTATTCGTGTTTGTCGAAAAAATGACTGTGTCGATATTAAGCGTAATCTGATATTGTCTCATGACTCGTGATTTCTTATCTATTATAATGGTTGGACCAAAGTCAAATGCGATTGTATCGTAAAACTAGTTAAGAGAACGATGATCATTAACACTTTGGTACTGGCATCGTATTGAAAAGTTCGAAATCAGTATTTTCCTTTTATATACATTACTGGTAATTATTCGATAATGCATAACATATTTGCCTTTGAACGCTTCTTTCTAAAACACTTTTTGAAACCGATTTGTAGTGGTGGTTATTTTACCCTGACTGCTAAGAAAGCACAAATGCTTGTTAGTAAGCAACCAGAGGACCCGGTACTGAGGATTAATGCCTTACCAAAGGGAACTAGCCAATCGCCTTGGTTTCGAACCCGGGTCACCGGATTACGGGACCACTGCTCTACCGACTGAGCTATCGCGCCTCCTTAACATTTTAGGTACCATTTGAAGAAAAAAGTGTCATAAGTTTGTCTTTTAAATGTTGTTATTCACGTAAATATATTTAAAGTAATATGTAACCACTCTATCTTCTCCTGACCCATTTCGTCCTAAATGGGATAACAGAAGATAAGCTAGTAAATGCTTGTTGAATTCAGAAAAATTTATGTAACAGCGTAATAGATAAAATCTTTTTCCTCTTTTTACTTTCAGCCGATTGTCTCGTTCCTTTAATCGAGAACTCCAATCTGAATGATACCACCGACAGCACGTACGTTCCCCATAGTAGTAACACGACGGTCACCTGCGGCAATGGTTATTCGTTCGGGTTCGAATCGGACTTCGATGGCATCCTGACGTGTGATGATGGGATCATGGATGACACCGGAATCGAGTGTCTAGGTCAGTGAACTCCTGATTCGGCGTCGTGCCCCTGAACTATCCTGAATAAGAATTAAGGAGATGGTCATTCCGTTTGTCTCATACGAGAAAAATAATGAAAAGCAAAATACTTCAAAAGAGAGACAGAAAAAAGATAGAAAGGCAATATGTAGAAAGAAATATGTTGAATAATGAGAGGGAAAGGAGTAGAGGAAGTGGAGAAGAGAAGGAGCTAAAGGAGGGAGAGGTGGTCGTGTTTGAGAGACAAAGAGTAAGTTGGGATGACGTTTGCTAGTGAGTATGATTACTGTAAGATTATGTTGAAGGTGAGCATTCTCATTTAAATGCTTAATTGTAATGCTTTATCGGGTTTATGGTACGGAAGAAATAATAAATATGTACAAATAAAGACAAAATGTATTTATCATTTTCATATTCCTTTCAGAGAGTTGTACAAGTCCTACTGTCGCAAATTCCAATAGGGCGGACAGAAGCGAAGCAGTCCTATACGGAGGGTCAATCGTGGTCGAGTGTGACAGTGGCTACAGTTCCGGTTCCGGGTCAGAACAAAACGAAACACTCGTCTGCGAAGGCGGCTCGTGGAACGGAAGCGTATCCTGCTATGGTAACTAGACACGTATCATTGGGGAGGGGAGGGGGGCATATGGGGGCAGACATCGGCATCCAACATGTCCAAAATGCTCAAATTAACACACAACCGAAGCTCAACTTATACTAGTTTGGCATCTGCCAATTATAGACATGTATTTGTTTTCATCTTTTTGCCTGAGATTTTCAAGATATCATTTTTGGAAGGGGATAAAAATGACTAAAACTCATTCTAGTTAAACCTTCTCATTAAATCATAATTCATATATGTAAGCACAAATGAAGGAATAACATGAGGAGAGAAAAAGATAGTTCGAAAGGGGCAGAGCGGGGGGGGGGGGGGGGGGGCCCGGGGAGGGAGAAGTGCGAATGTTTTGTTGGGGCGGGAAAGAGAGAACGGCCGGTTTACATAGACTAATATAGTTGTAGCTAATGATGAAAACGTCCTGTATAATGTAATCCTTCCTTAGCCATGTTGCCAATTTAGAATAAATGTACTACTAGGCAAGATGGAAGACAAATTATATGTTTGGACTTTTTTTTAACTTCAGAAAACTGCCCCGATATATCAGCACCCGATGGGGGTAATATATACCCTAGTTCGGCTACATTCTACCACACCAACACAGTATATTTCAACTGCAGTGAGACCTACCTCTTCGTCGGGACATCCAATCTCACCTGCGATAATGGCACCTGGTCCGACCCTGTACCAGACTGCAAGGGTAAGCACATCACAACTCGACTAAGCCCTAATACCTACCCCTACCCCTCCCAATTGACCTACCTTTTCAGTGATTTTCGTTATTTCGTCTTCTCGTCCTAAATCTGTCGAGTTCCAATAACCCGTCATCTTGTTTTTCGTCAGAAACAAATCAACTTGGTGAGTTGCAAAAACCTGTCATCTCGTCCTCTCTTCTTGAATAAGTCGACTTGCTGAGTTCCAACAATCCATCTTCTCGTCAACTTGTCCTAAATTATCTTGTCATCCCCTCGGCATTTTAAGCTTACGTACCAAACCGATTAACCTGGCCAGCTTAGCATGAACAAGGAAAATGAGTTATTGCGATCCCTGCGTACCCCTTCTAAAGACCACTGGCGTTCTAAATCTGAATTTTATTTAACAAGTACCTTTCCCCGATTTCCACCCCTCCATATCACTATTAAACCAGGCTACGCCACTGTCATTGTACTATGGCTCATTATGTCATCATTTTTTCTTATCTTTTATTTACTAATGTACTACGTGCAAACCATAGTAATGGGAAAATTTTGGCAATTATTTTATTTCAACAAGGTCTATACTTAAGACATGACGACTAAAGCCTCGGTCACAAATGCCATTACGAACTGCTACAAACGCCGTACGAACGATTTCCAGACAATGGAAAAACAGGGAGATTCGTACGAAATTATCGTTCGTACGAACCTTTGTGACCGTAGCATAAGAAAACATTTGGAGTTGTCATGGTCTAGTGAACACGTCACTGGACTGTGGATCAAATGGTTCGTGGTTTAAGTCCCGCCGCTCGTGGTTCATCGTTGTTACTAAATAATCATTACTTGCAAACGCCCAAGATAACAAAGAAGAAAACAAAAAATGTATTCATAAACAATAATCGCACATGTTTGACGTGGGCTAAAGATATGTTTGAATGTGTGTGTGGAAGGGGGAAGGGGGGGGGGGGGCAGACGCTCACTAACATCATCGTGAACTTAATGTGAATAATGTTGTATAATGTTTGCATACTTGTTTACAGCAAGCTGCCCCGGACCGGATGTGGACAACTCGAACTTTGCCGATGCGACGGATTTGACAGGACATGGTGGGTACGTTGAAGTACTTTGTGATGATGGTTTCACTTCCGGTTCCGGATCACTGATGACTGAGATCGTATACTGCGACGATGGTAGTTTCAACAGGACGATTTATTGCTATGGTAAATATTTATGGTTGTTTATTTCAAGCTCAAAGGTATACATGTTAAAGAATGGTATCACGACATAATCATCTGGCTTGAAAGCAACATATTCTGACGCTGATACTATACTGTTTTCATAAATTATTATTATATAAGAATGATAAGATATGATAATGATAGTAATAGTGATAATAACGATGATAATTAATTTAATAATGGCACGAGCATAACATGAGAAAAGGATGTGCGTAAAGGTAAAACACATACGACTTTGCGTGAGTGCATGTGTGTATGGTATAGAGAAAGGGGAGGAGCGAGAGAGAGAGAGAGAGAAAGAGCAAGAGAGAGAGAGAGAGGGGGGGGGGGGGAAGAGATGAAGGAGAAGAAAAAGAACAATAGATGAGATGGAGAGACAGTTTACTACTGCTTTGAAACTATAGACCATTATATAATCGACTTGTTTATCTTGTCCTCCCTTCCACGTACCCATCGACATGTGCTTATAGGCAATGTAAGACCGATCTTTAATAGTGGGTCTGGAAATAGTTTACGAATGAAAAAAAAATATCTCTCTTCTTAAGTGCTCGAGAACAGAAGTAGTTCATTGAAACTAAATCGAATGAACAAAAATTTGAATAAAAAGCAGTTGAAGATTAATTAACAACGAAAACATATTGATGGCAACAACAAGAAAACAGCAAGATATATTGTTATCATTTATGTTTTAACTCTGATTATAATCTATCCATTCATTTTGTTACTGTCTCATCTCAATCTAGAAAACTGTCCCAACGTAACGGCGATTGATAACGGAAACTTCTATGAAGTTGGACCTCCCCACTACTATGGGGACAGCATCAACTTCACCTGCCTCACTAACTACACCCTGGATGGGAACCAGACGGTCACGTGTCTAGATGGTGAATGGAGTTCAAATTTCCCAGAGTGCAAAGGTGAGCTATTGTTCTAGATTGAGTCTGCAGACGCAGACGACACTTAAACACTACTTGATATCTCTGTCAGTCTCTGCAAGGGGTTAGGTTACTCCTTGGTCTCTGACATGGGGTGTCTCTCTAGTCGTGGTAAGCTTAAAGATAAAGTTGAGTTCTGGTCGTGCGATTGCATTGTGAAACAAACGGTATGGAGTCGATCACAAATAATTGATCGTAAAGTATTCATAAGTATTGGTGTGTACTTTAACTAGAATTTATCTTAAATCATTTCCAGAACTCAAGGTTATCTTTTGCTAAGAAAAATTTAGATTTAAGACGAACTTCCTTTGTTACTATGATTTTGAACAAACGATTTAAAGCCGCGCGTCACGTTTACATTTTGGGAAGATACGGGCCAAAATGGATTGTTCTTTTGCCCCGAAATGTGCTCGTCAATACAAAAATGGAAAACATACTACTCTTATGAGGTACATGAAGTGTAATTGTAAATCGTTCCAATCACTGCCACGTGATTAGCCTGAGACGACTTTAACTTGCGTCTTGACCCAGGTGTGGTAACTAAGCTTTGGGATATACATTCCGTGTGCTACGATGCACTGTGAACTGTTCCAGATTTCGGAATCGTCACTTTGGATCATCTTATTTGAAATACTTTGTCATTTAACAAATAAAATCTTAAATTATTCCGTCAAAAACTTATGATTCCAATCTTTGCAGTTTTCAGTGTAGCTTTTTCGACTTAATTCTGGATCAGTTTATGGCATTTAAGTCATCAGTTCTGGTATGAGTTCCGCCTACACCGAAAGCTGGCGCAGTTAAAATACACTCCAGCAGTAGTAGCGATTTCGGTCAAATACGCTGTCGTTAAATTAAAAGGAACCTCAAATAAGATGATCCGACAATTTTTCTCAAAAAGAAATGCTCCAGGTCAGTAAGTTGTTCGCCAAAAATAAAGGTTCAGGGTTAAGGTTGCACTAGAGCTCTAGGTTAGCTATAGGGCTATGATTAGGGTGAATTATAGTGTTTGGTCTAGGGAAGAAGATAGGGATTCGGTTAGAGTAGGACATCGGCTTCGGAACAACTTCCGCAGGAACATGTTTCGTAAAACCTTGGTATCATCATTTATCATGTTATATTTCCTAGCGGACTGCAGCGACCCAGGCACACCGGTAAACGGATCCCAGGCCGCAAACTCCTCATACACTCACGGGGGACAGGTCTCTTACGAGTGCGATCCCGGATTCGATACCCTTGGCTCATCCGTGATCACCTGCGACAATGGAACATGGTCCGCCCCTATCCCAATATGTGAAGGTATTTCCTTTTCTGTCCTTTTTCTTGAAGGGTGTCACCAAAGAACGTGCCACTCTTTCTTAAGCTTTACTGTGCTACTTTTTTTTATCAAACATGCGTCATGTCGGCAAATTCTAAACCTTGAGAAACCTTTCATTTTCCTTGTCAGCCGATTCTCAAATGTGAAAACACTCTTTTTTTTCTATCATTTTATTTCATTCCATTTGACAGCCGTTTTCGTATAAGGGGGAGGGGGGTCGTTTCTCTTGAAACACAATTTCAATATCAGAATTCGAATCGATACGTACTCATTCCCTTCCAAACTTGTTCTCATTACCACAGTGCTCAGCTCGCACAAGAAGTGTATGTAGACACTTTGAATATGCATGAATTTATGAAGTAATGTTTTCAACATGAAATGCATCAAGGTCTTACATATACATTAACTCATAGGGCTGTTGCCCGTTGAGTGAGTGCAGGTGATCCACAAAAGTTTACATTTTCAGCAAGATAATTTGCTGTATGCTGAAATGTTGCTAATCTGAATTATAAATTAACACCTTATTGAATATTGAAGAGGGGGGGGGGGGTTTTCTCAAAATGTAGTTTTTACTAACATAATTGAAATTTAATATTGTTCCATTATTCTTAACCCGAACAAGGTTCTTTTCTTTTAACTATCATTTTGTTTTGTGTGTGTGTGTGTGTGTGTTTTCTATATTATTTTGATGGTAGCTGTCTTGAAAATCGCCATTTTGTTTGTTGTATATTTAGAGGATACCTTAGTGGACCTGATAACGCTGACGTGTGCATCCGACAGTTTCACGGTTCAAGTTCCGAAAGCATTGCTAGACGGGCTTAAACCAGAAGAACTCGTTTTGGAGAATAATGTGAACTGCACTGGTGTGAATGATTCCTCGGATTTCGTCAATATCACGTCAAAACTAGGAGAATGTGGGACTGAACTCACTGAAACAACTGTTACGGGAGATGTAAGTTGTTGTTGTTGTTGGGTCTTAAGGCTGTCGAATCTGAAAAGATTATTTCCGCCTAAGTTTGTACAATTATCATGATTATAATGTGCGTTCAATAGTGCGGGTAGGTTTATATCCAAAGACGAACATTTCAATAATCAATTAGTTGTGATATTCTTCTCCCCTAAATGATGACGAAGAATGGTAATATCACACAGTAGAGGTGTTAGATTGGTTGCGGAAAGGATCTAAATACTGGTTCGTGGATACGTCACGGGTGAGCCATCTGAATTATTTATAGTGTTCTTCATAAATCGAATACTTTAAATTACTACTTTGCCGACAGAGAGCAGTTTTACAAGTAAAGGGAATTTAAAATATAAAGTCAAATAGACATCATGTTGCTCGAAAAGCATTTGAAAACTATGAATGTACAAAAATGTAATGTGATTATGGTCCTGTTATCGGCTTTGGATTACCAAACCAGGGGAAAAATTAATTTTTGTAATCGTTGATACTTTCATTGCAGGGTAAAACTTATTACTACGACGTCTACAAGAACCGCGTGGTAGCGTATTCACCGACTGGAGTAGTCAACGGCCCTACGGTCGACCTACCCATCACCTGCACGTACGATCGAGAACAACTGGTCGATGGCGTGAGCTACAAACTCCAGAATTATACCATTTCTCGTTCCCTCTCCGAAGACGGCACCTACCAATTCCGTTTTTTCATCTACGAGGACGTTAGTTTCGGCACCGTCATCGATAACAGTGTCGTTCACGTCGATTTGGACGAGGATGTATTCTTTGGAATTTCGTTGCAGGGCGGTGGAGGGTCTCTTCGAGTCAACGCCCAAACCTGTTGGGCCACGCCCTCTTACTCGTCGACGGATAACACCCGTTGGGATTTGGTCTCGGATGGGTTAGTACTTGGTTTCTTGTTACCCCTATTCATCGTCTGATAAAAGCCAGAGGAGCATTATCTACTTGTTAATGGCATATTTGTTACGCCCTCTAGTTCTGAGAAGATTTCATGGTTGCTTATTTTTGTATCTCTTTCACAAAATCATCGCCAAAGTTTTACTTCGAAATAATTCTGCTGATTTGAATGTTCTTTTTATCAAGTGTAAGTTCAAGTTTTATTTCCACATCTGTTAAAAAAACACAAGTACAATTTATAAGCATATATTAAATAATTAACGTTAGAATTAAACATCTTCAATCAAATATAACTATCTATAATAAAGCAAGCAATACTGATACATTATTGTGTTGATCACTTTTACATTGATAATAACAATAACAAAACAAACCTAGTTTAATACTATCCGTGATCCAGCCTAACCCTTACACCCCCTCCTCCCCACGATGTCAATGTTTGTTTAACCGTTCTGTTTAAGCATAGGTCCATTGTTTAAGGCAATTCGTTAAGAGGTATGCTAGTTTGATAGCATAATCTGTTTTGCGTGAATGAAAATTTACACTATTCTTTGTTTCGTTTTCTACCATTGTTTCGGTCTGGCCAGCTGCCCCATGGACGACTCCCTGATGTTCATCGAAGATACGAACCGCGCTCTTTTCAGTTTGTCCAGTTTTCGATTTCTTGATCAAGGCGATTCGGTAGGTATTTATTTTGATTGAGCTTGATGAAAATATCCAAAGTATAGGTATTAATGTTAATCATCTTAATCATTATTAATAGGTCGTGTTTAAGGAGATAAAGCGAGACTTATGACCTATAACACAATGCACGTGTACAAATGTATAATCTACAGTCCTTTTCAGTTATACTCATGTCTAGAACCAAACTCAATTCTCCCCTTTTATAGGTCTATATCCATTGCGACGTATTGGTGTGTGAGCTTAAAAATTCGCAGTGTAAACAGCCCTTGGACGATTGCGGTGTTGGTGATAGTCGACGACGACGGCGGAGCGCTGCACACATCGGGCCGACTAGGAGAAAGAGGTTGAGAGTCGGGCCGTTCAGACGGATGGAATCAGCGTACAGCGGTTACGTTTTACCCGATTCCTCTCTGCACGAAGGTAAAGGGTCCAATACTCAAATATTTCTCCCGGTTAAAAGAAAGACAGTGGTAATCATATTGTCAGAAAGGAAAACACACAATATAATCATGAAGAGAGAGAGAGAGAGAGAGAGAGAGAGAGAGAGAGAGAGAGAGAGAGAGAAAGAGGGAGAGAGGGGAGAGAAAGAGGGAGAGAGGGGAGAGAAAGAGGGAGAGAGGGGAGAGAAAGAGGGAGAGAGGGGAGAGAAAGAGGGAGAGAGGGGAGAGAAAGAGGGAGAGAGGGGAGAGAAAGAGGGAGAGAGGGGAGAGAAAGAGAGAGAGAGAGAGAGAAAGAGGGAGAGAGGGGAGAGAAAGAGGGAGAGAGGGGAGAGAAAGAGGGAGAGAGGGGAGAGAAAGAGGGAGAGAGGGGAGAGAAAGAGGGAGAGAGGGGAGAGAAAGAGGGAGGGAGAGAGGGAAAGAAAGAGGGAGAGTGGGGAGAGAAAGAGGGAGAGAGGGTTATGGGGAGGAGCATCAGCCGACAGGGGAAACCACAATGAGGGAGATACAAACAGATAAAGGCAGAGAAGGCGAAAGACAGAGGGGCCGACATTGTAAGAAAGAGATAGACATAGTGGGATAGAATGACAGACAGAGGGTGATATAAGGACAATTAATACAAAAAAGCAGAAGAAAACGAGTGTGAAGTGGGAAGAGTAAGAAATGTGCTCAAGATTGAGAGAATTCATAAACAAAGATAGAAAGAGAGGCGGAGAGAGTGAAAGAGAAAGACATATAGCCATATAGAGATGGAGAGAAGAGGCGAGTCTGAATACCATAGGGAAGAACATAGAAAGGGCACTGAGGCAAGTTAACGAGGGTATTTGCATGACAAATAATTAATCGAAAAATAACGAAGAACGAGATCGCCCATCAAATAGAGAAACAGACGAGAGATACTCCATACAAAGAGAAATGAGAGAGGAAGTTTTGAATGGAAGGGGAGACAAATATGCATAGTGGAGAACAAATATTTACATATACATGTATACTGATTTCGGTTGTAAAAATCCCCATAAATACAACATTACTGATATTACGACTGCGATTCGATAATAAAATGTCATAATTAAACATGCAGTCTTATGACTATATTTTGATTATACTTTAGGTGAATTTTCCCAATCCCAAATGTTCATACTGTTCTTTTTTTCTTCCTCTCTCCCGTAGATTCGCAGTCATATATTACAGAATCCCTTACTACTTACATCGTCGTTATCGTGAGTTTAGCTGTCATCTGTCTGGTCCTCATCGCCAGCCTTTCCTTTGTCACCACGAGATTGCTCATGGCGAGGAAGAATTAACATTACATTCCCATGGCAACGGCACGCTGTTACCATCAGTTCAGATCAGCGCCAGCCACAATGCTCCTTCTCACTGCTGACGATAGAGGGCTTCCTGTATACTGGATTAAACCAGAGCTGTCTGGTCAAACAGAGTTTGGCCAACTTGGTTTTAGTTGGTCACAACATGGCGTGGGCCTATATATTCTGTTCTGTGCTTGCCCAACAAGGCAGGATTCTCCATATTGTGCCCAACTCGACCCGGGTTTGCCAAGCTCACATAATCAATGGCTCTGTATGAAACCAGGCCAGTGCCATGCATAGATGGATATGGACGAAAACAAACAAATCCAATCGGCTAGTTCAGACTATTTCTATTTACCTCGCCCGAAAACTGACGTGGACGTGGTGGACGCGAACTATCATTTTTCATATATTGACATTTTACAGCGTTGCGATTATATTCAGATGCGATTTCTTAAAGCAAATGTTGATACAAAGAACCCCAACGACGGATTGTTATGGGCAAGTGAGTGCGGTGTTACTGAAATAAACCGACAATAATATCAGCTAAACATGGATGACATTGGCCCGTATTCTACTTAAATTCATCTCCTCAAGGGTGTTCACTAGTTTCGAGATGTTACCAAATCGCTAACCATAGTAATGATACTTGTTTTTCTTTAACCCAGTCACTTCTTTAACCATGCAACTAAAAGTTCTTTTCATGGAGTGTTGGCTCAGTCAGTAGAGCGTCCGCCTCACAACCGGAAGGTCGTGGGTTCGAACCCCGGCCGCGTCATACCAAAAGACGTTAAAAGATGGGAGTTGTTGCCACCTTGTTTGGCGTTCAACAATAAGGGATAGGGCAACGTCGATCTGGCGCTGCTCAGTGGCTGCCGGGCTCACGATCAATTGGGCAAAAAGAATTTCCGTTTCGGTTTAATAACATTTGGAGTGGACTATTAGGCTATTATTATTATTATTATTATTATTATGACATCAAACATTCAAACTTCACTATTAGAATTTTATGCATAACATTTTTGTGAAATGAAAGTGCAGGTTTCTTTTTTTTAATGGTTTTTGTATGCTAACATTGTTAAAGTGAGGGAAGATCCTCCAAGAAATCAGTAATTATTCCAACGATTTTAATAGAAGCTTAAAATACCTCTTGGATATTTAGATTGATTCATCATGGTGTATTTCTTAAAGGAGTAATTGATGATTGAAAATGAATTGTATGTTTATAAGTGTGAGGTCTATGTTTATCTTTTTTTCGTAAATGTGTTCATAGACTCAGGGCCGGGTTTACGTAAATCAGAAGAATACGGACCCATGTATTTAAACAGAGAGACTGGATTCCTACCCAATACAATATGTGATTAAAAATAGATCGAAGCTGAAGAAAATGACGGTTAAAACGAATTTTATCTGAAAATATGCATTTCTTTTTTAAAGGACATTCTTTTATATTTCATAATTAGTACATACTTTGTAGCCGTTCCCATAGCTTCCTGAAATCCTTCACTACTGTTTCATCTTTGACAATGTGAGAGTTAACTAAAAGAAAGGGATTTTAATAACAAAATTAACAACTCACTGTACGATTTTTTTTCCCCTTCTTTTTTCGAGATATAAGTTCGCGAGATGAAAATATAGTATTCCTTACTGTGTCTATATGATTAACATCCACTGCAGGCGATATCAAAAATCTTCGTTAAAATGTTCGTTATAATCCCTCATACTTTTCGAAACTGGTAGCGCCCTTTGTTATGTATTTTTCATAATGGTTATGTTATATGTCATTTGTCTGAATATGCTCACAATAGTTAGACGCACGACATTGAAATTAATATATTTCTTAACTCATGATCTTTTGTTACTGTTACGTAAAACATGTAGAAAGAATAACTCCTTTGCCTGTTTTTGCTGCTTTGTGCTCGTTCAAATATATAGCATTGACTTGATATATTGACAAGTCAAATAAATTGCCAACAAATAATCACTAGTGTATGGATTATAAACAGAAACATAAAGCTGTAGTATCATGCAATAAAAATAATGTTGAATTGTTAATCCTTAATCCTGCTAATGGAGAATGAGGGCGTCACATGAAAACCAGCCAAAATGATACCTTCATACTTTCAGAAACTGGAAGCGCCCTTTGTTATAAGATTAATGCCTATGGTATAAGTCATTTGTTTGAAAACTCGAACCATGAAAATAATAGATGCACGACGCTACAATTCATATTTCTTATTTATGATCTTTTGTTACTGTAACGTAAAACAAGTAGATAGACCAACTTTTTGCTTACTTTTGCTGCCTTGTGATTGTTCAGATATATAAACTTGACTTGATATATTGACAAGTCAAATAAATTGCCAACAAATAATCACTAGTGTATGGATAATAAACAGAACGATAAAGCTCTAGTATCAACAAGTTTGTGGAATATTTCATCCTTAATCCTGCTAATTGAGAGCTGGACAGTCACATTATAACCAGCCAAATTGATCAATACAAACCAATGTTACCCCTGTATATCAAAGACGATTGTAACTACTTTCAAAAATTAAACCTAACACAAATTCCAATAGCCTTGCGCTTCACCTATTGAAATGTGCAAAAATGACAATGACGTACTACGTAATTAGAATATGATTTTTATGAGAAATAAACTAATATATTCAAATGACCCTTTAGTGTATTTTTCGAAAAATATGTAATTGCGATCGTGTTATCTCTATTATTAGTAAAACAAAAAGTAAACAAATGACAAAGTTGCAAAGAACAACAAAGCATTTTGATTGTTATTCATTGATGGATTGAACAGGTACCTGGCCACTCGAACTCTGTTAGTCGTTTTGATAAAGGCCGAGGTAGGGCAAGTCTTCCAATGAGACCAGCTATGTTCACTAATTTTGATTTTTCAAAAGTGGTTGGATAAATGTACAAATATTTAAAAAACGACAAAAGGAGGAATCAGAATTTCTTTTTTCAGCATTCTCTGCAACACGAATCTTGTAAGAAAAAGTTGAAATTGAAGAATAGGAAGACGAGTGAAAATAAATCCGATGCAACTTGCAAAGAACAATCGCAAAGTATTTTTATTTTTTTTATTTCAATTTGATATTAATATCAGTATTTGGTTTCCTTACCAATAATTATGATGATAGATTAAAAAGATGAATGCAAAACTAACGCACGTACAGTTTTATTTGTGCACTCGTCTTTATATATAAATACACATACAATTATATATAGATTGAATAATGTCCAACAAGATGAAGAGAACAAAATAGTACAGCATATATCAACTTCCAACGCTAGATGTAATACACAAGTGATGGATTGAAATTCACAAGCCCTTTCGACTTATTCTCTTTATCTAGCGTAAATTTGTTGTGAATTGACATATTTCTACATATTATTTATATATATATATATATATATATATATATATATATATATATATATATATATATATATATATATATATATATATAATGACTATATACCTTCAAGAAAGAGGGGATAAGCAAAATTTAACCGAGAAGGAAAAAACATTGCATTTGGATTAATCAATATCCGTAATTGGGAAAATGGACAACGTTAGCCTTTTTAAGAGTTGAGCAGATTCCCCCTTCGGAATTACATTTATCCAATAATTGGTCAGTTATAGAATTGCGTAATTTCTCTTGGGAGGATCAATTGGGCAATCGACTGACCTACATAAAATTGTTACCAACAATTTGGCAATTTAGGAGTTGGCCAACTTACGCTTGGTTATCTACTTAATATCAACAATATAGCGTAGAAAGGGGGAGGGGGCGAGAGACACAGACACAGAAAGGGAGATAGTCAGGGGAGAGAGAGAGAGAGAGAGAGAGAGAAAGTGTTGGGCGGGAGGGGGAGTGGAAAAAAGTGGAGAAAAGACAATTATAGATCGGCGAGAAGAAGAAGAAGAAGAAGAAGAAGAAGAAGAAGAAGAAGAAGAAGAAGAATAGGAGGAGGAGGAGGAATGCAAAGAGGGAGAAAGAGGTAGCGGACAAGGACTAGCATGAATTCAAGAAAATGCGAGATTGGAGAAATGAGAAAAAGAGAAGAAGAAGAAAGAGAGAGAGACAGAGACAGAGAGAGAAAGAGAGAGAAAGACAACACCATTCATACTGAGCCAAAGGCTTACACAAAATTAAACAATTGAACGAATACCCTCAAACAAGAAGAAGAAGAAAATCTAGCTTTAATCCTGTGTGGTTATTGTCAATTTCACCAACTGCATATGGTCTTTTCAACATACAGAAACTATACACTAATATCGCCTAGAATCAATATAAGGTTTCTTAATAGATTCCCTATCAGATATAGCACTGGCTAAAGGTTGTATTAGTTAATCCGAGTCACCTCTTTATCGCTGATAACATATCCATTCATACAAATATATAATGATTTTACACTATTTAAAATGATTTGAGATTGCATTTTCCCAATCTGAGATAAATCAATTAATTTAAAATTCAATTAAGTAATTGAAATGAAATTTAAAAATTCCGGTTCAATACGAAGTGCATATCAAACTAGCAATATGATGGTACAACTATTGTAAGAGAGCAATTTAGGTTTGACCAAGATGGGATCATATAAAAATTGTTGTATCCTTCGAGACATGACGACATATTTCAATGGTTCTCTGCTACTAAACATGACATCACATTACATTTTAAGAATCCGTATTAGTCAAGATTTGCACAAGGAAATGAAAACAGAAGAATGCAAGCCAAAGATATGTCAATGCGTACACATCAGAGTGGAGAGGCAAACACTCGCAACTTAAACTTTGCTCTGTCTTTCAGCAACTTTTTCATCGGTAACATTGCACTACCAGCAGACCCAACCCTCTAAAACAACAGTCCTTTGTGGTTGCCTATTACCAAACTTGGAGTTGTCTTTCACCGTTTTATTCTTTCATTTTTGCCACACAAAATATTTCGTGATAGATCGAGGATAAATAGAGCAAAACATCACGGATACTAAAGTTGACATACCTGCAATTCTCCAAGCGACCCTTTCATTAACCCGTATCCACCTCCTATCCAAATATGCCGACCTGTTTGCATCCAAGAATGAACTTGAGTCTCTGTTTACCCATCGAGAAAAACAAAGTATAGAATATTTGATGGATGGATGAATGGATGGGTGTATAGAGAAGTATATTCTCCAAAACTGTGGAAAAGTATTTCTAAAAAGACACTGAACGTTCTTTAACAAAAAGGTTTTGTAATAATCCACTGACGTTTATGTTAAACAACAATGTAAACACCTGCGTTATATTTTTTGCAATTGGCGATATAAACATAATTTAAAAGACCTCATGACTTGTCATTAGTTTGGTATTAGCCGGCCACAGTGAAGGGAAAACAGGGGAAACTTGACAACTTTGTTCTAATGAATTATGTGTCATTGTATATGTTGACTTGTCTCTTGAACTGTCAAAGGACTATTAAAGCTACATCATGTCATTTATTTCATGTATATATCCCTTGTTCATTTGGCCTAGACGATATCAAGATTCAAATCATGTTATTTCTCATGCAAAACATACGTTAGTACAAAACGACATTGAAATATTATTAGCGATTTAATAGAAGTATATTACTCCAAAATGTACAATGAAACAAGACAAATATAAAAGTAATGGCACGAGAAAAAAGGAACTAACTAGAAGCAGAGCTTGTTGAAGTATCAATGATTATGTGGGTAAGATTTGAGACTGCTTTCTATCACCTAATGACAAAGAAGTCAACTATTCTCTTTATATGTGGGGCTGATCGAAAAAAAAAGTTTACATGTACAGTATTATAGGCACTGATCGGCTTTCAAACCCGTCTGTACTATTTTGGCCTGGAGGGATTAGACCACCAGGGTGGTCACTGACAGGTGGCTATCTCATTACCTCAGCTCTCAATTAACATAAGAAAAAGAGGATCATGGGGGACCAATGGTCACCGATTAGGCATTGTTTTCTATATAAAGGGAGCAAGTACTGTAGCTACAAGTAGTACAGTGGGGCTTTAAAAGGCCGTCATTTTAATGACGCAGAACTGCGTCGGGGGATGGCAAGGTCTCTGACCCGCCATGTGAGGGGTACGTAGTTTACAGAGTGAATGGAAACCGAACAGGGGGTGTTTCACAAAGATCCTAAGTTGAACTTATCTCTAAGTTGGACTTAAAAGTTATGGAAAGCCATTAGCATCCTTGATAATATTTTGTAAAAGTTATTTTAAAAGGCATAATGTTGATTCAAATCATTCATACTTTCTATTATCATGAAAGATTTCATGTTCTTGATGTGGAATTTATGAAAAGTCTAAAATACTTCAATTTATGCTTTTGAATATATTTCATTTTAAGGCTACAAATGGCTCCCCATAATATTTAAGTCCAACTTAGAGTAAAGTTTGACTTAACATCTTTGTGAAACACCCCCCAGATCTACCATCACGGAATTGCATTACTGGCGTACCGGTTATACGCCTTGTAAAGATTGATTAGCGCAGGTAATAGCGCAATAGAAATGGCGTGTTGTGAGTATACGCAGTGACGTATCCTCACCATAAACGATGAACTTGAAGGCAAATATGATCACGCCTATTTAACAATGCTTACCTCTTTATTGATTCACTCCCCTATCCCATCCACTGGATTCACTGCAAGTAGCTCATGTTGTCAGAATAGTTCAAGTTCGTCTTATTGTTGAACTTGGGGTCTCTTTCATTTCTCTTTCAAGACCGACGCGGGACGGGTCTGTATTTTTGTCTTCCGTCTCATTAGTACCATAACACAAGAAGGAGACCTCGGAATTTCAATTGCACTAATCAGGAGAAAGGAGAAAGAGTCGATGCTTTTAATTGTTTATCACTTTCTCCAAGGACCACATTAATAGTTAGATTAACAAGAGAGAACACTATCTGCCAGGATGTATCGTCTAATGCTGCAAGGCGCTCTTTTAAGCGTCGTTGTCGTGGGTAAGTACTGAGCAACCCGTTTAATCTAATAATGTGTCATTCTCTAATGTTATGCCGTTTTTCTTCTTAGTTTGTTATTTGTGTTAACTATAAACTGCAGGCCCTGATGTTGCCATCAGAGTTGATGAAAAGCGGCCCAGTAACTATACCAAAGCTACATTTCATGTCAGTGTGATTAAACAATAGAAAACATTAAACTAAATGTACTAAATCATAGCAATAAAAGGTTGCAATTTATTAATTAAATTCTCATTGACATATCTCTTGATTCTGCCCCATGTTTGGTGCAGGGGGAAATAGTTCCACGATCGACATGCCCTTGGTATGTATGCAGATTGATGAAGATCCGTACGAGACTTGGCGATGGTTTCTAAACATAGATTGATGTATTGCTAAGACGTTTTGATTTCAACAAAGGTGCATAATATCTGTAACCTTTCTCTTTCAAAGGTTTCATTCCCATGCGGAGGAATACCGTGGTACAAATGTTCCCGGTGGTGTCACTTCATATTAACACCGTTTGCGCAATAGGCATTTTGCAAAAAAGGGGTAATTAACGGTGATGTTCGCAGGTTTAGAAAACTACGTGTATTCCGAGCAAGAAATTTCAAGAAAAAGTGTCATGTACTTAACCCTAAAAATGCTGGGCTATCTAAGGTCTTAATAAGTTTCTTGATAGCGCATGATTCTCACTGAATGTATTTATCTAGCTTGTTACCCCTCTCTCTTTCTCTCTTTCTCTCTCTCTTTCTTTCTTCCCCTTTGCTATCTTCTGACTTTTTCATCCTACCATGTTGTATTTCATGTACTGGGTTTGTACCGGTTGTTATGCAAATTCTGAATGATACTATCCGAAACTTTACTTGCAACTTGTTTTCTTACTATGTTTATTATATCTAATTTGATAGGAAGCTGTCCAGACAAAACCTTTTCTTGTTTTTTTTTTTTGTACAGCTGTGCCTTATTCTGTTTTGTATTAATTCATTTCACATGTATATACTATCCCAATTTATGTATTATATTGTACATGAAATTGTATTTTTTTTTTACTTGTAAAATGTTTTGAAAGATGGAATTCAATAAACTGAACTTAACTGAACTGAATACGGTCGGGGGGGGGGGGGGGCAAAAAAACGAAATCTTAAGGGGGGCATCATGAAAAAACGAAACTCGATCGGAATGCCTTTGGAAAGGCGGCGCTACGGATGGCTTGAACAATTCAGATCGGGCCAAAAGTAGTCTCAGACTGTGGGGACTATCCTCCCGAGCACAAGGTAGAAATTTCAGGGACAGCTGACTACTCACTGGCCAGGAAACCGACGTCGCGGTTTATGGTGATGGTGATGTTGATGGTGCCAGTATACAGTTTAAATAAGATATCATGAATTACGTTCGCCCAAAAGTCAAATTGAAGAACACACTTTAGAAACTTAATTGTATCGTTAATATTTTCTCCCTGTTTGTAATTCTCTTGTAATGTTATTCGTGCCAATATTTCCTTCCTGTCTGTGATTCTATAAAAGAATAATGGTCATTATTTGAAGTTGAATCAAGATTTGCAACATATCTACTTGAAAATGTTGTTATTCGTGCCAATATTTCGTCCTTTTTTGTGATTTCGTAACGAAATTTGTGTGAGTGTTTGAATTCGAAACAAGGTTTGTAACATTCTCACCTGACATGTTTTGTGTATTGCTAGTGTCGTTTTTTTTTTCTTCTTCTTGTTTGTAATTCTATAAAATGATTGATGTGCATGTTTGAATTTGAATCAGGACAGAAGTTTTGTCTGTAGTGTCTACGTTTCCTTTTTGTTCTTGACTTTGCGTTGGTATGTGATAAATCCAGATTTTCAGCATTAGCTTAAAACTTTTTAATGTTTTCTCTTCCATTTTAGGTCTGGTGAGGGCGGAATGCGGAGGAGGTAAACAATCTCTTTACATTCAATCATATATAAACTCTTACACTTAAACAAATCTTGAGTAAAATGTAATAAATATTTAGCGATTCCCCCCTCCCAAAAACACACACATGCAGACACACACACACACACACACACACACAAAGCAGTAAACATATACAATGATTATTGGGGGGGGGGGGAATAATTCACAATATTGGATAACCCTTTACCCAAGATTGTGTTCCATTTCAACTAACAGTGATGCATCCATATTTCTCAGTAACCAAGTCTGTTTAAAGTGTAGACAAAAACTGAATATCCACTGTGTGCACTTGCTACTTGCCTTCGTCACCTTTCTCAAATTTGATTAAGACATATATACATAGGCCCCTCCTTCTTACTTGTTTATTTCCTCTAGTTGACCCCATCTACTCTCCTTTTTGCGTTCACCGTCCAGACCCTTCTACGTCCCCTTTCGCATTTCTATATTCTTACCCATATATCACTAGGTGTTTTACACATAGAAGATTCACCAATACCTTAAATTCATTATCCAACCCCTCAGTGCAATATGTGAACATCAAATTGACCATGTTTATGACATTTTTTTTTTTGATTGATGAAATTTATCGTCATTGCTACTACATCGAAGAATAGCGACGATTGCAGTCATATTAATATTTTCGTATAGCACTCAGGTGGAGTAAATCGGTACTCTTCGGCAGCCAAGTAAGGCCCGTTACTTTTTTTTTTCGCGCGCTTTGTTTCCTTTGTATTGTCCGATTTTGGCTTTCTGAGTACAATACGAACAGTTTTAGAATGTATTGTCACCAATAAATTTTTAATACATGTTATCGTGTATACATTTGAGGTTAAAAAATAATGTTTAGCTGTATTTTATGTAACGGATTTTAACGTTAACTTATAATTTGTAAATATTTTTATAATTCGGGAACACATCATCAAACTTCATGCTTTTAACGCGTTAGCCCTCCTTTATAATGTTTACCTTCTTCGTGTTAATAATGATCTTAGCGTGTAATCCAATATCTTACCTACTCTGTACAATGGCATGTACTGTGTTTGGAAAAATGTCTGAAATGTAAATAGTTCAAGTGTAAATGTCGATATGTATTTATGAAATGATGATATAGAAACCAATAAATCAATCATCAATTTTACCGGGATGAGAATATTGATTGAATCATTGGCTCTGATTCTATGTTTGACTTCTACCATGTTAACAGACACGACAGCTTGTGACACAACGACCATTAACAGATACCCTCTGGAAGGGGCCGATGATGCAGGAGAAATCACCTATGACCCATCCGGATGTGTGGCCACAACCGCAAGCACAATGATTAGCTGCTCCGGGACTCTGCTTGGATTTAATTCACTTGAATGCAGCGTTGGGGACTGGACTATCGCAAATCCTACCGTGTCGTGTTTCGGTATGTGCACAAAATACTACATTCCCAACGAATGGCAAAGATTCGATCGATTTGCAGTCGATTTAAAGTGGATTTAAAGTGGGTCCAGCGGATATCGTAGTCACACCAACGAGACAACAGATCGACTAAACCGAAAAACAATAATCCGTTTCAATTTTTTTTCATAGGTTTTTATTCATTTCTCTCATAAAGAAAATTGTACATAATTTATAACAAACTAACAAAACAAACAATAGTAATAACATTAAACCGGGACGAGAATCGGTTGGTCCGGTCTGGAGTCGGTTCGGCGGTAAATCGAATACCCTAGCCAGATCGACAAGACACTAGTCCGAACAACTAGCCATTACCCTCAACTGCTATACATTACCTACGGGAACCGGGTGACTCTTGGATAGTAGGCCGAAACATATTGGAATGAAAGGAATCCTATAGTCAACAAGTTTAATATTTATTGTCTTTAAACATTACGATTGGGTTACTCGTATCTCAAATTGTGTAAATGCTGTTTTATGATATTACTATGAAGGTATGTCGTAATTAATATTTCTATTATGTATTAGTAGTATTAGTAGTAATATAAGTAGTAGCAGTATTAGAGGGAGTTGAAATGCACAAAACATTTATATAGCGCCCACATTGATTTAACGGTATCACTAACAATTATCCAATCTATTATTTGTGAAGCTGCTAGCGGGTGTCCCGTACCTGATACTCCTACTAATGGTAATACAACGGGAGATGATTACAGTCTCTTCGAGACAATTCAATATGTCTGCAACGATGGCTATAAGAGAGTTGGAGCTGATTCTGCGTTCTGCGACTCTACTGGGGAATGGAGTCTACCAGCGCCTAGATGCTTAGGTATACACACATTGTACTCGTTGCACACGAGGCGTGATTTGCCTGACGCAGTAGTGCGTCAGAGACTTTGACGCACCTTGTGAAAGTGACCTTGTACACAAGTGAAATGACAAGGGCTTACGTTGTGTTGAATTGGGGACGTTTGAGCTAATGGTGTTTTGACTAGCGCAGGCAATAACGCAACTGAACTAATGCCGCGTGTGCAATGAGGGTAAATGTATTAATTGATGCAAAGGAAGTAAGGAGATTGAAACGAAAAGTACAATTCGATATCAGGTGGTTATTGAAATAGACAGATCAGTGAAAAAAAAAATTGGGAAAAATCGATATAGGAAACAAACATGGATGTAATTAAATTCCATTAAAAAAGATAAGTGGAATAAATTTCTTCCTTTTTTTTCATCTTCAAAAAGGGCGTTCATGGTTAGATATCGAATATTTAAAAGTTTTATATTCAATAAAAAAAAATAGTATTAGAAATGAGATGTCGATGCATTTTTTATCGTCCGATTCTAATCTTATTACTGGGCCTATCTTCTTAGATAAATATATTCTTGCTCCTTTATTTTTCTTGTTTTGTCTTGTATTGTTTTATCATTTATTTCCAAATATTAGTGTGACTGGTTAGGTTTCCTTGAAACCATTTGAATACCAGCCCCAATTTCGATTACGTTGACTCATTCAGAGTCTCGTTTAAAAAAAAAGTTAATTACCATATTTTATTTTATTTTAACAAATAGCCTACTGGGATTGAAAATGTTATACAATCACTTAACCTATTACCCTTATCACTGAAGAGGTTAGTCTGACATAGGTCAAAAGAAGAAGAAGAAGAAGAAGAAGAAGAACAAGAACAAGAAATTGGTCCAGTGAAAGCCAGTGAAAGCCAGTGAAAGCATACCAACAAAAAAAGAATGTTCACCCTCTGATTGCTTAGAAAGAACTAATTTCAAGTTATTATCTTGTTTTAACGCAGGCTCTTGTACCCGACCAAACCTCAATGCCACAGTGTCTATCACTCCCGAACAGGATACCTACGAAGACGGTACAATTGCGCAGTTCACCTGTGACGACGCCACCACTACCATGACCGGTACCGATGCCTCCACGTGCCGCGACGGAGCATGGTCGCCGACCCCTCCCGCTTGCTACCGTAAGATTACTTTAAAGACAATTTCAATCTCGACCAGCCACTATCAAAGCCCCACTGCACTACTTATAGCTGCTTGCGCCCTCTATGTAGCAAACAATGCCCAATCGGTGACCGCTGGTCCCCATGATCCCCTTTTTCTTATGTTAAATGAGAGTTGACTTGATGAGATAACCACCTGTCAGTGACCGCGCTGGGTGGTCTAATCCCTCCTGGCCAAACAAGTACATACGGGATTTAAAAAAAGTTTAAAATCAGAGAAGCAAACTGATCAAAATAGAATTGTTTTTTTTTTTAATTTAAAGCTGTAATCACTATACGTATGTGCACTTTAAATTGGCTGAATCGGTTATGTCACTGTGACGCGTAATGCTGGATAACTTTTCAATTTGTTTCAACACAGAAAATTACAGAACTTTTGTTTGTTAATCCAAATATATGAATCAAGGGGTCTTTTCGTTTTAGAGGTACAATAATGATTATGCTTTCCATAATGGCTTATATTTTGGGAAGTGCCCCAAACAGGAAAACGACAAACGGGAAAGTTGTTCATGAAAACCTCACAGTCCTCTGACCAAATTGCCAATTTCATATTTAAAACATTAATATAACCCCCTCATTATTAATTGTCTTCATTCTATTTCTCTTAGTATTTGTTTTGTTTTGCTTTTATACCAAAGAACTTAGGAAAAGGACTGGATTACCGTTTAATAACAATTTATTACAATGTATGTGCCAAACTAACTTTCTGAAAGAGTAATTCCAACAAATGTTCTCCACATATGTTTGAGCTTGCGTGAGTTTCAAGTTCTCGTTAACATCGAAAATGGTTGTAATTTGTTTAATTCTCAATACATTGGACAAATTCTACTGACAGCTAGTTGTGTGCCGATCGTAACTCATGGTACACTACACAATCCGACTGCGATCCGAGTTTGGGAGAATTTCCAATAGCATATGATGTGATCATTCACGCGTGTAAGATATTAAAGACCGTCAATACTACTGGGCCAAAAGGGATTAGACCACACAGCGAGGTCACTGACAGGTGGCTATCTCAATAACTCAGCTCTCAACTAACATAAGAAAAATAGGATCATGGGGGACCAACAGGCACCGATTGGGGAAGTTTTCTAAATAGAGAGAGCAAGTAGCTACAAGTAGGACAGTGGGGCTTTAATGATCGAGTATCTCGATAGCTACTTGAGTTAAAAGATTCAAAAATTCGATGGATTTCAAACTTTCCTAGAGGAGGGAGAGGTAAATCGGCTCATAATCGTAGTGACGTCAGACGCGTATTGCTAATGTCTTCGATTTGATTTGGCATTTGGCATGAAGGTGACCTGGTAATGTGGTTCATTATCTCGACTCTCAATTCACGAGTTGAGGGTTAAAATCTCAAGCTGGCACCAATGTCCTTTGGCAAGACGTCAATCAATGTTTGCCACTCTCCACCCAGGTGTAAATGGGTATCTGGCAATCGCTGGGGGTAATAATTTTTGCAGGGCCCTTTGAAAGAACAGCAAAAAGGCTGTTGAGGCTTCCCTGGGTAAACACAATTATTATTGTCAACTTAATTCGTATTACTCGCTAATGGTGCATTGATATCATTTGGCGAGACACTAACTACAGTTAGTTAAGTCATTTCATATAGTTGCAGCACTTTATAGATGGACGTACTATTATTATTATTATTATTATCGTTATTATCAAAGCCTTCCAAATAATGTGGGAACAAAAATATAACATATCGATCCGAATTTACACATGGTACAGGTAAGTGCACCATAGGTAACACCAATTCATCAACCCTCGGAAACGGCCTAACAGTGGGACAATTAGTTGACCATCAGACCAGTATTGAGTTCCAATGCGATGCTGGACGGCATTACAACGAAATAACCCTCGGGAGTACCAGCGGTGTCCAGGTGTGCAACGATGGCGAATTACCGAGCCCCTTTGCTTATTGTCATGGTGAGTACAATTTATATATATATATATATATATACTAGCAGGACCCGCGGAAATCCGCGGGATTCTAGAGGGGGGCGGGGGGTGTAAATACATATATAGAGACTGTCTAAATTAAAACCACCAAGAACTTTATTTGCCATTCAGGCCATTAAAAAAATATACATGTTTAGTGTCCCCGCCCGCTTCCTTTTTGGGGGCCACCTCCTATATTTTTTTTTTTTGAACAGCTTCCCCGCCCGTTTCCTTTTTGGGGGCCGCCTCCTATTTTTTTTTTTTTTGAAATTTTTTTTATTTTTTTTTATTTTTTTAAATTTTTTTATAGAAAAAAAACAGCGTCCCCACCCGCTTCCTTTCTGGGGGCCGCCTCTCCTATTTTTTTTTTTTTTTTGAATTTTTTTTTTGATTTTTTTTTTTTTTTTTTTTTTTTTTTTAAAGAAAAAAAACATGAAAAGCACTGCTAAAATGTATTTCTGATCTTAAAAAAGAAAAGAAAAAAATTGTTGGCTGCCATCTTGAAAAATAGCCTGAATGTCAGGGAAAATGTACGGAGCAGCCATTTGAAAGAAAAAAAAAAAAAAAAAAAAAAAAGGGCCTCGATCCTCCTTCCCATTTTTCAGAAAAAACAGGACGCTAAACGTGTTTTTTTTTAAATTTGGCCTTATATAAAAAAAAACAAAAAACGATCCAACTGTACCGGTAGTTATTCTTTAAGCCACTGGAACTGCGTAGAGTTCCGTAGTGTGGCGTACCGACTACGCAGAAATTAGGCTGCGTATTAATGGGAAAATAGTCCCTGCGTAGGTTATGCGTAGGCTGGCGTACAGGTTTGCTTATATGGTTGCTTACTGTGTGGAAAGCTTTTACTGCTTTGACGATCTGGCGTAGGGTAGCATAGTGTTGCGTAAAAAGGCGTACTTTCTGCGTCAAGTTTCTACGCTGAAAGTACGCAAAAAAAATTAAACATGTTGACTTGTTTTCGTTCATCTTGCGTACCCCTTTCTGTCCCTCAGCATATAGTAACGTAGGCCAGCGTAGTTGGTAGCAACACTACGCAACTCTACGTATTGACCCCACGCCAATTAGTGACCCGCAAGTGTCACAAATAAAGTATTAAAAATATGCTCATCTGACCCTAATTAAACGCCTAAAACCCCCGAGCTTTTGGGGGTTTATGGCCCCTTGAAACCCGTGGACCCCACGCCTATATTGTATATACACTCAACTCGCTGCGATCTGATCTCTCCCCCCCCCCCCCCCCCCAACTTTGAAGAACGTAACCCCCGAGCTTTTGGGGGTTTATGGCCCCTTGAAACAAATATACACTCAACTCAGGGTTTCAGGTTTCCTTCTTCATAATTGCCTATTTAAAAAAAAAAACATTTTTCTAGTTCAATAACTAAGTTTTCATGCATTGATTTGATGCAAGAACTGTAACATAATAGACCCTAGATTGTGATTATTTCTGACCATAAATTTCGATAATTATTTTTCAAAGTAAAATTTTCACAAGAAAATCAGACAGTCGTTTAAAAACGTAGACATTAGTAATACTTTTACTAATTCTAAGCTCAGGTTTCGTAAATCTATTCACGAAACTATATTGAAATCGCGGCAATAATGATGCAAACCAACAGATAACAATTTCAAAGTGTCAAATCTCTTCGACTCGAGCTCAGCTCAGCTCTACTCACACACATAACACTCCAGCGTAACTCCACGAAGCTCAAACACAGGCGCCGCAGGCCTCGGACGCCTGCGGTGCCCGGTGCCGGTGTTGGAGATTCCTCGAGTTACTGCACTGTGATGTGTGGTGACTGAAGTTAGCTTGCGACTGAATTGTCAGTCCAATGGTTTTCTTGTCAAAACTTTCCCTTTAGAAAATGATAATCAAAATTGAGTACACATGGCCGTAATAATCACAAAATAAGCTTTGATTTCATACCTCCATTCACGAAAACTATATAAAAATCGCGGCAATCATGATGGAAATAGGTCTCTAAGTTTGGACGTCGACGGGAAGCCCCGTGTATCTCTTGTGCAGCTACTACATGCAAATCCATGCAAAGCACATCCTAGCTACAACAAAGCACATCCTATAGAAAGATGCTTTACTCTCGGTAATCCCGCCCTTTGCATAGAGCATTTAATACGCAACTTAATGTGAGTGGATAGTCATCGGTCGTGTGTCTACGGATGTCATGTTGAATATCCATGAGGTATCTCTGTCGTCACGCATATCCTGCATTATGCATGTCGCGTCTGTTTTCGCCCTGGACGTCGACACGGAGGAGGACCTCGGGCGGAGCATAGCCAATTCGCTAGAGTAGACTCTCCCGCGGACGATGGCACCGGTCACCGGTACCCCGAGGGGAGGGTTCAGGAGGAGATAGCCGCACCAACTTGGGTCGGCGATCTCATTAAAAAACAATAGAATACAAAGGCTGGCGGAGACGTCGCGCCCCCCGCGGAGCCTTAGCGTATTACTATTATAGATATATTTAATGTTAAAAATGTAATGAAATAACAAAATGGAAATGAGATAATAAACATAATAATAAATCGAATGAAATAAATTGAAATGAAGAAAATAGAAAAGAATACATGATTGTTATCTTATTTCAAAATTCAGCGAACTGCACAGCTTCCAGCTATACCCCTCCTGAATTTGCCGTGGCCGAACCAGCTCTACCCACCTACTACGACAAAACAGATATCCAGTTTACCTGTGAGTCCGGCGTCTTGTCCGTCCCCGATGTGACGGGTACTTGCGCTGACGGCATGTGGGGTGTCCCAAGTTTTGAATGCATTCAACCATGTAAGTAAATGGGTTGCTCCAGATTTGATGGTGTCAGTATGGGGAGGGGTAGGGACCGGACGGGCACAGCGCATAAATACTTGACAATCAAGACTGAGAGAAAAGAATAAGAGAGTATTAAAGAAAGACGAGAATGGGTGAAGAAGAAAGACAAAAAATGCTAGGGTGAAACAGTTAGACATGAGAAAAAATAAGAACCACCCATTGGGCGGGAATGTAGCTTTTGCCTTCTCCCCCATTATTGGCAGTTGTAAATACATGATCGAACGTGAACTATTGATGACAAGTTTACTCATCGCAATGGTAATTATTGAAACACTGGTGGCGTTGAACATTAGCCTCATGTTCACTGCAGGAAGTTTAGTTTATGTATTAGAGAATGATATATTTTGTTATTGGACTTTTTTCCCCAAACCAAAGTGGACTGCACAGATCCCGGCTCTCCGGCCAACGGCATGGCCGTTGGAAACGACTACAACCATGATGCAGAAGTATCGTTTACATGCAACACAAACTTTACGTTGGTTGGTGTTTCTATGATGCGCTGCAACAACGGATCATGGAGTAGCAACGTGCCTACCTGTAACGGTAAAAGCAAGGATTCCTATGTCACTAAGATAACAAATGAATTTGAGTTCCAATACTGCCTTGAAACAAAACTTCATGATTCAAGTTTAATTTTGTTTCATATTTCTCCAAAGGCATAATATTTCATTTAATTATTATTCGAAACAAGGGCTGTCTTGAGAATTAGCAAAACCGACACCAGTTTTCAAATGGAAAGCTATTATGTTATACCAAACATACATTTTTCCGAACAGTCTGTTCGCAACGTCGAGCCTTGATCGCTCTTCATAATCATAACCTGTAGTCCTTCTCAGATCTCCTCTCATGAAAGAATTCCTCTAATTTGCTTTACCTTTATTCATACAATACCACGAAGTCCTCCATAGGCCGAAACCCAAAATAAGACCTCTCTTTCAATTTAAACAGTCCTTTTCAGGGCTACCCACACACTTATGAGTTAAATTTTTTACCTCCTCCCTCTTTTAGACTATTTTGACATTCATAGAAAATCAATATTTTGTAATGGTTGCCATAGAGACTCCTCGTCCAGTCACCAACAGCAGCGTGCGTCTGGAGTGCAGGAGTGACTCCATCCGGGTAACGATCGATCGGTCTATCTTGCCTGACCTAGCAGGGGATGTCATCAGGTTTGAAGACGACCCAACTTGTACTGGTGTAGTCGAAGGAGACAACATCGTTTTCACCACTATGTTTGAACAATGCGGAACAACCAAAGAGGTAAATATTAAAAGCGAGGGTGGGTTCTGATAAAAGTGAAAACAATTTTGAGCTTTTTCATTTAATTATAAAGTCAGTCTGGAAGGATATCGTAATAGAAACGTCCCCTAAAAATAATGGTTCGACAAATGCCTCATATTTGATAAATATTTTGCCGAAAAATAGCTGAAAATTGAAACCAAACTTATATTAAAGATAAACTCCAGTTCTGGTAATGCGATTGCATTGTGAAAAAAAAGGTGTGGAATGGATCACAAAAACAGTTAATCATGTAGCATGTAAGTATTGTTGTGCACTGCAAGGCTCTGGAGTCATCAAAATCATCATAAATTTGGCCGAGTCTTGGTAAAGTAACAAGCACTGTACACAGAAAGCTATATATGGGACAACACACATGGTGTCGGGGCTAGTACTACCTTGATTTCCTTGTCTTTCTATGCTCATTACTCAGCCAGTATACATTTTCTCCCAAAATTGTTTGGCACATGTCATTTATTTGTAATCTTGAACATTCAGTGTAAGTTTCGTTTGATTCTGTGAGAATTATTATTATTTTTTTTTTACCAGAACTGGAGTTTATCTTTAAGACACATGTTTCTTTAATCTATATATATATATATATATATATATATATCAGTTTCTTTTTCATCGCATGCGATTTTCAACAAAGTTGAGTCAATATCTTTTCAATTTGATTATTCTAAAGCCTTACACTTTACACTGGATTGCCTCCAAACATTATTTTTTTCTCACAATATAATATCATTACAGGTCCTAACCTTTAGTTTTTAGCATGACATATTGAAAATGCAGTGGTGTCAGCATTAAGGTTCAAAAGGTGAACATTTCATTTAGTCACGAAGGCTTATAAAGTCTCTCCTAGATTGTCCGAGGAAAAAATAATAATTTCCATTTATTATACATTTATTCTCTATTGTCCTGAATGCTGTATCGCATACGAACTTTAATTGTTTCTATTCTTTTTCACCGTTTGGGCACCTTAACTTAAGGATTAAAGGATCAAGAAAATGCCTACAAACGAAATCAACCAACATTTTCACGGAAACGATTATCCGTAATTTATTAATTTATTTTGTTTTGTGTAATTTCTCCATAACCATAGGAGGATGGTGACTTAGACGTATACAAGAATCGCATCGTCAACGGAAGAAATAGCGGTAACGTTGTTTCCCGTGACATCACTGTGTCCTTCCCCATTACCTGTTTCTACGAGCGCGTACATCGTCTGGAATACGGTTACTCCGCCGTCGGCAGTGCTGGAGTTGTTCAGCAGTCCGTCAGTAGTACAGGCGATTATAGGTAAGACTATCTTGCTTACTCTGACATTAGCAAGTACTGGACAGGTTAATCAGCAGTCCATCAAAGATAGAGGGTAACGTGGTATAGGAAATATTATTATAAGATAATGACATGGATCCTAATCAAATGATTGGTTGAGAGCGTACACGTGACTAGGCACTTATTTTGCCTAACACGTAATTTTCATAATGACCGGTCATTGGTAAAATCATGTAAAAAAAAACATCATTTTATAAAACAAATAAAACCTAATCTTATGAAACAAATAATACACATCCTTTGGTGAGGACATTAGTAAAATTACCCACACTCGGTACCTTCAAAGCAGTCCAAACATCCTCGGCTATCGCCCCCGACTGTTCCAAAGGTACCTTGTGTGGGTAATTGTTACTAATGCCCTCACTGCTGTGTATTATTTGTATACTCTGCTATGAGCACCGCTAGGGTTGTTCAGCAGTCCTGCAGAGAGACCGGCACTGACTAGTAAGGATGTATCGAATACGGTTACTCTGCTTTGCGCAGCGTTCGGGGTTGTTTAGAAATCCCTCAGGGATTCGAGCTATTATAGGGTAAGAAGGTCTCGAATACGGTCATTCTGCTATGAGTAGCGCTGGAGTTGTTCAGCAATCCCTTGGAAAAATGCCTATTGCTCTTGCAGGTAAGGAGGTCTCGGTAACCCAAGCATGGGCAGCACCTAGGTTGTTCAGCAGTCCCTCAGAGATATGGACTCTCACAGACAATTAGGAAGGTCTCTGTATGTCGTTAGTGCTGGGGTTGTTCAGCAGTACTCGGTGATATGGCTTATAACAGAAAAGGGGGTGAAAGCATGTTAAACTTAAGGCATTATCCCTTGCATAGTCATGATATTCTCAAATTCATTATCACTATTATTAAAAAGTGGTTTACATCATTAGAGGCCACTTTAAATCTGGCTATGAAAGAGAGAGAGAGAGAGATAGTGAGAGAGAGGGGGAGGGGTGGACGAAGGACAATCAAATTGTTATGGTTTGTGGATTAATATACAGACATAAATTTTAGAGCGCTTACATTTTATGTCTCTAAGCAACACCAAAAATAATTATAAACAAACAAAATCACGAATTTCTTTTTCTTGTTTTTAAGTGCAACGTTCGGCTTTGAAATGTACACCGACGACACTTTTACGACAAAAGTCGACTCCTCCGCCACCGACGTGTCCGTCAACCAGAGAGCCTACTTTGCTGTGGAAGCCACGACTTCCGCCGATCAGCGAGTGGTCATCGACTCCTGCTGGACGACACCGACGACTGAACCCGAAGACAGTAGGAGATACAACCTGATAACGGATGGGTAAGTCTCCTCTAACATTCAGTTCAGTGAAAGAGAAGGCTTTAATATGTCTGGTAAACAAACAAAAATACACTCCGCAAAAAAACGAAAGTTGACACTATTTTATTGTTCAAAATTGTAATATAAACAGTACAAAGAATATGCCAAAATGATATGTCAAATTACAGGAAACTAATACTCTACCAACATCAATTAAACTCAAGTTCTGAACTTCAACGCAAAATTGGGCACATTCACTAAACCGTTAGAATGTCTAGAGAAATGGCAAAAATAGAGCAAGTAACCATTCAAATCTCAATGAACACGCGCGCACCTGTAAGATATTCTTCTTCAGTAATTAAAATAATAATGAGGAAAATGGAGCTCTGGATATCAACTGTAGTCTCAGGACTGCATGATTGTTGACAAGCATGGTCAACATGCCTCCCCTTTACTGTTACTCGTGATAGTTTTTGTTTCATTGTTGTAATTTGACTCTATAAGATTGAAATGCTCATTTACATATGAAAAGCCAGATGCCCCATTTTCACAAACTCATGTATCGTTCAATGGCAATGCTTACTCCCGTAAGTGGATGGTACGATATTCCCTAATATTCAAAATATGGCGAGAAATAGCTGGAAAATTGTGACTAAACCTTCCTGCATATTGGATGTGTGTAGTCCCATGTACCGATTTATGTGCAGTGAGTGCGCTTTTCGTCGTCATCGAGTCGATTCATTATCATTTTCATGAATCTATAACCTAGCAAAAGACCCTTGTTTCTTATTACTATATACTAGGTGATCAAACAGTTTCAATTAATGTATACATGTAATTGCAAGATCAAAGACCACGTTTATTTTGAGGCGCTATAGACTCTAGTTTGGACGCCATCTAGCTATCTCACGACAATTCGTTGAAAGCTCAGAAACACGTTACATTTAATACTTATATACTGGATTGACAGAGGTGGTTAAATCTTGATAATGTCTCAAACCATCAATTGCTTTATACTACCGAAAGAAAAGTCAACAAGCAAAAAAAAAGCAAATGCAATGACTTGCTCCATAACATTTCAAAAACATTCCAGGGCAATGTAAAATTCAAAGTTACAGTTGATTTTATCTCAAAAATTAATAATATCTCCTTTACTGGATGGTAACTTTACAATATCTAGCAACTTATAATGAATGTTATGTTACAGATAGAACCAATGCTTGGTAAGGTACAATAAACTAAAACCAATTGGGAGATACAATATATATATCGATTAATTTTTATTTTACAGGGCTGTGTATTGATTATTCTTCTTGTATCTCGTTCTGTCGAAATTTAGATGTCAAGTAGAACAGACAGTTATGCGGTACGATCTGGGAATGAATGGACTAGCTGCATTCAGTCTCTCAGGATTTACCTACATCGATACTAGTCAGGTATGTTGACTATGGAAACAAATCTTAATAGCAATCGACTTGAAAATGTAAACATGGAAATACTTAAATGAATAATAAAATCACAATATCAGGGTATGATCAAAATGCATTTCATTCTGAATCGTGATGACTTTATTTCAGTTGTGCGATCGTCTACGAGTTGAAGCTGATTTCGCCTTTACGCCAACTAGAAGACCGAAATAGGCTAGACTTAATGATTATGTTCCTTGTTAGGATTATACAGATAAATAAAGCCTACCGCGCACTCTACGATCCTCTACGAACCAATTTTAAAAGAAATTGCAGTTGCATTGGATATGGAATTATATTGGAAGATATTGTCTTCCTGGTTGAGGTTCTGAATACTGATAAAGTGATATGAATCCTAGCAATGAAGATTTTAGTCCATTCCGTCTTCTGGTTGGCGTATAAGCGAAATCGGCTTCGAATCGTAAACGACCGCACAAGTGAAATGACGTCATTACGATTCAGAGCCGAAATGCATTTTACTCCTTCAATGAAGTTTGCTGTCTCCTGATTTCGTGATTCCAAACTACGATTGTCAAAATTAGTTTTGAATGTTTTGTTTTGAAAGTCGAATGTCGAATGGTATGAAGAAAAAATCGGATGGTTGTCTAGTTTTGCAGTGTGGTGGGTTGGTTACATGCCGGTAATGATAAATGACGTTTCTTGAGGAAAATAAATGTCCTCCAAAAACTGAAAATGGTTAGGTAGTACTTACACTTTTTTTGGTCGTAGTCATTGCTTATCGTTATCATTATAGGCTTACATGAATAATTGAACATAACCTCATAACCATGAAGTTCCCCTTTAAAACAATAATGTTGTGAATATATATCCATTTTCGTATGATATTCACCATCGTTTTGATATTTCATGCTTTAAATTGTAATATGACATTGTTTTTGTTCTCAAACCATTTCAATAATGCTCTCTTTAAAGTTGTTGTTATATTCGAATTTGTTATTGTATTTGTGACCTTCCCTTGCTTCCTTTTCTCAGTTGACGAGGAAATATTTGTCATTTTCTAGCAGTGAACGTGGATGGGTTCATTATAACATCTTTAATTTCCATTAACTGCAAGAAAGATGACTTGGAAAGGCTAATCGGGGACTAGTCACATCGATTTCCTCGTTTAATTTCCAGTTCATTGCGTGATCCACGAAAGTGTGATCTACGAGAATACATACCGCCGACTACCAGTGATGGGCCCGAGACCCATCTCGGTCTCGAATGCCGATGTATTAATGGGTCATGGTCTCGATCTACCCCGAGTCCTAGTAAGAAATGTACGTGATCTTTAGTTTCCTCCTCATCTTGCTGTCGGGACCCCCTCTTACAAAGAGTTGCGATTGGTTTCAACTCTTTGTAAGACGGGGGCCTGGAAAGGTCTCGACTACAACACTGCCTAGAACAAATTGGTCATATTCCCTCCCTCCATGTAGATCTACCTGCACTGTACAGTTGCTATCTGCGGAAACAACGACACGAGTGGCGAGTGTGCACCCTGTGCAAGCATGGCCCGCCGGAGGAGAGGGGCTACCTCAGGTCAGATGAGGGATCTATCCGTTGGACCTGTACGCTGGATCAAGGAAGACAGCAACAAGGTTATGGATTTAGAAATGGCTGTGGAGGATGCAGGTTTGATTTAAATTCGCATTTATCCTTTTGTAAGCCCCTAAGATAAATTTTCTCAATCATTTCGTTCTTTTTACAAGCTTTTACTCCGTCCTGAAAAGAGGAATAATGGACGTACGTTTATTCTTCTTATTATATTTAATTATTTTCGCAGAGAGTTTTAGTGAAACCAGAATAAAAGTATAACTTTGAATCCCCGGGCACATGAGGTCATTGTAATGACTTTATGTGATACTATCGAAGATAGTTTACACGTTACTTGTTAATACACTAGTTGAAATTGGAAATAGAAAATTATATCGGAAAATAGTACATCATAATGATTGTTAGAACTACAAATAAAGGTGTATATCCACAAAAAGTACATTTGTGGATGGAATCATTTTCATGATTTCCGCAGGTCGCTGTTCCAAGGTCCCAGTTAAAACTAGAAGATTGAAATTACCTCATGACCTTTTGATATACACAGAAAAGCAAAAAGTTAATATTTTCCCTTGAAATTTGTTCTCTTGAGTTCCAGCATCCGAGCTGATCGTTAATATTTTAAGAGGGTTTAACATTCAACAATCTTTTTGATAATCATACACACTTTTCATTTAGCGATCATTCACTTACTCATTACTCTATACCTCCAATGCGCTTCTCAAATCATATTCTCTCTCTCTCTCTCTCTCTCTCTCTCTCTTTCTCTCTCTCTCTCTCTCTGTTATTCTCTCTCCCTCTCTCTCCCTCTCTCTCTCTCTCCCTCTCTCTCTCTCTCTCTGTGTCTCTCTCTGTCTCTCCCTCTCTCTCTCTCTCTTTCTCTATTCTAGAAATACTAGGTGTGGATTCAGCTGGTCAGGGTGCCCGGCCCTGGATGACAGCAGTAGCTGTCATGGCAACCGTCATGGCGGCAATGGTTGTGGTGATTGTCGTGCTGGTGAGGAAGAACAGACGACAAAGTTCTCGCTTCAACTAGCTAACAACACGACACTGTCCCATGAGTGAGAGTACTACACCATTAACTGAAAAAGAAAAAGTATCTGTAGTAAAGAAATTCGGTACATTAAATGCTTTGGTTAGTTTTCTGGTGATTTGTAAACGTTGAATTTACGATAGAAACTATGTGTTTGAGAAAAGATATAAACAGAACAAATACACTGAACCTATTACATCTGACTTGTATTTTTTAGAGAATGTAATTTTTCAGATTATTTTTTAGTATATTGCATGATGATGAAAAAAGTGAAAATCATGATGATATCAAATACTACTACTGCTGCTATACTGCTACTGCTTATGATAATGATAATAACATAATTTAATTTATTACAATAATATCAATGATTACAATTACAATAATGATAAAAGCTATAATTATAATAATATAATGATAATAATAATATCAATAATAATTATAATAATATTAGTAATAATAATAACGATGAAATACAAAAATTATAATTATAGATAATCCAGGCTCTGTGAATTTATATTTCATACCAGAACTCATTATAAGTTTTCAATTATATATTCAGTAATACCAAATTACATACTAAAACTACCTAAATACCTTTTTACTTATTGATTTGATTTGTGTAACGTCATCAATATAATGTAGAAACTCGGTATCTCTATTCTCTTATTTACACCACCAAATAATAATAATCGTGGAAAATCAAGTTTTTTGGCCAATTATTTGAAAAAATTAAAATCCAGCTGTGCTGTCATTATTTTAGATATTTGTTTATATTTCTTTTACAAATGAATTCTGGCATAATCTACACAAAATATGAAAGGATAGTAATGCAAACAATTTAAACATCACTCTTTCGAGAGCTCCTTTCAAAGTAAATTACAAAATATATCGAATAGTTAAGATCAATCTTTTAAAGTTTTAAAGGTTATTATCCATGCCAAAAGTACATCAATATAACAATAAAAAGTTTATGTTTAACATCGAAAGGATAAATGAGACCAGAAAAAAGCATTTAATGCTAATCGTGTCTGGTACCACTGACACACAATAGTATCACAGCATTAAATGAGAATGTAACGAATAGATATGAATAACTATTGAATACATACTCAAGCTCCAAGCAATTCTACTTCTAGGCTAACATATGTTCTGTGATTAAATACAAAACTTTGGTATTTTACACTTAATAAAAGATACAGAATTATATTACATAATATTTACAAAAAGGCAAGATCTCGGTTCAAAGTTAAATACAATTGTTCTATTAACATTTGTGATATTAGAGTACTACAAAAGCAAAAAACTGATGCTATCTCCCGTGAAGAGGTATTGAACGTAGAATAATGATGTAAACTGTTTGTGTAACAAAATGATCACAAACACACTGTAAACTGATGCATAAATATTGTCATCCCCCAGTTAAATCAGTTTTTAAAATGATTATAAAGATGTGGCAATAAAGATGAAAATGTATCTTAGTGAAAGCTCTGAAATTTCATTACTTTACGTTTTCATGGTTCTTTTTGCATCTCTTCCTGAATTATCTAAGCAGTGATCGAGTAAATATTCTATGTTCCATTTTTTTTAAATCAAAAACTGTAAAATATTCCAAGATTTAATACGACGGAGGACTAAGAGAGAGAGAGAGAAAAAGAGAGGGAGAGAAAACAGTTTTGAGATTCAGAAAGAGAGAGAGAGAGAGAAAGAGAGAAAGATAGAGACAGAGAGAAGGTAACAGAGAAACACAGGGAGAGATAGGGAGAGAGAGAGAGGGGAGAAAGAAAAGGTGAGTAAGTGAGTGAGAGATAGAGGGAGAGAATAAGAGAGAGGGGGATCGTGAGTGGAGAGAGAGAGAGTGAGGAGGGTGGAGTGAGGGAGAACAGATTTGAGGAGACATATAAAGATAGGGAGAGAAAAGGAGAGGATTAGAAAGGAAAAGTGAGGAAGTGAGTGAGAGAGGGAGTGAGTAACTGAAAAAGAGAGACAGAGAAGAAAGAATCAGTAGCCACTCATTTATTTATAGTACTGTTATAAGTATTATATTTCTATACTACCTCAGTTGGTAAACTAGACAGGGGAGGGACACGTACACCATTGGGGTTTGCAGCAGTTTCGTACACATTATTGACACATTATTATTTATTATTATTATTATTTTATTTGGCAAATCAAGTCACATAATACAACAATATAACAAACATGAATTGAGATTAAAAAATCAATAGAAAGCATATATAAATATTGCAATAGCAGGTGCATCCGGTCGAGCTGCCCGGTATGGAAAAAGTTAACCAAATAACTGTGATCCGCAGACCTTCCTCCCCACACCCGACTAGATGCACCTGATATTGGTTAAAATAAAGCTTTAAAAAGAAAAGATAGATGAGAAGAAAAATGGAGGAAAAAGGGAGAAAAACGAAGGAAAAAGAAAAAGAAAAAAAAAAGAAAGAGAAAAAAAAAAAAAAAAGAAGAAAAAAAAAAAAAACATTGCATGACAATTTTTTTTTAAATTGTGAATTCATGACAGGTATAGTAACATATTGTTACTGTTAATCATTAACACCATCATCACGTTGTAAAAAAAAATAAAAAATAATATCATTATCATTATCGTTATTAACATTATTACTACTACCGTTACTATCATTATTATTATGATTATTATAATTTATATCATTGACATCAATATTTATATTAAAACATCAACAAAAAATTAATTTTCATTGAGAATACAATTTCAACAACAACCAGTCTCGAAGCTATTGCACGATCATAATATGTACAGATGAAGGTAAGCCCTATATCATGTTTATGAAAATATTAAAATTCAGTAATACAATTTTGGAATGGTTTGGAATGGTTAAAATGGACTGTGTATTATTTCAAGTACATATCATTATTGTTTCATATTATATAATGAGAAATGGAACACATTGCCATGCACGCACTCCTTTTGGAAATTCGGATACTAAAAGTCGATCTGGATCTCACGTCGTCATATGTAATTGCCTCGAGACGACGATTTTAGGCGGATGAAGAAAAAAAATCATATGAAGAGTTTTGAAATCTGATAAACATGAAATATAGAATAACAAAGTTTTGTGTGCAAAGCAAACGATGAACAGGCTTGACAACATTCACATACATACATTGGTGCAATCATACTCAGCCTTATCGCAAACTTTGATCGACACTAATCACAGATGATTAGTAATCATAAAAACAAATAATCATACATTAAAGATTGATTATAAAGGAATAGGCGTTATCAGAAAATAATCATGCCCTCCGTGCAAGTTATTGTTGACAGTAGTTAATCATCAACGTTTTGTAAAATCATATCTACTACTCAAAAAAACGGAGTCGGTGATCTAAATTTAGGCGGCCATTTTGTTTTGAAAACAGCGCTTAGCAGAACCAGCAAAACTGCGAATTCATGTGTTTTGTGAGCTCTGTGAAATAACAATTTAGTTCATGGAATAGAAGAAGATCGTAAGGATTATGGAGAAGTTTCAGTTTATATTTGGACTTACCCTCCTTCTCAGCCTTGGATTGATTCGTAGTAAGTAATAACTCGTGATTGTAAATTGTTGGTTTCGAACAAGAAGCCAGTTACTGCCAAAGGCACTACGTTCGGCCTTCTTGCTGGCAGTAGACGCTATCTTTCCCGATCTTTAGTATTTTTCTTTAAAAACGTAATATATAATTAAAATCTATGAAAATTACGCGCAATTTCATTCGACTTTACAGTTTACTCCTAACATAATTTTCATCTCTGTTTACTTTACAAAACACAGTTATCTTTTTGTTTTAATAGAGCATTCATTGCTCAAATGCAATACAAAATTGGTAGGGAGGGGGGGGGGGTGGCCTGTACAAACATCCCACCCCCCTGAGATTACAAAAAAACGAGAGAAAAAAAAGGAAGAAGAAGAAAGAAAAAAAAGGAGATTGTTTCAATTTCAGCATAATGCATGAGAAATTAGTTATTTTTGTATGTATGTATAACTGTATATATAGCCTACACGTATGCAGTATGTCACGATCATTAAGAGTAGTTGCGCGACGTGCGCGAATAAAGCACTTCATAAACTTCAGAATAATTTTTAATAAGTTATTTTGCAAGGTATTATAGCCTAGACGTAAAGTGCGCCAGCGCGCGAGCGCTTAAAAAGTGCAATCATGTAAAGTAGATGCCCGGCTCCCCCCCCCCCCCCCCCCACTCAGTGTTATTTATGTTACGCGTATGCTCGTTCCCTCCCTTTGAAAGCACCCCCCCCCCCCCCTATCTCAGGACTGCAAACATTTCTGAATCCCCCTTTCTTGGAGACCCCCCCCCCCCAAATCCGGAACACTGCTAAATGTACCACCACACCTACCCCCCCCCCCCCCCCCCCAATTTCAGGTGAGCTCTAGTCGATCGAGGGGGACTGGGGGCCAATGTTTTTACTTTTCAAAATGAAATAATCCTGAATGAGCTTTCAAAGCTAGCAGGAATTTCAGGAATTTGATCCCGGGATTTGATCAATTTTTCTACGATATTCAAGATATTTTAGAACCCCCTTTTCACATTTCTCAGGAGTCCAAGGAGAGAGAGAAAAAAACCCACCTCCTTTTTAAAGAAATATCCGGCTGAAAAGTCAAATACACCCCCTTTTTTACAATTCTCGGGCTGGATTTTGTCGCGCGAAAAAGTACCCCTTTCCTGGAGATTTTAGGAACGCGCATGCGGTCCCTCCGTGTGTGTGTGTGTGTGTGTGGGGGGGTAGATGAAGACTGAAGTTCCAGACCTAGCGTGTTCAAGACTTACAGTGGCCGTTTGTCTCTTCAGTTATTTCAAGGTAAGCCTGTACACAATCTTATTATTTTTATATTTGAGAAAGGATTTGGCTGAGGAAATTAAAGAATTCATTATATGAATTCCAGAAACATTTGTTAAGAGGTGTGAAAACTGTGAACGCATCTGATTGAGAGTGATAAATAAAAAGGTAACTGTTGCATTGCTTAAGTCCTACTCGGTGGCTGTCATTTGTTCACACCTAAAACTTAAGGGACGAGGGGATGATATTTAAGGGCTGCAATGCATTTGATGTTTGTGTAGGTCTATGAATGAATTAATTTGTTGTTTATATTGAATGAGTTGAATTGAATTCAGATAAATAGGGCTTAATAAGAGTCGAAAACGGTGCAACGAATCGTCTTCTTTCTATAATAATTAAATCAAACATCTAAGCTTTTCGCGCTTCGCGCGGAAAGGGGGAAACTGAATTCAGACAAGGATTAAGAGTCGAGAACAGAACACCCAATCGTCTGCTTTCTCTAATAATTTAAGGAAACGTCAAGGCTTCCGCGCTTAGCGCGAGAGGGGGAAACTGAATTCAGACACAGATTAAGAGTCCAGCACGGTTTAACAAATCGTCTACTTTTTCTAATAATTTAATGAAATGCGAAAGCTTCCGCGCTTCGCGCGGGAGAGAGAGGGAGAAACTGAATTCATACAAGTATTAAGAGTCGAGCACGGTTCAACGAATTGTCTTCTTTCTCTAATAATGAAACGCCAAAACTTCCGCACGGGAGGGGGGGAGGGCCGGGGGGAACTGAATTCGGACAAGGTTTAACAGTCGAGAACGGTATAGCAAATCGTCTTCTTTTTATAATAATTTAATGAAACGCCAAAGCTTTCGCGCTTCGCGCGGGAGGGGGGGGGGGTAAATTAATTCAGACAAGGGTTAACAGTCGAGAACGGTACAATAAATCGTCTTCTTTTTCTAATAATTTAAGGAAACGTCTAAGCTTCCGCGCTTCGCGCGGTAAGCCTATCACCCACACTCCCTTATGAGCGCGCTTCGCGCGCTCTTTGAGTGATTCGCCTGCTCACTACCGCTCCTCCATAAAATGAGATCCTAGCTCCGCGCCTGAATTAAAATATATAGCTATGATGCTGACTAAGTAAAATAAAATAATTCGTATATTTATGTCGTCGAGGAAAATGACCATTTGCGCATACGCAAATACTATAGATAGTTGTTGTTGTTGTTGTTTTAATTTATAGGCGTTTTTCATTCAGAAGTGAATATTTACGCCTCTTCTCTCAGGATTTTTATTCCTTTAAAATTAGATTTACTTTTTTTTATATATAGATTTGGATAAATTGGATTTTTAAAAGCTAAACTTTTATTTAATGATGAAGAATTCAGTGGCTGGCGAGCAAAAGGCTTATCGGCTATATAGGACGCCCAAGGACCAACTCGGACACGGTACGTAGTGACAAGCTTCTCAACTCAGCCTAATGCTGAGCCTAGGCCCTCCGACGTCCACCAATATGTCTAGTCGTCTCCATCGTGTTTCTTCAAAATTTTGACCGAAAACCAAAAAATAAAAAAAACAGATCATGATACATGAAGATTTTAAACGTTAATATAGACAGTTCTCTCTTCTAATTTCTTTTTTTCTTTTTTTTTTCTTCTTTCTCACTTTTCTTCTTCATGTACATGTATACTCACTATAAAAAGCGAAACATTATTGGGCTCAAATAATTATGTGCGGTGCAAGGTGGTTAGTAGGGGTACAGTTGTACCCTTTTAGATCTAACTACGAAGTTAACCAGAGCCTGTTGGTGATTAATATCTGTTGATTTCAGGAGTATTGGGATTAATTCTTCGTTTTCTATTCCAGATTCTGTTATAAGCATGGCTCTCTCTATAAGAAAGAGTGGGCACTTACATAAAAAATGTTTAACTGTTTCTTTTTGGTGCTCACAGTTTGGACAATGTCCTGTCTCATGTTGATTCAACTCAAAAAGATTATTATTTAAACCTAAGTTTCCCATTCTTAGGCGATGAAGAATAGTTTCATGATATCTGTTGTTCAGGTAACACACAAATGTTTTTGATACTAGAGTTTGCGTTTCCCGTAGGGGGGATGATGTTTCATTCCATCTTTTTTGCCATATCTCTATGTAGTATTTCTTTATAACATGATTTGATTCTGCTCTGGTAAGAGCGTTGTTGATTTCTATATTTTTATTTAGTCCTGCTTTAGCAAACTTATCTGTTATCTCATTGTGTTGTAGACCACAATGACTGGGAATCCATTCGAAATAGACCTGGGTGCCCTTGTATTTTAGTTGACTACACAGGGTTAAAATTTCAAGAATGAAAGATTCGTCTTTACGAGATTCTATGGCCTGGAGTGAACTCAAAGAATCAGAAAAGATGACTGCCCCGGTGTAAAGTCCTGGGACCCGGTGTATAGTCCCCAAAACAATTTAGCCTCGGCCCCGGGTATATAGGCTTAAATTTGTAAATATTGGGACATTTAATTTTGTCGGTAATTGGGGGCTAGTTTTGTCGGTAATCGTTGCCCTCTACACCCCCCCCCCCCCCACTAAGAAAGATCTAGCGACGCCCCTGACCATTATACATCATTTTCTAAGAGAAGGGACTCAAAATAATGAGTTCGCATCTTCCTGACAAAATACTCAATCTTTATGTTACAACTTGAAAGTGTGTCGTCTTATTTCAAGTTCATTATAATAAAACACTACAGTTTGCAGCTGTCAGTATTTCGAAATATGTCCAATTCTTTTACTTTATGGTTGTCAAATTTGGCATGTGCGTGCATGTATGTATGCATGTATACATTTATGTACATGTGTTTGGGTATGTATGCGTGTGTGTGTGTGTGTGTGTGTGTTGTGTGTTTGTGCGTGCGCGATCGCGCGCGCTTGCGTAAATTAGTGTGGGCGTGTGCTCGTGCTAGTATGTGATGGCTATCGCCGATCATCCCCCCCCCCCCCCACTCCTCGGTACGGATTTACGCCCCTGATTAATAGTATAGTATTAATGACTGCTTTGAGAAAAATAGTTGTTTTTTTACGCCTCGGGCAATAGCACAATTGTAACCTATCCGAGAGCGTATAAAAAAAAACAATTTCTAGAATATTAAAGCAGTCATTAATACTTTTATATGCCGAAAAAAAGGGTCAACTTATGACACCACCTTGGCCTTTCTCTAGTTTATCTACACGGTTGTTTTTTATGAGTTTATCTTTGACAGTAGACTAGATCTAGATTCTAGTCTAAGCAAGATTTTTTTTACAATTTGGGGGGTGGGCCGGCTCTGTCGGGAATATGGAGAAAAACCTGGGCTTTCATATGACACCTCACTTATTGAGATTCACCTTCAGGATCACGAGCAATATTAGTATATCTGGTAATTAAGACATCGACCAATTTAGCATGAGTGCGCAATGGCCAATGCATAGGGATGTATGTAATCTCTACGGGAAGGATTTTAGCACTACTAGAATCTAGGCCTAGACCTACTAGATCTATTTTGAAAAAAATTAATGGAGAATTACACGTACCCTTTTTGGTGTTCTTGCTGTCAGCAAGTCTTGCATTTGATCATTATCAAGAAGTTGAAATCTTGGGAGAGTTTCTTCAGCCATTTTTGCCTTCGAGATTGCCGTATTAAAAATACCGACCAATTCTTCGCACACGTACGGTATCCGCGATCGCTCAAACCATTTTTTTACATGTGAACCTATGGGTATTTCACCAAGACTGAACTATTTTCCCGGTAACCATGCTACCTGGAATTTTGCCGGGATTTTACTCTAGAACTATTGCATGGGTTTGGCATTTTTTGTTTATTTACGGGAATGGTTAAAACCATGACTGCAGATGGCTGAATTTCTTAAGTGAGGTATTTAAATATATTTATTAAACGTTGAAACAAAATCTACTTGTAAAATATTATGTCTATTATGATTTTTAGATGACAGTTATGAGTTGTTGTTTGATTAGCAATGGCGCTTGTAAAATGGCGACTGGCTGGAATGCTCCCCAGGGAGTGGAAAATGTGCAAACATTGTGTTGCCGGTAAGCCTGAATCCGATGACCGGGGTAATAATATGTTCCGCGCCTAGAAACAAAGTATTAGGCGCATTATAAATGTGAGCTATTATTATTATTATTTTCGTTTTCATCTCTTTGTTGTAATGAGTTCAAGTAGAGAGATAGTTCTTTGTTTTATATCATATTTTTAAAGTACTAGTCGTCTATGTCGGGAATAGGTCTTTTATAATTGATTTGTCTGTTTTTATCTTTTCGTTTCAGATGTAAACGGTGATTGCACAAACAGTAAGTATGAAAATGGTCGCCCCTTTCAGAACTCATGGTACATGAGTGGAACAACCAACTATTATTGTTTTATTTTGATATTGGAGATCTAAGGTGAAAAGATATAGGTCTAGACTTGTTTACTGTACTTGATAGCCATTCAATTGATCAGCTTAATCTGCGTCAAGTAACCATGTGTTTGATTTGATTAAGGGTTTCGTCCTGCTCTTGCTAGGGACATTAAGATGTGAAAATGAAGCTACAGTCATCTCGTTAAAAGTTACTGAATATTTTGTCAATGATTTTTCTTTTTAATGCTAAATATATTACTCATTGCGAATATAATATGGAAAAAAATATCGCTAGTGACATTTGTTTGTCTCGCAATGTATGGTCAACAGTGGATAAAAAAAATCATGGCGTTACGTGTGCCGCTGCTACACTTCGTCAAGTGATAACATAATGTAATCACCTGTATACAATATATTTTATCACCTGACGAAGTGCAGCAGCGGCACACGAAACGTCGTGATTTTTTTAGATCCCTTGTTGACCATACATTGCGAGACAAACGAATGTCACTAGCGATATTATTTTCGATTTTTCTTTTTGTTTCAACTAGATTTTGTATTGTTTTTAATAACCCCCGGACTAATTGAAGATAAAAGACTAATATATTGAATATGGATGGCTTTGAGTGTGAAACAATAATATATGGCTCGAGCTATAACAGTATTGGACGAGTCCGAAGAAACATTTACATATGCACGAAAACAACGCCATACAATATTATTATTTGTATTATATCTACATCAGGCTGACTAGCGAAATAACAAAATTTGAATTACCTCGGTAAATATTGCTTTGTTTTCGTGTGATATCGATATCGATGGTTGAAGTTCCCGGATGACTGAGCAATACGTAAACAATATTAATCAGTCATCCGGGTTCTGTACTAAAGATATTAAATACACTGATTTATTGTAACACTTGGAAGTCTTATACAGATAATAATGCGTGGTATTGAACAAGACACGTGTCTTTTTAATCTACATCAACCACCCACCAAATGAAATTCTATGGTAGAAGATTTATCAAAAAGTTATAGTGAAAAAAAAGGGAAATGCATAACAGAAGGCATTCACAACGATCGAAATCCCGCTCTTTAAACAGTTCTTACGAAGCTCTGTGTTCTGTCTATTTTGGGAAAAAAAGGAATTCGATGTATGCACTCTCCTAAGCTAATTTTTTTTTATCATTCATTATAAGCCCATTTTCAGCTCATACTTTGAATCACAACTAAGTTTGATTGCAAGTGCATTTTTTGATGCTTTGTTACTTATAAGAATAAAATCACTGGACTTGAATATTATGACTGACAAAATTCGAATGTGGCGTTCACTTGTTGTACCATTTGTCGACAGAAACAGGCAAGATGTGTTCAGACCATTGTCGTTTTCGAAATAACTGTGAATTCCAAATTATCCAAACAATACATTTTATCTTATTTCTTTTATTTCTACTTCTTTTCAATAAAGGCGATGGATCGACGTGCTCAGGAACAGGTTTGAAATATACCATTCTACTATTAAAAAAATAAAAATAAAAAAAATTAAAATAAAAAAGAAGAATTAGCTTCTGTTATCTATTTATGAACCTTACAATCAGGCTTGTATTGAACCAACAATGACATTATACATGTATCACGATAGATTTATTAATATTTGTATAAATATGTCAAGCATGTTAAATGAAAAGAGGTCGGTGGAGATAAAAATCACTCCAAATCAGATTTAAAATGTGTTTTTTTCTTTTTAATAATGCATTTACATATAATTTAGAAACCGTTAAGTGTTTCAGATAATTCATGGTTCTCCTTTTTTCATTTAGATTGTTGTTACAACGGTACCAATGGCTTATCACCGGTCCTGGGTTCTGGAGGTGGCATAACCCCAATATATCCATGCTATACCAGTGGATCTGGAGTGACCTATACCTGTACTGGTGATCTGAGGGGACCACCTTACAACACTTGCAACGGTGGGACCTGGCTATTTGGGTTCGCACCGACATGTGAAGGTAGGAATTATTACACCCCCCCCCCTTTTTTTTTTTAAATGGACATGATAGCTACACCTAGCTTCATTGTCTTCTACGGAGTTTCAGGACTTATGGAGAAGATCTCCATCTTGATATTTAGCTGCTTTTAAAAGAAGCAGGAACGATGGAGAGGAGGTTAGGTAAAAGTTGAAGTAAAACCCGATTAACAATGAGAAAGTTATGAATTGTAAAATTAGCAATAATAACAATTTGGAAAAAAATATTCATAACACATTATGTTTACAAAACATGCAGTATATATTTGTTTACAATAATAACATCACCCCCCCCCCCCGAATAAAAAGGAAGTAAATGGTACCGATGGGGATTTTCCCCCACCGTAAAGGGACTAGATAACATTGTTTAGATGAGAGAAATGGTGCTGAGGTAGTGACTTCAATAGAAGATGCATTATTAAAGATGATCTTAAAGTTTGAGTGAAAACAGTCCATAATAAAAAAAAAAAATTGGGAAAAACTGGTCTAATCGATTCCTAAATTGTTTTGACTATATTATTACAATTAAATTACGTTTTAGGTGAATTCGAATTAAGAATTTGCTCTTTTTGCCATTACAAACATTTAAGTGTTGATAGATGTTTAAAAGCCTGTTTTATTTTTATGGAAACGGTTGGGAAAATTCAAAAATGGTCGGGAGAAGTTATTGTTAAAGGGTGTCGTACAGTGACACCTTCAAAGAAAACTAAAAATTTCCTTGTGGCTTGAGAATTTATTCATATTTATTTATCTATATACTATAATACCCAAAATGGCACGTACTTTCAAAATTAAATCATGTCGTAAAATAATTACCACACAACAGTTACAAAAGTATCAATTCAAAACAAAAATGATAAAATACCTGGGCAGACATTCTTAGGTATTTTAACAACAAAATCAAAGGCCGTCTACACAGGTATTGTTTTATTTTTGTTTTGAATTCATGCTGTTGTTACTAATGTGTGGTTGGGATTTTATGATATGATTTGTTTTAATATAACATCACCTTGTTGTGACAGTAGGCGTATGTGAGTGCCATATTACGATTATAATTGGGTTTTGGTTTTTCTTTTTTTTTTGGAGGGGGGGGGGTATCTATATGTATGGTGATGAACATGATGATGATGATAATAATAATTATAATAATAATATTGATGATGATGATAATAATAATAATAATAATAATATTAACATCTATATTAATATCAAACACACTGGTCCTCTACTACGCACTTTTGACATATTTGTCGTTGTAGGTGTGACTACATGCACCCAACCTACGGTACCAACAAACGGCAGTATCACTCCTGATACTCCTACATATGACCTATATACCCGAATCACATACGCCTGCGACGACGGGTATACGTTGGGAGGCCCATGCGAAGCGGTCTGCGAATCGGGTGGGGTCTGGAATCCGTCCACTGTACCCACTTGCGAATGTAAGTTCTGTGTCACTCTGTATCTTTTTAGAGCACAACCGAACTGCTAAATACATGGCACCCTCTAGCATGTCTGGAGAAACCTCAATCTTCGTACTCATCACTGTTAAGTCTTTTTGATGGTCTTTCTTTAGTTTTTTTATAATTATGTAACAAATTTAGCATAATGCTTCTGAGGTTTCCTCCTCATTATTGTAGATTAAGTAAGCATCCTTTGAACTATTTTAATGACTTGCGTAAAATCGTTTATATTGCTTTAATACCACCAACTGTCGAATAAATTGATGTTTTGTTACCTTGTATATGCGTTAAGTTGTAAATTCTTTTCATATGCAGTTAATGTGGAAATAAAACCTATATAAACAAAATAAAAAGTCATGAACTAGAGGACATCTTACAAGAAAATTTGACAAAATATGACAATTTGAAAATAATTTTTTCAAGACACTGCCAAATACAGTCAAAAGCATTCCAGGACAATATTTCTTACTATATGAGAGATTTCATGTTCTAGTGGATACGTCAGTGAGCCGACTGTGGATCACATGGTTTGATGTTTCAATTCCACCGCGGCATGTCCTTTGGCACGACATTAATCTGCATTATTGTTGTTGTTGTTGCTGTTAAATTTATTAACATTAGTATTGTTATTACCATTATCACTATTATCATTTTCAGTACTGTTATTTTTGTATTATTAATATCATTATTATAATCATTATTATTATTATCGTTATTATATTCCAATCTTTTTTACATAACAGCCAACTGTGCCAAACCCACTCTGACCAATGGAGGCGTCAGTCCAGATCAAGATTCTTTTAGTAACGGCGAGGTTCTCGTTTATGAATGTAACACGAACTATACCTTGGTCGGGGTATCCACAGCAACATGCCGCAGTGGAGTCTATGATCCCTCGAGCAAACCAACCTGCTACGGTAAGATTTTCTTCTTCTTCTCCTTTAACACAACTTTGTTTTAACACCACCATCATGATATACATTTAATTAGTTTCAAAAAGAAATGTGAATGCGCTTGCATCATATTTTTTCTCGGTATTTTTAGTCATTCATGTATTAAGTTAGTTCACACATTTAAAAAGGATGGTCCATTCAATAGAAAATGGTGTTCACTTCATTGTTGTATTTGCAGGAGTCAATTTTTAGAAAGCCTTTTGGAATGTGTTTTATGATTTATAACATTTATCGGCAGAGATGTGGGAACGAAATTTGCGTCTGACACACACATTTTATAGATTTCTTTTCTTCAAATATAACTTAGATGATATGTTTTAGCTGGGTGAGGTGGGAAGGGGAGGGGCTTCATAGAGTACATGACTGTACTTTAAAGACCGTCAATACTACTGGGCCAGAGGGGATTAGACCACACAGCGAGGTCACTGAAAGGTGGCTCACTCATTAACTCAGCTCTCAACTAACATAATAAAAAGAGGATCATGGGGGACCAACAGGCACCGATTGGGGAAGTTTTCTATATAAAGGGAGCAAGTACCTACAAGTAGGACAGTGGGGCTTTAAGCACCTACCATCTGAAATTTCCAAAATAATCAGCATGTGGACTAGATATCAAAATACAGTTAAAACATTTTAAAACGGACATAACACTTATTTCACAGGTACTTCAAGTATTCACCATCCATAACAGCAACTAAAAAAAAACGTTTCGTGAAAGATATTTATGTGACACTGACAATCAAATTCAAAGAACATTTAGAAATACTTTCCTGATTTAAACATTAAACTTTACATTTAATATAATATTTGTTTTCTACAGAAAATTGCGATGTGAGTGCTGTACCTGATTCAGATTATTCATTTGGTGGTACAGTCACGCATGGTACGACTTTCAACGTAACGTGTGACACGGGTACAACAAGGGCTACAGAGTTCACTTGTAATGATGGTGTCCTGTCTCCTGATACACTACCTACATGTTACGGTAAGATCAATGGTTTGTTAACTGTTTCTAAATGCTAGACTTTGCCTATGGATTAAATTGCTCACATACAATACGAAATTGGTAGATGTTAGTATGGTAATAATGACTGCTATGAGAGACATAGTTGTTTTTATACCCTCAAGGGGAGGTAACATGATCGTGCTATCGCCCCGAGGCGTGCCATTTGTGTTGTTAGATGCTGCTTGTAAGTGTCGGCTTGCATGGTGATGTAGATATACAGTAGGCTTGCGGGGCACCATATGAGAGAGAGGGGGAGGATTGAGGAGTCCTGAAAAAGGACTCTGACTCGGTAATCTTTCTTGAGGGTTTGTTAGTCCTGAAAAGGACTGTTGGTATAGTCTTGAAAAAGACTGTTTGTTATCTTTCTTAGCTTATAGTTCTAAGGAGAACCAGGCGCGGATCCAGGATTTCTTAGGGGGGGGGGGGGCATTTTTTATATTTTTGTTTTGCTTCCGAAAATTTGAAAATCGCGCCGGCCGATAATTCGCTCAAGGGGGGGGGGGGGGGAATTGACCACTCATTTTTTGGGCCCTCGAAAATTTGAAAAATCGCACCCCTTCCCCCCCCCCCCTCCCTTGAGCGCCAGAGGGGGGGGGGGAGGCCATCTCCAAAAAAGGTAAAATTAACGTGTTTTTACACTTTTTTTTTCAGGGGGCGGGCCCCCCTGGTCCGCCATTGCTTGAATTTCCATAATTTTATCGAGCGAATTCGTTTTCCCTGGTTGCCTGCCGTAGCAACAAATGGAATTAACAAAAGTCTTAACTCCGTTTCTTTGACAATCAGCCGTAGACGAAAGACTTCATGCATGGCTGATTGTCAACGAAACGGAGTTAAGTCTTTTGTCTATTCTGCTTGTTGCTACGGCAAGCAGCTAGTGAAAACGAATTCGCTTGATAAAATTAAGGAAATGCAAGCACTACTTTAAAGGGATAGTTGAGTTCTGTTTTCAGACCACAAATGCATTCAAAGTGCGTGGTAATCGCTTTTATTCTTATCTATGACATTTATAGCGCCCTTTTAGAACCTAAAATTGAACCTAAAATTAAAAATAACAATACATGAGCCGGCTAATTGTGGGTAATATAAGCAACACGAAAATGCCAACAAAAAAGCCAACATCGGCGTTGGCTGAAATACGACGTAAAAGGCGTTATTTCGTTTTTTTTCAACGTTTTTTTTTTTTAATTTTTCAAAATATCTAATATTCGTGGTGGTACACAAGCATTAGAAATTGTTGTTTCAGCCGTCTCTGAACCGAGTTTGATCAAACAAAGATGATTGTGTCATTTAAATATTATGTTCTTTCAAATTTGACACTCAGTTTTTCAATATCTCACACAAACAGTTATTTTGTGTAGCACCCTCTGCAACAGAACTCAACTATCCCTTTAAAGAGATGGTTCATTGAAATGTGGAAAATGGGCAAATTACACCTCTACAGATTGCTGAGAACATTAACCAAATGAGCAAAGTACTTTTAAAGCCCTCACTGTTGTGAGGAATAAATTAAATGCAATTTTGTTACCCTTTCCTGAACCCACTCACTAAGTGAATTGACGGCGTTATTTTACATGCGAAACTATGACGTCACAATATGAACAACCTACATCACACATTCGGGACAATGTTGGATACCCCCTCAGATATGGGTTAACGTTGTTTGTATATTTACCGCCAGTGGTGATATTTCCTCTTTTTTGGCATTTTGAATGAGATACACTGAATAGATGATACTTTCTACAAATGTTTGTTTGATTTTTATATTTTTTTCTGTTACGTTTGAGCATAAAAATCGGGAAAATAATCACATATTCTGAGGGCACCTCAGCGTGTATGTGTCTGATCTGGGAAGGCAAAGGACAGTTTGCATGCTGACCTAACGACTCTTTTGGAGTGAAATAGGCGACAAATTTACATGGAATTGTCCAGATATTCATTACAAAACATGTGTGATTAGGCTGATTAATTTACATTTTTGATAAATTAAGTCGTATAGCCTATAGGACCTGATAAACCAAGAGAAACAGATCAGTCCGGTTCGCGATTCACGGCTAGTTCGAGCGCCAGGCTACGGGCTAGGCTGGCTAGCAAGCTGCGCTAGATGTGATGCACGCATATAGAGGTCAGTGTATTGCACACATAGTACATGCACAAAGTACGTACGCACAGCTACCAGCTACGGGAAACTGGAACGCTACATCGACAATATATTCACTCGCTTTTTGGAAGTTATATACAATTTATCTAGACTAACGTCAGATTAAGAAACAAGACCATGCCATGGAGGAGCCTTCTGGAGTATACTCAAGTATGTTTTCGTCCATATTCATATTTCCAGTGGATTTTGATGAAGGTAAACAGCGTAATTAGTTATAAATGGGTACGGTACTCGAGAGTCAATGCAATACATGTGAATTGCACGCAAACTGTAACTCGCACCGTCGTCAATCGTTTCAGCTGAGCGGCCCGCTGTTCATATTGTGACGTCACTTCAAAAATCAGCTGACTTACGATGTTTTAGGGGCGTTGCGTGGGTTGATTTTTCGTCAAGTTCAATCAACTTTTATAAATTTCGCTCGAATGTACAAGTTACACAAATGTAATGATTTTACTCAGTGTAATTTTTCGATTGCAATGATACCAAATTCAGTCAAGTTTGAAATCAATAAACCATCTCTTTAAACAAGCAGAATCTTGTCATTCCTTGCTCATTTTACCTGATTGACGTTGTCATATGAAAGGGCAGACACTCAACTTTCTAGCAATGTGATTTTCTCTTTGAAATTCAGATACCGTCCGCCAAATGACTTTGTGGTTTCCTCTCCTCAAATTGATCTTAATCACTTATGCGTGAAATATGCATCATATGAGTTGAATCAAATGAAAGAGGAGGATCTAAGCTTTATGTGTCATTTATCAATTATTAATGTGACTAAGTTATAACAAAAACATCGCTAATTCTGGGTTCCGTTTTTTTGTGGGACGCACTGTATATAGCAGCGCACTTAATGAATTTATAACCTGAGAATGTATGAGCTAAGAGTATGTTATACAAAAATGGACTGTAAAAAGGGAGATATAAAGTGGAATGATTTGATGAAACGATAGAGAGAGAGAGAGAGAGAGAGAGAGAAGGGAAGAAATTGGGAGACAGGTGCCAGAATAAATACTCTGACGATTTGGTGATCTGGGAAGGCAGGTAATATGCCAACTCGTCATTATGCATCCCCCGATCCCCCCACCCCATTTGCAAATTTAATATATCTAACTTCATTTTAGTGATAATGGTTAATAATATTCAAGCAAGCAAAATAAAATAATAATTTAATTTTGCTCTCACGCAGTGTTCTGTACCATTTGGTACTAATTTCATTAAGTCCATGCTTTGTTCATAATATATGTGACTCGTTTGATATCTTAGCTACTCTTGGACCATTCAGTACTGACAACTTCAAAACTGACGAAGAGACATCTAGTAAGATTTCTATTTGCTATATCTTTTGAATTGAATTTGAATTTAATAACCACAACATATCACAATAATGAGAGTATAATGAACAATCATACAATACAAAGAATAACAAAACACGAATACATAAAGGAAGAGTAATGTTGATTGAACGGTAATGGTTTTAAAACGATATTTAGACATAGATATGAATACTATTTTGTACAAAATATACACATAATTATATGCATTGAAGTTGTTAATGGGAACTAGAAGGTAGCACATGTGCTAGTCGAGCCCAGTTCCATTCTTTGGCAAGATTCCTGTTTAAACGTATGCTTGTAAAATTTGTTTGATTTGAATTTACATAGATTATATATACAAAATAATATGATATCAAGTAACTTGTTTACATTTCTAAAAGAAAAAAGGTAAAGCGCTAAAGAATTATAATGAAAGATAACAAATCGTTAAATGAATACAATCATTGATATGTTCAAAATATGAAAAGGATGTATTAATACAAAAATAAGGCATAAAATCATGTGCGTAGATGCTCAAATCTCGTAAAAGCTTGAAGGCAGAAATAATCGTCAACAAACAAATGTATACACACCAGGGTAGATACGTATTCCTGCAAAATAATGATAAATGCACAATGATGTGCAATTCATTTTATAGTTCTCATTAATCGTATTCTCTAAAATAAGTTGGTTTTTTTAAAATCATATTGGGTTTGAAATTAAGCATGCATTTTTTCGGGTAAAATGATAGCCAACATTGAGTAAATTCTATCCAGCATTGGGTTGAATTTTAGCCAAAAAAACATGCATGTCTTTTTAAAAAATTACAATGGGTAAAATCTTTCCCGATTCTTTGTACAGTGTAATTAGAATGGAAAAGTATACCCCCCCCAAAAAAAAGGGAAACTTGGATTAGACAGTAAAAAAAAAAAGGAGAAGCTAGCTGCAGAGAGAAAATTTGTGGGGGCTTCCAAGAGACAAGACAAAGGGCAGTAGACTGTGTGTATAAGTGAGTGTGTATTGTATTGAAAATAATGAGTAAATGAACAAATTCCCAATGAAACATTCAAATTACTGACATCTACGATTGTACAGCGAATATACATGTACTTTCCAACCTTACTGACCATTTAATTAGTCATGTATTTCAAGCTTTAATCGGATTTCATTATGTCAACATGGGTGAATATCATAATAACTTATTACACATTTCATTGATTTATGCGTAATCAATTTTCCCCTTCCAGCTGGTCCACAACCCGACCCCACCACCTTCACCCCTGCAGGTAAGACGAATGATTGATATTATTAATCTTCGTCACGTGCATTGCGATGATTTCCTTAAAGCTCCTCTGCACTAGATTGGCCAGGAGGGATTAGACCTCCCTCCATGGTCACCGATAGGTGGTTATCTCATCAAATTAGCTCTCAATTAACTTAAGAAAAGGGGATCATAGGGGACCAGCGGTCACCGATCAGGCATTGTTTGCTATATAGAGGGCGTAAGGAGCTATAAATAATATTCAAGCAAGCAAAATAAAACAATAATTTAATTTGCTCTCACGCAGTGTTCTGTACCATTTGGTACTAATTTCATTAAGTCCATGCTTTGTTCATAATATATGTGACTCGTTTGATATTTCAGCTACTCTTGGACCATTCAGTACTGACAACTTCAAAACTGACGAAGAGACAACTAGTAAGATTTGTATTTTCAAATGATTTGCTATATCTTTTAAATTGAATTTGAATTTAATAACCACAACATATCACAATAATGAGAGTATAATGAACAATCATACAATGCAAAGAATAACAAAACACGAATACATAAAGGAAGAGTAATGTTGATTGAACGGTAATGGTTTTAAAACGATATTTAGACATAGATATGAATACTATTTTGTACAAAATATACACATAATTATATGCATTGAAGTTGTTAATGGGGACTAGAAGGTAGCACATGTGCTAGTCAAACCCAATTCCATTCTTTGGCAAGATTTTTGTTTAAACGTATGCTTGTAAAACTTGTTTGATTTGAATTTACATAGATTATATATACAAAATAATACAGTATCAAGTAACTTGTACAGTATCAAGTAACTTAAAGAAAAAAAGGTAAAGCGCTAAAGAATTATAATGAAAGATAACAAATCGTTAAATGAATACAATCATTGGAATGTTCAAAATATGAAAAGGATGTATTCATAAAAAATAAGACATAAAATCATGTGCGTAGATGCTCAAATCTTGTAAAAGCTTGAGGGCAGAAATAATCGTCAACAAACAAATGTATACACACCAGGGGTAGATACGTAGGCCTGCAAAAGAATGATAAATGCACAATGATGTGAAATTCATTTTATAGTTTTCATTAATCGTATTCTCTAAAATAAGTTGGGTTTTTTTTTCAATCATATTGGGTTTGAAATTAAGCATGCATTTTTTCGGGTAAAATGATATATTAACATTGGGTAAAGTCTATTAAACATTGGGTTGAATTTTAGCCAACAAACTTGCATGTCTTTTTAAAAAATTACGATGGGTAAAATCTTTCCCGATTCTGTGTACAGTGTAATTAGATTGGAAAAAAATACACCCCCCCCCCCCCCAAAAGAAAAAAAAGAAAGAAGGGAAACTTGGATTAGACAGTAAAAAAAAAAAAGGAGAAGCTAGCTGCAGAGAGAAAATTTGTGGGGGATTCAAAGAGACATGACAAAGGGCAGTAGACTGTGTGTATAAGTGAGTGTGTATTGTATTGAAAATAATGAGTAAATGAACAAGTTCCCAATGGAATATTCAAATTATTGACATCTACGATTTTACAGCGAATATACATGTATTTTCGAACCTTACTGACCATTTAATTAGTCTTGTATTTCAAGCTTTAATCGGATTATATTATGTCAACATGGGTGAATATCATAATAACTTATTACACAATTCATTGATTTATGCGTAATCAATTTTCCCCTTCCAGCTGGTCCGCAACCCGACCCCACCACCATCACCCCTGCAGGTAAGACAATTGATTGATATTATTAATCTTCGTCACGTGCATTGTGATGATTTCCTTAAAGCCCCTCTGCACTAGATTGGCCGGGAGGGATTAGACCTCCCTCCATGGTCACCGATAGGTGGTTATCTCATCAAATCAGCTCTCAATTAACATAAGAAAAGGGGGATCATAGGGGACCAGCGGTCATCGATCAGGCATTGTTTGCTATATAGAGGGCGTAAGGAGCTATAAGTAGTGCAGTGGGGCTTCAACTTACACTTCTGATATACTATCAGAAGATTTAGAATTAAGAAATAAGATTAACAATTCCGACATCAACTGGCGAATGATAAGGTTTGATCAAAGCGCCTAAAATGTATCATTATCTCTAAAGGCAATGATGGTTAGAAGGGGGAGGTACTTTCCCCCGAGCTGTAATCGGAATTTAAATTCAAATTCAAATTTTTATTTTTTATTTCAATCTGAATTTTCTCCGATATCCACTAACATCATCCACAGGAGATTTTGTGTAGCGCCCTCTGCAACAAAAATCAACTATCCCTTTAAACAAACAGAATCTTGTCATTCCTTGCTCATTTTTCCTGATTGACGTTGTCATATGAAAGGGCAGAAACTCAACTTTCTAGCAATGTGATTTTCTCTTTGAAATTCAGATAACGTCCGCCAAATGACTTTGTGGTTTCCTCTCCTCAAATTGATCTTAATCACTCATGCGTGAAATATGCATCATATGAGTTGAATCACATGAAAGAGGAGGATCTAAGCTTATGTGTCATTTATTAATTATTAATGTGACCAAGTTATGATAAAAAAATCGCTAATTCTGGGTTTCGTTTTTTCTGGGACGAACTGTATACTGAATAGCAGCGCACTTAATGAATTTATAACCTGAGAATGTATGAGCTAGGAGTATGTTATACAAAAGTGGACTGTAAAGAGGGAGATATGAGGTGGAATTATTTGATGAAACGATAGAGAAAGAGAAAGAGAGAGAGAGAGAGAGAGAGAAGGGAAGAAATTGGGAGACAGGTGCCAGAATAAATACTCTGACGATTTGGTGATCAGGGAAGGCAGGTAATATGCCAACTCGTCATTATGCATCCCCCGATCCCCCCATCCCATTTGCAAATTTAATATATCTAACTTCATGTTAGTGATAATGTTTAATAATATTCAAGCAAGCAAAATAAAATGATAATTCAATTTGCTCTCACGCAGTGTTCTGTACCATGTGGTACTAATTTCATTAAGTCCATGCTTTGTTCATAATATATGTGACTCGTTTGATATTTCAGCTACTCTAGGACCATTCAGTACTGACAACTTCAAAACTGACGAAGAGACAACTAGTAAGATTTGTATTTTCAAATGATTTGCTATATCTTTTAAATTGAATTTGAATTTAATAACCACAACATATCACAATAATGAGAGTATAATGAACAATCATACAATGCAAAGAATAACAAAACACGAATACATAAAGGAAGAGTAATGTTGATTGAACAGTAATGGTTTTAAAACGATATTTAGACATAGATATAAATACTTTTTTGTACAAAATATACACATAATCATATGCATTGAAGTTGTTAATGGGGACTAGAAGTTAGCACATGTGCTAGTCGAGCCCAGTTCCATTCTTTGGCAAGATTCTTGTTTAAACGTATGCTTGTAAAACTTGTTTGATTTGTATTTACATAGATTATATATACAAAATAATACAGTATCAAGTAACTTGTTTACATTTCTTAAAGAAAAAAAGGTAAAGCGCTAAAGAATTATAATGAAAGATAACAAATCGTTAAATGAATACAATCATTGGAATGTTCAAAATATGAAAAGGATGCATTGATAAAAAATAAGACATAAAATCATGTGCGTAGATGCTCAAATCTTGTAAAAGCTTGAGGGCAGAAATAATCGTCAACAAACAAATGTATACACACCAGGGGTAGATACATAGGCCTGCAAAATAATGATAAATGCACAATGATGTGCAATTCATTTTATAGTTCTCATTAATCGTATTCTCTAAAATAAGTTGGGTTTTTTTCAATCATATTGGGTTTGAAATTAAGCATGCATTTTTTCGGGTAAAATGGTAGCCAACATTGGGTAAATTCTATCCAACATTGGGTTGAATTTTAGCCAACAAACTTGCATGTCTTTTAAAAAAATTACAATGGGTAAAATCTTTCCCGATTCTTTGTACAGTGTAATAAGATTGGAAAAAGATACCCCCCCCCCAAAAAAAAAGGGAAACTTGGATTAGACAGTAAAAAAAAAGAGGAGAAGCTAGCTGCAGAGATAAAATGTGTGGGGGCTTACAAGAGACAAGACAAAGGGCAGTAAACTGTGTGTATAAGTGAGTATGTATTGTATTGAAAATAATGAGTAAATGAAAAAGTTCCCAATGGAAGATTCAAATTACTGACATCTACGATTGTACAGCGAATATACATGTACATTCCAACCTTACTGACCATTTAATTAGTCATGTATTTCAAGCTTTAATCGGATTTCATTATGTCAACATGGGTGAATATCATAATAACTTATTACACAATTCATTAATTTATGCCTAATCAATTTTACCTTTCCAGCTGCTCCACAACCCGACCCCACCACCTTCACCCCTGCAGGTAAGACAAATGATTGATATTATTAATCTTCGTCACGTGCATTGCGATGATTTCCTTAAAGCTCCTCTGCACTAGATTGGCCAGGAGGGATTAGACCTCCCTCCATGGTCACCAATAAGTGGTTATCTCATCACATTAGCTCTCAATTAACATAAGAAAAGGGGGATCATAGGGGACCAGCGGTCACCGATCAGGCATTGTTTGCTATATAGAGGGCGTAAGGAGCTATAAATAATATTCAAACAAGCAAAATAAAATAATAATTTAATTTGCTCTCACGCAGTGTTCTGTACCATTTGGTCATAATTTCATTAAGTCCATGCTTTGTTCATAATATATGTGACTCGTTTGACATTTCAGCTACTCTTGGACCATTCAGTACTGACAACTTCAAAACTGACAAAGAGACATCTAGTAAGATTTCTATTTGCTATAACTTTTGAATTGAATTTGAATTTAATAACCACAACATATCACAATAATGAGAGTATAATGAACAATCATACAATGCAAAGAATAACGATACACGAATACATAAAGGAAGAGTAATGTTGATTGAATAATAATGGTTTTAAAACGATATTTAGACATAGATATGAATACTATTTTGTACAAAATATACACATAAATATATGCATTGAAGTTGTTAATGGGGACTAGAAGTTAGCACATGTGCTAGTCGAGCCCAGTTCAATTCTTTGGCAAGATTCTTGTTTAAACGTATGCTTGTAAAACTTGTTTGATTTGTATTTACATAGATTATATATACAAAATAATACAGTATCAAGTAACTTGTTTACATTTCTAAAAGAAAAAAAGGTAAAGCGCTAAAGAATTATAATGAAAGATAACAAATCGTTAAATGAATACAATCATTGGTATGTTCAAAATATGAAAAGAATGTATTAATGCAAAATAAGGCATAACATCATGTGCGTAGATGCTAAAATCTTGTAAAAGCTTGAGGGCAGAAATAATCGTCAACAAACAAATGTATACACACCAGGGGTAGATACATAGGCCTGCAAAATAATGATAAATGCACAATGATGTGCAATTCATTTTATAGTTCTCATTAATCGTATTCTCTAAAATAAGTTTTTTTTTTTTTTAAATCATATTGATTTTGAAATTAAGCATGCATTTTTTTGGGTAAAATGATAGCCAACATTGGGTTGAATTTTAGCCAACAAACATGCAGGTCTTTTTAAAAAATTACAATGGGTAAAATCTTTCCCGATTCTTTGTACAGTGTAATTAGATTGGAAAAAGATAACCCCCCCCCCCCCAAAAAAAAAAGGAAACTTGGATTAGACAGTAAAAAAAAGGGGGGAGAAGCTAGCTGCAGAGAGAAACTTTGTGGGGGCTTACAAGAGACAAGACAAAGGGCAGTAGACTGTGTGTATAAGTGAGTGTGTATTGTATTGAAAATAATGAGTAAATGAACAAGTTCCCAATGGAAGATTCAAATTACTGACATCTACGATTGTACAGCGAATATACATGGGTGAATATCATAATAACTTATTACACAATTCATTAATTTATGCCTAATCAATTTTCCCCTTCCAGTTGGTCCACAACCCGACCCCACCACCTTCACCCCTGCAGGTAAGACGAATGATTGATATTATTAATCTTCGTCACGTGCATTCGTCATCGGCAGCCTAGCATAGCCGGGTAATGTTGGAGCGCCTTGAGGACCTTTGCAAGATCGATACGTGCGCCATATAAGAATCCAATATTATTATTATCATTATTGTTATTATTGTGATGATTTCCTTAAAGCCCCTCTACACTAGATTGGCCAGCAGGGATTATACCTCCCTTCATGGTCACCGATAGGTGGTTATCTCATCAAATCAGCTCTCAATTAACATAAGAAAAAGGGGATCATAGGGGACCAGCGGTCACAGATCAGGCACTGTTTGCTATATAGAGGGCGTAAGGAGCTATAAGTAGTGCAGTGGGGCTTCAACTTAAACTTCTGATATACTATCAGAAGATTTAGAATTAATATAAGATTTACAATTCCGACATCAACTGGCGAATGATAAGGTTTGATCGAAGCGCCTAAAACGTATCATTATCTCTATAGGCAGTGATGGTTAGAAGGGGGAGGTATTTTTCCCCGTGCTGTAATTGGAATTTAAATTCAAATTCAAATTCAAATTTTTTATTTCAATTTGAATTTTCTCCGATGACCACCAACATCATCCACAGGAGCCAGCGTATCTTGTGGGAGCACGACCATGACGGTTCTCCTCGACCGAGCCCTGCTCGAGAATAACGGTGATGCCACTGACGTCCACTACGAAGACCAGAGTTGTGTCGGGTACGACTACACCGGAAGTCGCATAGCCGTAACCACCAGATATGACGACTGTGATACTGTGTCGGAGGTAAGAAAGGATTCTTAATAACCTGCCCTGTAATGTTAGGACAATCTCATCAAACTTGTGATGTGGGGGGAGCCGGGGGAGAGGCGGGTATCAGAGGGAGAAATGCAGAAGATGGAAATGGTAGTATAGCAGTACGTTTGCATTCCAGAGAACATGTAGGAAACGGTTGCGTATAAATTACCATATTTCAGTAATCAGAGGGGGGGGGGATGTGGTTTGTTTTCTAATTGGTATCTGGACGACCCGCGTGTTGTACGTTATACTGCAAATAAAATTGTATATATTTTCTTTGACCTACAAACGGGGATGGGGGAACAATACCGGCTTTAGTTGAAATGTTTTGCCCTTCCTGAAGCCACTGCCTGGATACGTCACTACTTAGACTCTAAACGCTGCACATGAACAACGCAATATTGTACTGTCCTGTTTCCGAGGACAGGGGGGCAGTTTTCCCTTATTAATTTAATACGATTATTGAGCGAAAACAATTTTATGTGTTCCCTTGCCAGATTATTGAAAGGCCCTATATCGACATTATTGGCTATTGCCAACTCAATCTAACTTGATATTTTTGTCATCTTTTCCCAATTTTTCTGAAAGCAAACTGCTGATGTCATCAAGTACTCCAACGTCGTGACGTACTTCAAACCGACGGGTGAAAACGGATCGCTGATCACGCGTGATTTCCGCCTCAAGATCCCCGTCACTTGCGAGATCAAACGCCGCAGTCTACTCGGTAGCTCCTTCAAGCCCAAACTCGGCATCGTGAGCTTCAGCGAGACTGGTTACGGTAACTTCTCGCTCACCCTCGACCGCTACTCCGACATCTCCTTCACCTCGCCGGCACCCGACCCAGACTCGCTGGTGTATCTCGGGGAGACGCTGTTCTTCGGGGTGACCCTAGACGCGGTTTCTGACCTGACGTTGTTTCTTGACCGCTGCTGGGCAACGCCCGATGTCTACCCTATGAACCCGATCGAATTTACGTTCGTAAAAGATGGGTTAGTATATAAGTCTTGAAGTCAGTGTTTTCTTCTTCTTTTGTTTTTTTCTTCATTTTGTTTTCTTTCTTTTTTTGTGGTTTTATTGAAGAGGTAGGTTTAGATTGTTTGAAATTGTGACCATACAACGTCTAGAAGACGTTCTCTGGTAGGATAAACAACCTACCATTCAATTTTAGTCTCTATTTTTATCTTCTTTCCATTTTCATAATCTTCTCCTTATTTTGTTTTCAATTTCCAGTCATCATTCCGATTTCTACTTCTTTTTACATAATATTTCTAAATAAAGTTGGCCTTTTAAAAAATAAATAAAGTTCCCTGATTCTTCCTCTTCCTCTTTCGAAAATGGCATCTATTTTTTCTGTGCTGTATTAATTTCTACTCCTGATTCTCTGTAGTTATTATTTTCATTTAAAGAAAAAATAAATTATCAGTCCCTTTCGGTAATTCTTACATGTGTTTTTTATTAGTTGCATGCTTTAATTTTGAATTCTATTCTTTTTTTTTTCACAGATGCGGGCTGGATCCTACCGTAGGCTTTCATGATATACAGCGTTTAATTAAGGGATTCTCTATCGATGCTTTTGCTTTCATTGGCGAATATTCAGAGGTAAGAATACGAATCATATCTAATCCGGAATTTATTAACCGGCTGGCTGATTCGCCGATATTGCTCCTTACCACCACCCCCCCCCCCCCCCCCACCCCCTCTCCCGCTTATTCACCGGCAGGCTGATTCGCCGGTAAATATTTTCTTACGAATTCGACAAAAAAACACCTCCCCTTAAATAATCCTGGATACGCTCTTGATTGCAACAATAATAGTCCAATATATGCACTATAGTAAACCATAGCCACTAATTATAAAAAGAGCTTTCATATACATGATGTGTATTAATGCATTATGAAAAAGAAAACAATTATTGGTAGAAATAATATGAATAAAAGCTGTATTTTCATGATTGACAATTAAAACTGTAACTTTTGATCGCCTATCATACAGGTATACCTTCATTGTGACGTGCTTGTGTGTGATACCGACCCCGCATCCCGCTGCTCACAGGGTTGTGTAACCAGGGCCAAACGTAGCGCAGCCGGGCAGCCTCGGGGTTCGAGCTCCAAGCCACACACCATCTCTAACGGACCCATGTCTGATCAAGTTGCTGTTGGTTCAAGCTCAATGAGTGAGTTGCACTCGAAAAGAGTGGCGTTGATAACACTATCAGAACAGTGTTATGATTGGCTTCTAAACAACAAAGCACACCTCCCCCCCCCCCCCCAAAAAAAAATAAAAATAAATAAATAAATAAATAAAAAATAAAAATAAAAATAAAATAAAATAAATAAATAAATAAATAAATAAATAATAATAATAATGATAATAATAATAATAATAATAATAATAATAATGATAATAATAATAATAATAATAATAATAATAATAATGATAATAATAATAATAATAGTAAATAAATATTTTTAAAAAAATTTAAAAAAATATATATATAATATAAATACAAAAATCAAATAAAGAGGGGGGACGGGAAATGGGAAAAGAGAAAGGCAATTTCATAAAAATGGATATTGTTACAAAAAAAAGAACAGTAACCAGGTCTAACTGATAATCAGTTTTTTCCTTTTTCTAATATACTACAGTAAATTACTGTATTAACAAAATATGGTAACGTAACAGAATCTCTTAATAGTTTTGTTGAAATAGCGCAACCTTCGTGTCCAAATTTAAACTATGAAATTAATGTCAAACAACAATCATCGTCTCTACGTTAACACGTATTGCTGTCATTTTCTATTAGCACTCGTTCAGAAATGTACGGAACGAAAGAGAACTCATTTACGAACATTCAGAGTGGAGGAGAATAAAAACTGTTACTTAAAAAGCACCAAGTTTACTAATTGTTTTGCTCTCCTCCAGACACATCATGGTTGGCGAACCCATTTAACATGATGCTGGTGGCAGCCGCTGGTTTCTTCATCACCATGGTTGCTATGGTAACGGTGAAAAAGTTGAGATCACATACGAAAGCCTCCAAAGGATACAGCCGTCTGCAGACTGAGGGTGAAATCGAAGCTTAGAAAGAGGAGAAGAAAGAAGAACGTGGAGAAGGGGGAGGAGGAGATGAAAGAAGAAGACGAATGAGACATAAAGTTTGTGACGACACAAGCTTTTCTGGTCATTTATTCAATATCTCACAAATGGCATATATCTCGAATATATCATGCATATCATTATAGAGTAATATGGAATTTATAATTCGTTTGTTGAAACAAATATATGATCATGATTATATACATAATTATTTCGAAAATAAAAAAGAGACGTTCCTTTTCAGTTAACCTCTAGCTTTTTATAAAGACAACTTTTATGAGTACGTCGATGATAGTGACACTTCTGGCTATGAAATTATTACAAACGATTGTAAATGCTCAAGTTGGTACACCTCCTGCAAGAAGGTGGAAACTTATAACTGAAAATTAAACTCGGTAAAATGTGTTGATGTTTATACTGTTCTCTAATGCGTTCCAGATGAAGTTCAAGAAAAAGCCGATTGAGCAATGTATTTTTGCATTTATTGTAGGCCTACTTCTCATTTTTGATTTATTCTAATTTTTGGTATACTGTACAGTAATGTATTAAAATGATTTTGAATCTCTTTATCCTATCCTACCACTATGTATCCCTTCTTCTTTCCCATACTTTTCCCCATATTCTCTCTCTCTCTCTCTCTCTCTCTCTCTCTCTCGTTCTCTGTCTTTCTCTAGCTACTTCTTATTCCCTCGCTCTCTAGTACCATCTTTCTCACCACTTTTTGACACTGTTTTACTGCATCTATACGCTTTTTTTTCGACGCCGATGAAAAAAAAGTTCTATGCCATGATGTTTATTTTCCTTTTCATTGCTCCATTTGGTAGGATGCTGCCATTGCAATTATCAGTCTGCTATTGAATTGTGCTAAGAGTGACTGCAATATCGACGTTGAATAAAAAACAATTGTTATTATCCAAAAAGGCCTACATATTAAATATGACATTAAATTTCTTTCAAAGAAAGCGATGTATGAAGATATTTTTTTTCTTCTAAATTTGGTAATCTGTTTTCGCCTTTTGTAATCGTTTCATCATTATGTGAAAATATCTCACTGGAAAATAAAATGTATCCGAATTGATGATTAAAGAGACGTCGTTCAATGTGTGCATGTGAGAATGATTGTTTAACAGCTGTGTCACTTAGACTCCTTATTTATTTCCTATGAAGAAAAAACAAAACAAAACAAAAACAATTAAAGAACAAACAATAACTTTCAAGCAAGATTATTGTTCATGGTTATAGTTTCTTTAATTAATTTGATTTATTTTCTTCTGAATACCATATAAATATAAACAATGTTCGGTAACTTAACCAACATCAAATTCTAAGAAATACTTTCTGACAAGCAATCATAGATAAAATTATTATAGAAAAAATGAAAAGAAAGATAAAATATCAAATTATCATATTTCATAAAACTTTATGAATAAGGCCTTAAAAAAAGATGTTGTATTGCCCTTTGCGACCTACCCAAAAATGTTGAAATCTACGGTCGGCTTTTTTTTAAACCATGTTTTAGTAAAAAAAATGTATCAAAGCATTATAAACTGAGAAATATCAGCCCAAACAGGGAGTTTTTAAAAAAAGTTTTTAAAAAATAAAAATCCGACCGACCGACCCATGTTTTGGCACCTAAAGAGCAATACAACATCTTTTTTTGTAGGCCTTATTTGAGAAAGAAAGACTGCAATTGTAAGCAAATTGCTTGGAAATATGACAGCCCAAAACAAATTGTATTGATTAGTTGAACATATATTTATTGAGCAGAATGGAAAATATTGTGATGATGTTGATGATGATGATGATGTACTTTAATACAGCCTAAACGGGTCTCTGTTCTCTTTATATGCAAACAAATGAGAATAGAGACAAAGGGCAGAAGTATTATCAAATCAATGGAGAATCGTCGTATTTTAATATGAGCTTTTGCAATGATTGACAGAGAATATTAAAATGAATACTGCATCATGCTGCATGATTATATAAGGCTCCTTTCTGTTACTGAAATAGGAATAGGAATAGGAATATAAACTATTATAAAAGATTCGATAAAATGCTTTCCCAATTTATTTAAGACATGTAATCAAGTGGAAATTCAAAGAATTGGGAATAAACAACAACTACTATTTCGATTTGGAAACAGAAATTGCGTAAACTAAACCTCATTAATAAAACTTGGTCATTCACCTTCCAAAAAGTGGAATATTCCCGAAATGAATACTAATATGAGACAAATGAATAAACATTAGGAAGAATATATCCACGATTAAAGAAAGGATTCCGGGGTGACTTCATCACAAGCAAATGTAGAACAGCACGAAATGAGACAAAAAACCTTAAATTTATTTCCTTCAAATGATAAAGAATGTGTCAAATTCTTAGAAGCTGTTTCAAAGGGAAGCGTCTTTTTTTATGATATAGAATTGTTCAATATTAGTAGGGGTAGTGAGCACATTTTTTTGTTTGGCCCTCGAAAATGTGAAAATTTGCACCCCCCCCCCCCCCTTGACCGCCAAGGGGGGGGGGGGCATCCCCCCAAAAAGCTAAAAATCACGTGTTTTTACACGTTTTTCCCCCAAGGGGCTGCCCCCCCCCCCCTGGATCCGCCACTGAGGAGAACTATAGCGCTTGGAGAGGATGAGTGGCGGGAGTTGGCTCGACGTTTCGAACAGGTTGACTATCCGTCGTCAGGAGTCGTCAATCCTTCCCCCTCTCTCGCATATGGTGCACCCACAAGCCTACTGTATTTGTGTTTTTGTAGGTATTACTTCATGCACCCAACCTACGATACCAACAAACGGCAGCATCACTCCTGATACTCCTGAATATGAATTTTATACACGAATCACATACACCTGCGACGACGGGTACACCTTGGGAGGCCCATCCGAAGCGGTCTGTGAATCGGGTGGGGTCAGGAATCCGTCCACTCTACCCACTTGCGAAGGTAGGTTCCTTGTATTCGTTTCAATTATGATTCAGGCTGAGGTCTCTGAAAATGTTGCTATCTTTTTAGAGCAAAACGGAACTGTTAAAAATATATCGCACCCACTAGCATGTCTGGAGGAACCCCAAAATGTTTACCATTTATTACACATATCACTGTTAAGTCACCGCATGGTTCAGACTTGAAGATATCTAACAAGAAAGTCAAAATAACACAGTTTGATCAAAACTGTTTTGTGTAGTTCAGTTGGTCGATTGATATTTCGACAATTACGAAGTAATCAAAATATTTGCATTGTTGAAGTCAGGGTAATAATACTATGAAAATACTTATAAGCGCCCTGAACTTCCTAAGGGATGGTGACATGGTTATTATTATAATTATTTTTTTTTTAATTATTATTATTAATACTATTTGGATTATTATTATTATTATTGTTGTTGTTGTTATCGTTATTAATATTTGTATTGTTAATAATATTGTTATCATCACTATTATCAATATAATATCATAATTATTACTATTATTATTCTCATCATTATCATTATCATTATATTCCAATATGTTTCAACAACAGCCGGTTGTGCCAAACCAACTCTGGTTAATGGAGGCGTGAATCCAGATCAAGAGTCTTTCAGTAGCGGCGAGGTTCTCACCTACCAATGTAACACAAACTATACATTGGTCGGGGTATCAACAACAGTATGCCGCAACGGATGATCCCCCAAACAAACAAACCTGTTTCAGTTAGAAATTATTCTAATCCTTCACCAACACAACTTAGTTCATCATATATGTATACACACATATATAAAGGACTATATATAATTGGTCTGAAATAGCAAAGTGAACGAGCTTGCATAAGTTCGTTACTCATTGTTTTGTTTATTTAATGATAATTTTTAATTCTTTTTTCGTTTACAAGCAAACTAATACCTCAAGTCCATTTAACTTATCGATTTGATATCTGCAACGACATGAATATAATGTAAGTACTCGGTGTCTTATTTTCTTTTTTTACGCCACGATATGATAATAATTGTGGAAAATCAAAAAAAATTCATTTTAGGAAAAAGAAATTAGCCATCTTATTCAAAAAAATTACCAGTTGTGTTTGTTTTTATGTTAATATGTTTTCACATTTCTTTTGCAAATGAATTCTGTGATAATCTACACGAAATATGCATAGGACAGTAATACAAGATTCAAACATCACTCTTACGAGAGCTCCTTTCAAAAAAGGTCAAAATTATATCAAATATTGAAGATGAAATTGAATCTATAGTGTTTGAAATTCGTATTGAATGTAAAGTTACGATGTCTGTAATAAAAATGTCAATAAAATGCCTATAAGTCAATGTAAACCGAATTATTAAATAGTGTCATCCATCAGTAATATCAGTTTTTAAGATGATTATATTAACGATGTGGCAATAAAGATGAAAAAGCTCATTTAGTAAAAGCTCCGAAACGTCTCTTCCTGAATTATACGAGCAGTGATTGGATAATTATTCTGTTTTCAAATGTCATCGTATGAATCACTGTACAGTGATCACAAGATATAATGCGGCGGAGGACTAAGAGAGAGAGAGAGAGAGGAGGAAGAGAGGAGACACACAGAGAGAGACAGAGAGGGTGTGTGAGGGGGAGGGAGAGAGAGAACAAAGTTAGGGTAGGCGCTCGTTTATCCCAGATTATGAGATGTGCTTTTATTTGTGTGATTTTGTTTTTAAGCCTATCTGCACGAGTTTGGCCAGGTGGGATTAGACCTCCCTGCATGGCCACTGACATTGGTTATCTTATCAAATCAGCTCTCAATTAACGTAAGAAAAAGGGGACCATGGGGGACCAACGGCTACCGCTCAGGTATTGTTTGCTATATAGAGGGCGCAAGTAGCTATAAGTAGTGTAGTGGGGCTTTAATCATCCGATAAGAAGTTGACCTAAAACTTATACTACTCTTTTCACACTGGTTTTGCTTAACCCCGTACTTTGCTTAGCCCCGTACTATCCTTAACCCCGGACTATTTTTTGGCTTTTCACACTCGCTGTTTTTAGTCCCGTACTAGCGCCTATTCCGGAATAAGAAAATTCCCGCTGTTCTCACTGCATTTCGTTAACCCCGGATATCGTGTATGTTATGATTGGACATACTTCGCATCTGGCCAGCTGCGATACGCTCCATTGCGTAGTACCGGACTATTTTTCGTTTCTGTTCTCATTCATTTGCTTAGCACCGCAATTGCGGGGTTAGCAGGAGTTAGCACCACAATTGCGGAGTTAGCCCTGCTATTTTGCAGGGTTAGTTAACCCCGTACTATAGGTGGGGTTAGCCAACTTTAGCCCACTTTGGTAAAAACCAGTCTGAACAGAAAGTGGAATAGGCTTAACCCCGTACTATAGGTGGGGCTAAGACCCCCCCCCCCCCCCCTTAACCCCACCTATAGTACGGGGTTAAGCTAAATATTGCCAGTGTGAAAACAGTATACGATTATCATCTTTTTGTTTCCTTTTTCAGGTGATACATTATCGGCCGTATTTGTGATTTTCGTTTTATAATGTCTTATTTCAATTATTATATGCAGGAAATGTGAGATAATAAGTTCATTAAATGAGGAAAATGTTTTTATTGGTTTTTTGTTTGTTTCCTTTTTATTCTTCTTTTTCTTCTACCTCTTCTTCTTGTTTCTTACTCTTTTTTATCATTCGCATATCGATCTGTCATGTCTGATTCCTTTTTTCTTTATTTCTCTCATCCACCTTATTTTTTTTCTTCTCTCAACGGGATGTCTTAAGAGATAGGCTTCCTAAATATTGATTATAATAATAGAAATAATAATGGTAATAATCCTTCTTGAAAGCCCATATTAACTGATGATGTAAGCTATTCATCAACCGTCATTAAACGTTATTATGTTTCCATACTACCTCATTTGGTAAATTAGATAAGCTCTGATTCGATACACAGACGTCTTTTATTGGCATGCGATGTTCAATCAATACCGATAAAACGCAATTTCTGGAGAAGTGGGCGGACTGCCAAGAAATTGTGGCTGAAAAAATGGAGCTCAGAGGTGAAAAACTGCACACTAGCTCAAGCCGCCGAGGAAATGAAATGCTTAGTAATTATGTTAAAGTGAAAAGTAGACACAAAAGTATAAATTTGGCAATTTTGAAGATGCTCCTTTTGTGCAGGTTAGAAATGTTCTTTGATAAAGTGGCTAGCTTTCGTTTTCCGCGACAGCTAGATAACAAAGGGTTGCTGTTATCATTATTATATACGGTGCATATTCTAACAATGATTATCATGGGTATATTATTGTATATAAAGCAATGCCGACAGGGGGAGCTGTTTCACCAAATGACGCTTACTCAAGTGTATACTCGAGCCATCGATTATGCATGGCCTAGGGCGGGATCATTTCATTTAATCTTCATTCCGGTTGCATCCCCATTCCTCTCTCTGATTTCACTCAATGATTATTACTTTATTTTTTAATTCATTCATACCATTATTGATGGCGATAGGGGTGGGGTGAGGGGAAAGGGGACACGTTCACCACTTGAGATACGCAGCTGTCACGTACATAATCAAGTTATTTCAAATTATAGATACACTGCAATGCACGCATTCCTTTTACAAATTCGTAATAGTAAAATCTATCTGGGTCTTACGTGGTTACACATGCAATTGCATCCACATGACGGTTTCAGACGGATGTTAAAAAAAAAATTATTAGCGTTTTATTAAGAAACGTTAAAGTCAGTGTTTATTTGACAATCATTATGCAAGTCAAAGGTAAAATCCCAGTGTCAGACTTCATGGAATCTTAAATTACGTGGAGTTAACAAATTTAAGACAGTTCCTGTTTCTGACAAGCATTGAGCAGGCGCAACAACACCTTACAAGAAATTTAATTCTGACCTCTTCCGAACTGACGATATTTTTCTTTATCATTTAGGGACATAAATTGCTGCAATCATACTTTGCCTTATCTCAAATTTTGATTGAAACCAATCACGGATGTTTAGTCATCATAAAGACAAATAATTACACATTAAAGATTAAGTATGGAGGGATAGGCGACGTCGGTAAAATAATCACGCCCTCTGTGCAAGTTATTGTTGACAGTAGTTAATCATCAACCAAACGAAAGAAGCCTTTTTAACCTCAAACTGCTTGAGTTATGCTATAAAACTGTGTTCGAATTTCGGTCGTTTGTTTAAGCTGATAAGGCATCTAAGATATCCCTACCATGGGACACACGGTAAGTGCGTGACCAAAGCAATGGTTTTATCTCCCTTGGTATATTCTTCCTTTTTCGTTTCGTCTATCTTTCATCACACGAAGTTTTTAGTTTGTACAATCGTATCTCTTACTCAAGAAAACGGAGCTGGAGATCGATTTTAAGGCGGCCATTTTGTTTTGAAAACAGCGCTTACAGCAGAACCAGCTACATTGTGAATGTTTGTGTTTTAAAGCTACGTGAAACATGGTTTAGTTTATGAAATAAAAGCATACCATAAGGATTATGTCGAAGTTTCAGTATGTATTTGGACTTGCCCTCCTTCTCAGCCTTGGATTGATTCGTAGTAAGTAATAACTCGTGATTTATATTGTCGGCTTAGCCAGTTAATACCACTGGCAATACGTAGAGCCTTTTTGCTGGCAGCCGACGCTATCTTTCCTGAACAGTAATACTTTTCTTTAAAAGGGTAATGTAATTGTAATCGATGATAATTACGTGCAGTTTCATTAAACCTTAGAGTTTACTCCAGATATTATTTTCATATTTGTTAATTTACAAAATACCTTTATCTGTTTATATCAAAACAATCATTGCTCAAATGCACTAAACAGTTATTTAGTTTATTCAACGTTGAAACAAAACAAAATCAACTTGTAAAAAAAGTATATGTCTACTGAGTTTGTTTTGATTTTAAGATGGCAGTTATAATTTTTGTTTTCCTCGCTTTTTTGTAATGAGTTCAATTGGAGAAATAGTTTTTTGTTCTTTACCTTCTTTTCAAAATACCAATTTTCCATGTCTGGGAATAGTTCTTATATAATTAACTCGTCTCTTTTTTGTATTTTGTTTCAGATGTAAACGGGGATTGCACAAACAGTAAGTATGAAAATTGTCGCTTTATTCAGAATGCATGATACATGAGTGGAACGCCGAAATATAATTGCTTTCTTTTCATATTCAGGACTACGGTGAAAAGATATATATTGGTATACTGTAATTGGTTTACATTCAATTAATCGGCTTATTCTGCGTCAATTAGTAATGTGTTTGATTAATGGTATCGTACTGCTCTTGCTCGGGATATTTAGACGTCAATATGAAGCTACAGTCACCTGTGACTGAATATTTTCTAATTAGAATTTTATTTTGTTGGTTTCAACTAGATTTTTTAATTTTTTTTAATAACCTCAGGACCTCAGAAAAACTGTGTGATATCAAACGAGACAAGTGTCTTTTACATCTAAATCAACCGCTCCCCAAATGGAAAAGCATTCTATAATGGAAAAAAGAAGAAAATCGATGTGTTCTCCCGTACCAACATTTGTATTTGTGTTTTCAGCCTATTTTCAGCCCATATTATGAATCACAATTAAGTGGGTTAGTAACTGCATTTTTGATGCTTTGATAGTTATAAGAATTTGAATGTGACGTTCGCTTTTTGTTCAATTTGTCGACCGAAGCAGGCAATGTGTAGGACCATTATCGTTTTTAAAATTACTGTGAATACCGAATCATCCAATCAATACATGCTTATTTTGTGAACTTCTAACATATGTCTTTCCGATTAATTTTATCTCTAATTATTTTCAATAAAGGCGATGGATCGACGTGCTCAGGAACAGGTAAGAAATTAACCATTCTACTCCAAAAACACAATATTGACAATGTTCGAAATAATTTTGAAAAGTTTATTTTTTCTATTCCTAATACTTACAATCAGGCTTGTATTGCAGCAACAAAGATATCTATCTCGATATTGATATATGTACACAAAAAAACATGGTAAATGAAAAGAATTTCGGGGAGATAAAATCATGCCAAAACAGACTTCTCTTTTTTTGTAATAACGCGTTCAAATGAAATTAGAAACCACCGTAATGTTTCAGATAATTAATAGATTTCTTTTTCATTTAGATTGTTGTTATGACGGTACCAATGGCTTATCACCGGTCCTGGGTTCTGGAGGTGGCATAACCCCAGTACAAGAATGCTATACCACCGGCGCCGGAAATGGAGTGACCTATACCTGTACTGGTGATCTGAGGGGACCTCCTTTCAACGATTGCTACGATGGGACATGGCAATTTCCGTTCGCACCGACATGCGAAGGTAGGAACTATATCACCCCCCCCCCTCTTTTTTAAAAATAAATCTCCTTCTTCTTTTTACACCGTCAAAAATCAGGACATGATATCTATGATGTTTTAGAACTTATGGAGCAAGTCCATCTTGAACTGCTTTAGATAGAAGCATATATAACAACGATATCCCTATGAATAGCAATATTTCAACAATTTCTTCAAAATTATTCATAACACAATAAATAAACATAACATTCAATGGATTTTGTGTGTGTGTGTGTGTGTGTGTGTGTGTGTGTGTGTGTGTGTGTGTTGGGGGAGATAATAATGACCTCGCCCCCCCCCCCCCGCGAATAAAAAAAGAAGTAAACGATTCCCACGGGAATAGGTCCCCAACTTAAATTAAGGCAGGATGGCGTTAGTGTGTGTGTGGGAGGGGTGGGGGTGTTACGACTTATAGTACATGTGGTAGAATTGAGACAGGATGCAATATTGCTATAATATCCACTGGCACAGTAAGAACAATATGAATTCAAAACAAAAAATAATTACATACCCGTGTAGACGGCCTTTGATTTTTAAATCAAAAATTACTGTTGTGTGGTTGAGATTTTTTTATATTAATTTTTGTTAATATAATGTCACTTTGCTGTGGCAGTATGTGAATGACACATTACGATTACTTTTTTGTTTTGTTGGTAACATAATAATTATTAGAAGAAGAAGAGAAAGAAGAAGAAGAAGAAGAAGAAGAAGAAGAAGAAGAAGAAGAAGAAGAAGAAGAAGAAGAAATAATAATAATAATAATAATAATAATATTAATAATATTAACAATTATATCAAATACACTGCAGTCCTCTACCAGTATTCTAAGACCTATCCCGTGTTATGACGCACTTTTGGCATATTTGTTGTGGTAGGTGTGACTTCATGCACCCAACCTACGGTACCAACAGACGGCAGTATCGATCCCGATACTGCTGAATATGACTTATATTCCCGAATCACATACGCCTGCAACGACGGGTATACGTTGGGAGGCCCATCTGAAGCGGTCTGCGAATCGGGTGGAGTCTGGAATCCAGCCACTGTACCCACCTGCGAAGGTAAGTTCTGTGTGGAAGTAGTAAAGTATCATTAAGGTTGAGGTTCATGAAATTCAAGCTGTGCGTTTTAGCGGATTAATTAGATTATTTTTAAAATGTACCTGAACAAAAAAAGTTATACTTTATTTTCTATTAATACCTCCGGCTATTTTAACCCGTATTATCTCTCTCTCTCTCTCTTTCTTGTTCTTCTTTCCCCTTTCTCCCTTACCTGTTTCTGTCCAATTCCATCCTTTCGTTTAGCACATTATCTCGCTCTCATGCAACCTATACCCTCTTCCACCCATTTCTATCTTCTTATTTAGGTACCTCCCTATGTTTCTTACTTCTATCTTCCTATCGAACCCCATCAATGCAATATGCGAACATTCAGTTGATTATGTTTTTTGGGGTTTTAAAGATGTTTTTATATCACCAATTAATTTCACTTGCTTTCTTTTTTTTAATTAAATGAAATTTGTATTTTCATGTATTTTAATCTTTAATGTTATTCTGTTGGGTAACGCATTGCCACGATGGAAATATAAAAAGAACAATTAAATCAGAATTATATTATATATTTTTCGTTGTTTGATACGAATGTTTTTTTGTTGCTGCTATACTGCTAATCGCAGCATAGTTACATTTTGTATGACACTGTATATGACATTATAGTATACTCAATTGTGAATATTTCGTGTTTAAATAATCAAATACAAGAATAATTACCAGTGGCGTATCAAGCAGATTGAGTACCCCAATCAAATTGTAAAGGGTCAATGCGATAGCAACTACATTCGAGAAAAAAAATCAACCTATTAAGGCAGCTATAATAGTCTTGTGCGTCACGTATTGAACAAACATTGACGTATTACGTACATGTATTACGAAAATTATTTATATGGGACATAGAATAGGGTATTTGAAATCACCCTGAATTTGATTTTTCTGAAGTTATTGCCAGCAATATTCGAGCAAAACAGAACTGCTGAACATACCACACTCTCGGGTATGTGTGGAGGAACTCAACCTCGTTACGATTTAATACATGGATTTCACTTGAAGATATGTCAATTCAAAATAACACAGTCATATAAAAACTTTATTTATTAATCTCAGTTGATCGTTTGATAATTATGAAATAATATAAATATTTGCATTCGTGATAAGGTACACATTTCAACAATAGTTTTTATCAAATAAAAATAACAAATTGTTGTCGATTTCGGTTCTTGACACTGTTATATACACAATACGTCTAAACACAAAATCTCTCCAATAATATATTGCATTATTATCGCAGGATAAAGCATAAAACGCAGTCTGTTTTCAGACACAAATCAAGCAGAGCATTTCTCCCTGATAAGAGACTTAGATGTTTGGGTAGTATATGAGAGAAAATATAGTCGAAGGCATTCCATTACAATAAAATTAAAAATAGAGCACCGAAGCTGTGACACCATGAAAATCTATTTTTAGAATTTCAAATTTTTTTTTCTTCTTCATTTTCCAAAACAGCATAAAAAATAATGTCTGAATGTCGAAAACCAATTGAATATGTTAATTATTGGCTGAGATATGACCATCTAAATAAATATATGTTCTATGGGAACCCAGTGTTATAGTGCTCTGTTTCTTAATGTTATAAACCAGAGTACTATAACACTGAGTTCCCATAGGACATCTTTTTATTCAGATGGTCTTAATCTCAGCCAATACTTAATATATTCAATCGGTTTTCTTGTGGAAAATGAAGAAAAAATTGAGAAATTCTATTTTTTTTTAAATTATGATGTCTCAGCTTCGGTACTCTATATGAGAGATATCGTGGTCTAGTCGATACGCCTCTCGGCTGTGGACCACATGCCCTTTGTTACGTCATCGATCTGCATTTTCCCGCTCCACCCATGTGTGGCAATGGGTAAAATCGTAGGAATCTATTCCTTGAATGATTTTGGCGCCTTATCATTATTTTTATTTTTTTTAATATTATTATTGTAGCTGTTTTTGTTGCTGGTAACGTTATTAACATTAGTATTGTTATTACTATTATCACTATTCTTAGCGTAATTTTTGTTATCATTAATATTTTATTATTGCTATTATTATCAGTATCATTATTATATTCTAATATGTGTCATTAACAGTCAACTGTGCCAAACCCACTTTGGATAATGGAGGCGTCATTCCAGATCAAGATTCTTTCAGTAACGGCGAGGTTCTCATCTATGAATGTAACACGAACTATACCTTGGTCGGGGTATCAACAACAGCATGCCGCAGTGGAGTCTATGATCCCCCAAGCAAACCAACCTGCTTTAGTAAGATTCTCTTCTTCTTCTTTCCCTTCAACCCAACTTCGTTTACCACCATCATAATATACATTTAATTAGTTTCAAATAGAAATGTGAATGCGCTTGCATCATATTTTTTTCGGTATTTTTAAACTAATGTATTTATTTATTTAGTGAATATGTAGTCATTCATGTATTAAGTGAGTTCACACATTTAAAAATGATGGCCCATTCAATAGAAAATGGTGTTGAACGGGGCTCTTTACAAAGGTACATGCATGTACAAATACATTAAGAGACACATGTAAACAACAACAAACAAAACAAATTACAGGGTTAAAATCAAATGCTTTTTATTGCCGCCAGTAATACATTTTTTAAAATTCCCGTTTTTTAATCCTTTTTTTATTGTTCCCTCATTTTCACCCTTCCCGATCAAACTAAATTTTTAAAAGTCAGTATCTTTACGCTTTAGCACGGACTGTAACAGAAATTTCGCATTTTACTTTGCAACTATGGATTATGGATTTAAGAGGCTTGATAATCAACCAGACCCTAATGAACCTGAATCTCTCGCTATCCTTGTCCACTCGCCCCAGCCCTCTTTCTCTCTCTCTCTCTCTCTCTCTCTCTCTCCCTTCCTTCCTACCCTTCCCCCATTCTCGCTTTTTCTCTCGCTCCCCTCTCTCTCTCTCTCTCTCTCTCTCTCTTCATTCATATAACCCATCCTTTTTTTGTTCTCATGAATTTCCCCCCACCCCCCCCCCCCCCACACACACACGCACACATACACAAATAACACACACATGGCAGATTAGCGTAAACACTTTAATATGTTACGGATAACCCAGAATACAAAACACAATAACAAAGAAGTTTCGGAAATCAATAAGGCAATTTGAAAAACCGTGCTCATCACCATTTGTAATGTGCAAGCGGCACTATGACGTATCACGTAATAATACACGTTACATAATCCGGCAATGATGTCCATAGCATACCCAATAGAGTATTGATAATGCCTTTGAGTTGTGATTTCTCAAAAGCTTTTACGATTGCCAACACATTTTTACAAGTGATACATTACACACGTGGAAAAATTATCGCATGTCTTTTAATCATTCACTAGGTATGTGTAGTCCGCCTGTCGTGGACAACTCCGATTACGCTATGCAACTACCTCCGGTCGACCACGCGTCCACGATTACGGTAAATTGCGACCATGGTTACTCAACCGGTACCGGCACCGACAAGGACTTGACATGTAACAACGGCTATTTCAACGACGACCCTCCAGTGTGTTACGGTAATAGGCAAAGATCCATTCCATCTTTGCTCGTAAAAGGTGGCAAGCGTGACAAAAAAAACGAAGCAGCTACACAAAATGCGTGAAAGCAAAAGATCTGGATTTTTCGGCTTCCACCAATAATTGTTAGATACCAGTAGAAAATGCTCCTTTTTTACCTCAAGATAAATAAGGATAACATCAGTTGATCTAACAACTTACCTTTTTAAGCACAGCTTCAGAATAGAACACTCGTCTTTTAACTCTGTTTTTCTGCCACGTTGTGGCCGTGACTATTTACTATCCTAGCTTAGAATATATTCATCGAACGAATAATAAACAAAGAAATACATCAAATAATGAGGACTGCACACACATTGTATTTTTTTTTTAAATATCTATTTAGTTATCATTTATGAATTACTTTCCATATTTAGTGATGTATTTGCCTATGTATTGTTGTACTTTATCTTGATGTTCAGAGTTATCGCCCTCCTTAATATTCTGTTATTGAACATTTCTCATGGACACAGCGAAATGTCCCCCTCTTGACGATTTTGACGACGGAGTCCGCTCTGGAGATTCACTCCCTTTCTACCATAACGAACAGGTGTCATACACGTGTAACAATGGTTTCACGTTGGTTGGCTCCACATCTCTCACGTGTGGTGACGGCGATTGGAATGACGTTCAACCAGTCTGCTTAGGTAAGTATACCGGGTGTTAAACTTGGGTGTTGAATAAGCGTTTTTCAAAGTGATAGGTTTTTAAAGAAAGGTAATACACCGGTTTTTTAACTTTGGTGCTGAAGATGTTTTATAAAAACTGTGGGTTCCTAGTAAACCAATACACCGGGTGTTATACGTGCTTGGTTAAATGTGCTATCAAAGTATTATGTATAGCAGGTTCTTATTTTAATACGATTCGTGATAGATATTTATGTGACACTGACAATCACATTCAAAGAACATTTAGAAATACTTTCCTGATTTAATCATTGAACTTGACATTTAATATAATATTTGTTTTCTTCAGCAAATTGCGTTGTGAGTGCTGTACCGGATTCAGATTATTCATCTGGGGGTTCAGTCACGCATGGTACGACTTTCAACGTAACGTGTGACTCTGGCTTTTCCACGGGTACGACAAGGGCTACAGAGTTCTCTTGTAATGATGGTGTCCTGTCTCCTGATACACTACCTACATGTTACGGTAAGATTAATGGTTTGTTAACTGTTTCTAAAGACTTAGTGTCATTCCCAAATGCTAGACTTTACCTATGGATTAAATTGCCGTTAGATATCACCGCCGAAAGACATCACTGTAAGACACTGTAAACGTACTACTAGGTTTTTCCGCCCAACTTCGTAAACTTAGCATCTGAATTAACGTTACGTTCATTTAAGTTCGTGCGAAATTGAATGACTATGTAGATCAACATTCAAAAAGCTAATTGCGTCGTTCAATTTGATTTAGTAGCATGCGATTTCATACTCTCGTCACGGAGACGTGCAAAATGAGCATTCAATTTAGAAAAGCGTGCAAAGAGCATAAAAATTCGCGCCGGACAGACGGTGGTATGTATTCGAGCATTCAATTTCGTGATTAGGCATACATATGTGACATTTTTGCATTGCTTTTCATTTGATGTTAATTTGTCACTTCCATTTTAATGATTCAATGCTAAATCTACTTGTAGGAATGACATGCGTATTCGTTAGAAGATATCTGTCATTACACAGGTAACTGTCCCCAGAGAAGGTGCACAATTTGTGACTTCTCTTCTAAGCACAAGCTGACAGCGGTAGAGTTGAACTTTAAACATGGACATGATGGAAACAAAATACAATGATGAATAAAGAAAAAGATGTAACACGAAAAGAAAAAAAGATGACCTACTCAATCAAGATTAATAAAAACAAACCATTTAAAAAATAACCTAATTTGTAATGACAAATAATTATGAAGACATGTATAAAGAAATGTTTCAGCAAAAATAAAGATCGAACGAAAGAGAATACAAAATAAGAAAAGCAATATAAATCTATCAGACAAATAAGAAGATTATATAATGTGAAATTATGTCAGAAAAGATCATAGATCCAAAAAATGAACATGAAAAAGTTATTTTTCGTATAAACATCGAGCCTCAAACAATGATTATAAGGTCTAGTTTTAATTTGAATGACCCGATTGCGAAAGAGGTTGCCCATAGACGAAAATGAAACCGCAATTCGCCAAAGAATTCTCCTCCCACTCAACATTGGCGAAATTAAACGACGCTTATGCGTTTACAAATATTGACTGAACCAAGCATTAATTTGAATGTGCATGTTTAGAAAATTCAGTGACTCGAAACAAAATTGAATGCAAAAAGTTCAAAAATGAAACAGGGGAACAACGAGTAGAGAAAATTCGCTCAAAAATGAATGCACGTTAGTGAAATTGATCGCTGCTTTGACGAAATTGGCCGGGAAAACCTATTAATAGAGTGATCACACTGCCTGTGCAAACAGTCTGCCCCGCGAACACACACACACAACAGCAGTCAGTTGGTAGAAATAGCAATTTTGGTAACTGTATTTAAAAAACTAAACAATATTTTTGAATTTTTATTTCACATATATTTCAAGCATACCTTTAACTACAATTCTGTGTAGTTTCATTGTTATAGGCATGTGGGAAATATTTTAATTATTGAATTAGAATATTGTCTTTTCAGCCATGTATGACATGGCCCGCTGATCGCCCATTGACTCGCGCTGCTATTCTGCGTGGTGAAAAAAATGCACCTCAATGTATAAAACTCCCCTACAAAAATGCAATATCCTCATGTGTTTCACTCATTAAACTAATTTTGTATTTACACACAAGGTAGCCACAAATGTACTGGGGTCACTAAAGTTTCTGCTAATCTAAAATTCAGTCCCTGTAGAATGTTATGGCCTGTTGAATGGTATCTTGGAAAATCGTCATAAATCCTCAAATCTGACATTTTTGAAAGAGGCAGATATACTGTGATGTAGCTGAACGTCTACAAATTCTTATCATATGATCGGTTTCTCTGAATAATTTGTGAAACACATGAGGAAATAGCAGTGACGGTGATCCAAGTAATTTCCATCGCCATATTGTATTGGCATTGCAAAAATATTAGGAATTTAAGGTCAATATTTGGTGTAAATATGATCTATGAATATATGATTTAAAAAATGCCCCAAAAATGAACAGTTTGACTTTCCTAATTTGCATAGTGAGTGCACGAATATATAATTAGCTGAAATGACCTAATTTGCATATTTAATGAATATTCATGATTTTATTATATTACAAATGAAATATATATCCATACCTGTCTGATATACATAGGTTTCACTGATGTATCATGTTCGGTTTTGATTTGATTACATATGCGCATATTAATTAGGCGGACTTAGTTATTTTCACAACTTTTTTATATTATGCAGGTTGGCAAAAAATGGCAAAAATGACTTATTTTGTTGGCTTCTGTTTTCAAAACGGTAATAGATACATGAATTTTCTTTTTTGTATTTTTTACCACAAAGATGATATTTTAGTGTCTGATAATTTAATTTATTATTTGTGTCCAAGAAAGTGATGAATTAAGTTGTCAACTTTGTCGAATTATGCATTTTTTGACAATTTGACCATTTCTGGCAGGTTTTTCGGTAATTTTGCGATATCAAAAAAATGGTATAAAATCACAACGCATTGACCGATTTCAATTCTGTTTTTTGTTTTTTGAAGCTTTCATAAAGCTTGATCATTTGCAACCATCAAATAACATGTGTTTGTTGTAATTATTTTTGGTGTGCTATACCTATTTATAGTGCCCTTTTAGAACCTAAAATTGCTATGAAGGTAATTCTAGACCCCAAAATGTGTGAAATTTAGCCAATACGATCATGCCAAAACATGGTGACCGTTAAATAATTATTTAATTAAAAATAACAATACATCACCCGGCTAATTGTGGGTAATATAATCAACACGAAAATGCCAACAAAAAAGCCAACATCGGCGTTGGCTGAAATACGACGTAAAAGGCGTTATTTCGTTTTTTTCAATTTTTTCAAAATATCTAATATTCGTGGTGGTTCGTGACAAGCATTAGAAATTGTTAAATTTCATCCGTCTCTAAACCGATTTTGATCAAACAAAGATGAATTTGTCATTTAAATATTATGTTCTTTCAAATTTGACACTCAGTTTTTCATTATCTCACACACAAAAATATTTTGTGTAGCGCCCTCTGCAACAGAACTCAACTATCCCTTTAAACAAACAGAATCTTGTCACTCCTTGTTCATTTTTCCTGATTGACGTTGTCATATGAAAGGGCAGAAACTCAAATTTCTAGCAATGTGATTTTCTCTTTGAAATTCAGATACCGTCAACCAAATGACTTTGTGGTTTCCTCTCCTCAAATTGATCTTAATCACTCATGCGTGAAATATGAGTTGAATCAAATGAAAGAGGAGGATCAAAGCTTTATGTGTCATTTATTAATTATAAATGTGACTAAGTTATGATAAAACATCGCTAATTCTGGGTTTCGTTTTTTCTGGGACGCCCTGTATGTAGCAGCGCACTTAATGAATTTATAACCTGAGAATGTATTGAGCTAAAAAAGTATGTTATACAAAAATGGACTGTAAAGAGGGAGATATAAAGTGAAATGATTTGATGAAACGAAAGAGAGAGAGAGAGAGAGAGAGAGGAGGGAAGAAATTGGGAGACAGGTGCCAGAATAAATACTCTGACGATTTGGGGATCTGGGAAGGCAGGTAATATGCCAACTCGTCATTATGCATCCCCCGATCCCCCCACCCCATTTGCAAATTTAATATATCTAACTTCATTTTAGTGATAATGTTTAATAATATTCAAACAAGCAAAATAAAATAATAATTTAATTTGCTCTCACGCAGTGTTCTGTACCATTTGGTACTAATTTCATTAAGTCAATGCTTTGTTCATAATATATGTGACTCGTTTGATATTTCAGCTACTCTAGGACCATTCAGTACTGACAACTTCAAAACTGACGAAGAGACAACTAGTAAGATTTGTATTTGCTTTATCTTTTGAATTGAATTTGAATTTAATAACCACAACATATCACAATAATGAGAGTATAATGAACAATCATACAATGCAAAGAATAACCATACACGAATACATAAAGGAAGAGTAATGTTGATTGAACGGTAATGGTTTTAAAACGATATTTAGACATAGATATGAATACTATTTTGTACAAAATATACATATAATTATATGCATTGAAGTTGTTAATGGGGACTAGAAGTTAGCACATGTGCTAGTCGAGCCCAGTTCCATTCTTTGGCAAGATTTTTGTTGAAACGTATGCTTGTAAAACTTGTTTGCTTTGTATTTACATAGATTATATATACAAAATAATACAGTATCAAGTAACTTGTTTACATTTCTAAAAGAAAAAAAGGTAAAGCGCTAAAAAATTATAATGAAAGATAATTAATCGTTAAATGAATACAATCATTGGAATGTTCAAAATATGAAAAGGATGTATTCATAAAAAATAAGACATAAAATCATGTGCGTAGATGCTCAAATCTTGTAAAAGCTTGAGGGCAGAAATAATCGTCAACAAACAAATGTATACACACCAGGGGTAGATACGTAGGCCTGCAAAATAATTATATATGCACAATGATGTGCAATTCATTTTATAGTTCTCATTAATCGTATTCTCTAAAATAAGTTGGGTTTTTTTTTCAATCATATTGGGTTTGAAATTAAGCATGCCTTTTTTCGGGTAAAATGATAGCCAACATTGGGTAAATTCTATCGAACATTGGGTTAAATTTTAGCCAACAAACATGCATGTCTTTTAAAAAAATTACAATGGGTAAAATCTTTCCCGATTCTGTGTACAGTGTAATTAGATTGGAAAAAAATACACCCCCCCCCCAAAAAAAAAGAGAGAAACTTGGATTAGACAGTACAAAAAAAAAAGAGAAGCTAGCTGCAGAGAGAAACTTTGTGGGGCTTCCAAGAGGCAAGACAAAGGGCAGTAGACTGTGTGTATAAGTGAGTGTGTATTGTATTGAAAATAATGAATAAATGAACAAGTTCCCAATGGAAGATTCAAATAACTGACATCTACGATTGTACAGCGAATATACATGTACTTTCCAACCTTACTGACCATTTAATTAGTCATGTATTTCAAGCTTTAATCGGATTCCATTATGTCAACATGGGTGAATATCATAATAACTTATTACACAATTCATTAATTTATGCCTAATCAATTATCCCCTTCCAGCTGCTCCACAACCCGACTCCACCACCTTCACCCCTGTAGGTAAGACAAATGATTGATATTATTAATCTTCGTCACGTGCATTGTGATGATTTCCTTAAAGCCCCTCTGCACTAGATTGGCCAGGAGGGATTAGACCTCCCTCCATGGTCACCAATAGGTGGTTATCTCATCAAATTAGCTCTCAATTAACATAAGAAAAGGGGATCATAGGGGACCAGCGGTCACCGATCAGGCATTGTTTGCTATATAGAGGGCGTAAGGAGCTATAAATAATATTCAAGCAAGCAAAATAAAATAATAATTTAATTTGCTCTCACGCAGTGTTCTGTACCATTTGGTACTAACTTCATTAAGTCAATGCTTTGTTCATAATATATGTGATTCGTTTGATATTTCAGCTACTCTTGGACCATTCAGTACTGACAACTTCAAAACTGACGAAGAGACAACTAGTAAGATTTGTATTTTCAAATGATTTGCTATATCTTTCGAATTGAATTTGAATTTAATAACCACAACATATCACAATAATGAGAGTATAATGAACAATCATACAATGCAAAGAATAACGATACACGAATACATAAAGGAAGAGTAATGATGATTGAACAGTAATGGTTTTAAAACGATATTTAGACATAGATATGAATACTATTTTCTACAAAATATACACATAATTATATGCATTGGAGTTGTTCATGGGGACTAGAAGTTAGCACATATGTGCTAGTCGAGCCCAGTTCCATTCTTTGGCAAGATTCTTGTTTAAACGTATGCTTGTAAAACTTGTTTGATTTGTATTTACATAGATTATATATACAAAATAATACAGTATCAAGTAACTTGTTTACTTTTCTAAAAGAAAAAAAAAGGTAAAGCGCTACAGAATTATAATGAAATATAGCAAATCGTTAAATGAATACAATCATTGGTATGTTCAAAATATGAAAAGGATGTATTAATACAAAATAAGGCATAACATCATGTGCGTAGATGCTCAAATCTTGTAAAAGCTTGAGGGCAGAAATAATCGTCAACAAGCAAATGTATACACACCAGGGGTAGATACATAGGCCTGCAAAATAATGATAATGCACAATGATGTGCAATTCTTTTTATAGTTCTCATTAATCGTATTCTCTAAAATAAGTTTTTTTTTTAAAATCATATTGATTTTGAAATTAAGCATGCATTTTTTCGGGTAAAATGATAGCCAACATTGGGTTGAATTTTAGCCAACAAACATGCATGTCTTTTTAAAAAATTACAATGGGTAAAATCTTTCCCGATTCTTTGTACAGTGTAATTAGATTTGAAAAAGATAAACCCCCCCCCCCCCTCCAAAAAAAAAGGGAAACTTGGATTAGACAGTAAAAAAAAAAAGGAGGAGCTAGCTGCAGAGAGAAAAATTTGTGGGGGCTTCCAAGAGACAAGACAAAGGGCAGTAGACTATGTGTATAAGTGAGTGTGTATTGTATTGAAAATAATGAGTAAATGAACAAGTTCCCAATGGAAGATTCAAATAACTGACATCTACGATTGTACAGCGAATATACATGTACTTTCCAACCTTACTGACCATTTAATTAGTCATGTATTTTAAGCTTTAATCGGATTCCATTATGTCAACATGGGTGAATATCATAATAACTTATTACACAATTCATTAATTTATGCCTAATCAATTTTCCACTTCTAGCTGGTCCACAACCCGACCCCACCACCATCACCCCTGCAGGTAAGACGAATGATTGATATTATTAATCTTCGTCTCGTGCATTGTGATGATTTCCTTAAAGCCCCTCTGCACTAGATTGGCCAGCAGGGATTAGACCTCCCTCCATGGTTACCGATAGGTGGTTATCTCATCAAATTAGCTCTCAATAACATAAGAAAAAGGGGATCATAGGGGACTAGCGGTCACCGATCAGGCATTGTTTGCTATATAGAGGGCGTAAGGAGCTATAAGTAGTGCAGTGGGGCTTCAACTTAAACTTCTGATATACTATCAGAAGATTTAGAATTAATATAAGATTTACAATTCCGACTTCAACTGGCGAATGATAAGGTTTGATCGAAGCGCCTAAAACGTATCATTATCTCTATAGGCAGTGATGGTTAGAAGGGGGAGGTAGTTTCCCCCGTGCTGTAATCGGAATTTAAATTCAAATTCAAATCTTTATTTTTTATTTCAATCTGAATTTTCTCCGATGACCACCAACATCATCCACAGGAGATTTTGTGACGCGCCCTCTGCAACAAAACTCAAATATCCCTTTAAACAAGCAGAATCTTGTCATTCTTTGCTCATTTTTCCTGATTGACGTTGTTATAATATGAAAGGGCAGAAACTCAACTTTCTAGCAATGTGATTTTCTCTTTGAAATTCAGATACCGTCCGCCAAATGACTTTGTGGTTTCCTCTCCTCAAATTGATCTTAATCACTCATGCGTGAAATATGCATCATATGAGTTGAATCAAATGAAAGAGGATGATCTAAGCTTAATGTGTCATTTGTTAATTATTAATGTGACTAAGATATGATAAAAACAGCGCTAATTCTGGGTTTCGTTTTTTCTGGGACACACTGTATACTGAATAGCAGCGCACTTAATGAATTTATAACTTGAGAATGTATGAGCTAAGAGTATGTTATACAAAAATGGACTGTAAAGAGGGATATATGAAGTGGAATGATTTGATGAAACGATAGAGAGAGAGAGAGAGAGAGAGAGAGAGAGAGAGAGAGAGAGAGGGGGGAGAGAGAGAGAAGGGAAGAAATTGGGAGACAGGTGCCAGAATAAATACTCTGACGATTTGGTGATCTGGGAAGGCAGGTAATATGCCAACTCGTCACTATGCATCCCCCGATCCCCCCACCCCATTTGCAAATTATTATCTAACTTCATTTTAGTGATAATGTTTAATAATATTCAAGCAAACAAAATAAAATAATAATTAAATTTGCTCTCACGCAGTGTTCTGTACCATTTGGTACTAATTTCATTAAGTCAATGCTTTGTTCATAATATATGTGACTCGTTTGATATTTCAGCTACTCTTGGACCATTCAGTACTGACAACTTCAAAACTGACGAAGAGACAACTAGTAAGATTTGTATTTTCAAATGATTTGCTATATCTTTCGAATTGAATTTGAATTTAATAACCACAACATATCACAATAATGAGAGTATAATGAACAATCATACAATGCAAAGAATAACAAAACACGAATACATAAAGGAAGAGTAATGTTGATTGAACGGTAATGGTTTTAAAACGATATTTAGACATAGATATGAATACTATTTTCTACAAAATATACACATAATTATATGCATTGAAGTTGTTAATGGGAACTAGGAGGTAGCACATGTGCTAGTCGAGCCCAGTTCCATTCTTTGGCAAGATTCCTGTTTAAACGTATGCTTGTAAAACTTGTTTGATTTGAATTTACATAGATTATATATACAAAATAATATAATATCAAGTAACTTGTTTACATTTCTAAAAGAAAAAAGGTAAAGCGCTAAAGAATTATAATGAAAGATAACAAATCGTTAAATGAATACAATCATTGATATGTTCAAAATATGAAAAGGATGTATTAATACAAAAATAAGGCATAAAATCATGTGCGTAGATGCTCGAATCTTGTAAAAGCTTGAAGGCAGAAATAATCGTCAACAAACAAATGTATACACACCAGGGGTAGATACGTATTCCTGCAAAATAATGATAAATGCACAATGATGTGCAATTCATTTTATAGTTCTCATTAATCGTATTCTCTAAAATAAGTTGTTTTTTTTTAAATCATATTGGGTTTGAAATTAAGCATGCATTTTTTCGGGTAAAATGATAGCCAACATTGAGTAAATTCTATCCAGCATTGGGTTGAATTTTAGCCAACAAACATGCATGTCTTTTTGAAAAATTACAATGGGTAAAATCTTTCCCGATTCTTTGTACAGTGTAATTAGAATGGAAAAGTATACCCCCCCCCCCCAAAAAAAAAAGGAAACTTGGATTAGACAGTAAAAAAAAAAGGAGAAGCTAGCTGCAGAGAGAAAATTTGTGGGGGCTTCCAAGAGACAAGACAAAGGGCAGTAGACTGTGTGTATAAGTGAGTGTGTATTGTATTGAAAATAATGAATAAATGAACAAGTTCCCAATGGAAGATTCAAATTACTGACATCTACGATTGTACAGCGAATATACATGTACTTTCCAACCTTACTGACCATTTAATTAGTCATGTATTTCAAGCTTTAATCGGATTTCATTATGTCAACATGGGTGAATATCATAATAACTTATTACACATTTCTTTATGACTAATCAATTTTCCCCTTCCAGCTGGTCCACAACCCGACCCCACCACCATCACCCCTGCAGGTAAGACGAATGATTGATATTATTAATCTTCGTCACGTGCATTGTGATGATTTCCTTAAAGCCCCTCTGCACTAGATTGGCCAGCAGGGATTAGACCTCCCTCCATGGTCACCGATAGGTGGTTATCTCATCAAATTAGCTCTCAATTAACTTAAGAAAAGGGGGATCATAGGGGACCAGCGGTCACCGATCAGGCATTGTTTGCTATATAGAGGGCGTAAGGAGCTATAAATAATATTTAAGCAAGCAAAATAAAATAATAATTCAATTTGCTCTCACGCAGTGTTCTGTACCATTTGGTACTAATTTCATTAAGTCAATGCTTTGTTCATAATATATGTGATTCGTTTGATATTTCAGCTACTCTTGGACCATTCAGTACTGACAACTTCAAAACTGACGAAAAGACATCTAGTAAGATTTGTATTTTCAAATGATTTGCTATATCTTTTGAATTGAATTTGAATTTAATAACCACAACATATCACAATAATGAGAGTATAATGAACAATCATACAATGCAAAGAATAACCATACACGAATACATAAAGGAAGAGTAATGTTGATTGAACAGTAATGGTTTTAAAACAATATTTAGACATAGATATGAATCCTATTTTGTACAAAATATACACATAATTATATGCATTGGAGTTGTTAATTGGGACTAAAAGTTAGCACATGTGCTAGTCGAGCCCAGTTCCATTTTTTGACAAGATTCTTGTTTAAACGTATGCTTGTAAAACTTGTTTGATTTGTATTTACATAGATTATATATACAAAATAGTACAGTATCAAGTAACTTGTTTACATTTCTAAAAGAAAAAAGGTAAAGCGCTAAGGAATCATAATGAAAGTTAGCAAACCGTTAAATGAATACAATTATTGGTATGTTCAAAATATGAAAAGGATGTATTAATACAAAAATAAGGCATAAAATCATGTGCGTAGATGCTCAAATCTTGTAAAAGCTTGAAGGCAGAAATAATCGTCAACAAACAAATTTATACACACCAGGGGTAGATACGTAGGCCTGCAAAATAATGATAAATGCACAATGATGTGCAATTCATTTTATAGTTCTCATTAATCGTATTGTCTAAAATAAGTTTTTTTTTTTTAAATCATATTGGGTTTGAAATTAAGCATGCATTTTTTCGGGTAAAATGATAGCTAACATTTGGTAAATTCTATCCAGCATTGGGTTGAATTTTAGCTAACAAACATGCATGTCTTTTTAAAAAATTACAATGGGTAAAATCTTTCCCGATTCTTTGTACAGTGTAATTAGATTGGAAAAAGATACGCCCCCCCCCCCAAAAAAAAAGGGAAAATTGGATTAGACAGTAAGAAAAAAAGGGAGAAGCTAGCTGCAGAGATAAAATGTGTGGGAGCTTACAAGAGACAAGACAAAGGGCAGTAGACTTTGTGTATAAGTGAGTGTGTATTGTATTGAAAATAATGAATAAATGAACAAGTTCCCAATGGAAGATTCAAATTACTGACATCTACGATTGTACAGCGAATATACATGTACTTTCCAACCTTACTGACCATTTAATTAGTCATGTATTTCAAGCTTTAATCGGATTTCATTATGTCAACATGGGTGAATATCATAATAACTTATTACACAATTCATTAATTTATGCCTAATCAATTTTCCCCTTCCAGCTGGTCCACAACCCGACCCCACCACCATCACCCCTGCAGGTAAGACGAATGATTGATATTATTAATCTTCGTCACGTACATTGTGATGATTTCCTTAAAGCCCCTCTGCACTAGATTGGCCAGGAGGGATTAGACCTCCCTCCATGGTCACCGATAGGTGGTTATCTCATCAAATTAGCTCTCAATAACATAAGAAAAAGGGGATCATAGGGACTAGCGGTCACCGATCAGGCATTGTTTGCTATATAGAGGGCGTAAGGAGCTATAAGTAGTGCAGTGGGGCTTCAACTTACACTTCTGATATACTATCAGAAGATTTAGAATTAAGAAATAAGATTAACAATTCCGACATCAACTGGCGAATGATAAGGTTTGATCGAAGCGCCTAAAACGTATCATTTTCTCTAAAGGCAGTGATGGTTAGAAGGGGGAGGTAGTTTTCCCCTTGCTGTAATCGGAATTTAAATTCAAATTCAAATCTTTATTTTTTATTTCAATCTGAATTTTCTCCGATGACCACCAACATCATCCACAGGAGATTTTGTGTAGCGCCCTCTGCAACAGAACTCAAATATCCCTTTAAACAAGCAGAATCTTGTCATTCTTTGCTCATTTTTCCTGATTGACGTTGTCATAATATGAAAGGGCAGAAACTCAACTTTCTAGCAATGTGATTTTCTCTTTGAAATTCAGATACCGTCCGCCAAATGACTTTGTGGTTTCCTCTCCTCAAATTGATCTTAATCACTCATGCGTGAAATATGCATCATATGAGTTGAATCAAATGAAAGAGGGTGATCTAAGCTTAATGTGCCATTTGTTAATTATTAATGTGACTAAGTTATGATTAAAAACATCGCTAATTCTGGGTTTCGTTTTTCTGGCACACACTGTATACTGAATAGCAGCGCACTTAATGAATTTATAACTTGTGAATGTATGAGCTAAGAGTATGTTATACAAAAATGGACTGTAAAGAGGTATATATGAAGTGGAATGATTTGATGAAACGATAGAGAGAGAGAGAGGGAGAGAGAGGGGGGAGAGAGAGAAGGGAAGAAATTGGGAGACAGGTGCCAGAATAAATACTCTGACGATTTGGTGATCTGGGAAGGCAGGTAATATGCCAACTCGTCACTATGCATCCCCCGATCCCCCCACCCCATTTGCAAATTATTATCTAACTTCATTTTAGTGATAATGTTTAATAATATTCAAGCAAACAAAATAAAATAATAATTAAATTTGCTCTCACGCAGTGTTCTGTACCATTTGGTACTAATTTCATTAAGTCAATGCTTTGTTCATAATATATGTGACTCGTTTGATATTTCAGCTACTCTTGGACCATTCAGTACTGACAACTTCAAAACTGACGAAGAGACAACTAGTAAGATTTGTATTTTCAAATGATTTGCTATATCTTTCGAATTGAATTTGAATTTAATAACCACAACATATCACAATAATGAGAGTATAATGAACAATCATACAATGCAAAGAATAACAAAACACGAATACATAAAGGAAGAGTAATGTTGATTGAACGGTAATGGTTTTAAAACGATATTTAGACATAGATATGAATACTATTTTCTACAAAATATACACATAATTATATGCATTGAAGTTGTTAATGGGAACTAGGAGGTAGCACATGTGCTAGTCGAGCCCAGTTCCATTCTTTGGCAAGATTCCTGTTTAAACGTATGCTTGTAAAACTTGTTTGATTTGAATTTACATAGATTATATATACAAAATAATATAATATCAAGTAACTTGTTTACATTTCTAAAAGAAAAAAGGTAAAGCGCTAAAGAATTATAATGAAAGATAACAAATCGTTAAATGAATACAATCATTGATATGTTCAAAATATGAAAAGGATGTATTAATACAAAAATAAGGCATAAAATCATGTGCGTAGATGCTCGAATCTTGTAAAAGCTTGAAGGCAGAAATAATCGTCAACAAACAAATGTATACACACCAGGGGTAGATACGTATTCCTGCAAAATAATGATAAATGCACAATGATGTGCAATTCATTTTATAGTTCTCATTAATCGTATTCTCTAAAATAAGTTGTTTTTTTTAAAATCATATTGGGTTTGAAATTAAGCATGCATTTTTTCGGGTAAAATGATAGCCAACATTGAGTAAATTCTATCCAGCATTGGGTTGAATTTTAGCCAACAAACATGCATGTCTTTTTGAAAAATTACAATGGGTAAAATCTTTCCCGATTCTTTGTACAGTGTAATTAGAATGGAAAAGTATACCCCCCCCCCCAAAAAAAAGGGAAACTTGGATTAAACAGTAAAAAAAAAAGGAGAAGCTAGCTGCAGAGAGAAAATTTGTGGGGGCTTCCAAGAGACAAGACAAAGGGCAGTAGACTGTGTGTATAAGTGAGTGTGTATTGTATTGAAAATAATGAATAAATGAACAAGTTCCCAATGGAAGATTCAAATTACTGACATCTACGATTGTACAGCGAATATACATGTACTTTCCAACCTTACTGACCATTTAATTAGTCATGTATTTCAAGCTTTAATCGGATTTCATTATGTCAACATGGGTGAATATCATAATAACTTATTACACATTTCTTTATGACTAATCAATTTTCCCCTTCCAGCTGGTCCACAACCCGACCCCACCACCATCACCCCTGCAGGTAAGACGAATGATTGATATTATTAATCTTCGTCACGTGCATTGTGATGATTTCCTTAAAGCCCCTCTGCACTAGATTGGCCAGCAGGGATTAGACCTCCCTCCATGGTCACCGATAGGTGGTTATCTCATCAAATTAGCTCTCAATTAACTTAAGAAAAGGGGGATCATAGGGGACCAGCGGTCACCGATCAGGCATTGTTTGCTATATAGAGGGCGTAAGGAGCTATAAATAATATTTAAGCAAGCAAAATAAAATAATAATTCAATTTGCTCTCACGCAGTGTTCTGTACCATTTGGTACTAATTTCATTAAGTCAATGCTTTGTTCATAATATATGTGATTCGTTTGATATTTCAGCTACTCTTGGACCATTCAGTACTGACAACTTCAAAACTGACGAAAAGACATCTAGTAAGATTTGTATTTTCAAATGATTTGCTATATCTTTTGAATTGAATTTGAATTTAATAACCACAACATATCACAATAATGAGAGTATAATGAACAATCATACAATGCAAAGAATAACCATACACGAATACATAAAGGAAGAGTAATGTTGATTGAACAGTAATGGTTTTAAAACAATATTTAGACATAGATATGAATCCTATTTTGTACAAAATATACACATAATTATATGCATTGGAGTTGTTAATTGGGACTAAAAGTTAGCACATGTGCTAGTCGAGCCCAGTTCCATTTTTTGACAAGATTCTTGTTTAAACGTATGCTTGTAAAACTTGTTTGATTTGTATTTACATAGATTATATATACAAAATAGTACAGTATCAAGTAACTTGTTTACATTTCTAAAAGAAAAAAGGTAAAGCGCTAAGGAATCATAATGAAAGTTAGCAAACCGTTAAATGAATACAATTATTGGTATGTTCAAAATATGAAAAGGATGTATTAATACAAAAATAAGGCATAAAATCATGTGCGTAGATGCTCAAATCTTGTAAAAGCTTGAAGGCAGAAATAATCGTCAACAAACAAATTTATACACACCAGGGGTAGATACGTAGGCCTGCAAAATAATGATAAATGCACAATGATGTGCAATTCATTTTATAGTTCTCATTAATCGTATTGTCTAAAATAAGTTTTTTTTTTTTAAATCATATTGGGTTTGAAATTAAGCATGCATTTTTTCGGGTAAAATGATAGCTAACATTTGGTAAATTCTATCCAGCATTGGGTTGAATTTTAGCTAACAAACATGCATGTCTTTTTAAAAAATTACAATGGGTAAAATCTTTCCCGATTCTTTGTACAGTGTAATTAGATTGGAAAAAGATACGCCCCCCCCCCCCCAAAAAAAAAGGGAAAATTGGATTAGACAGTAAGAAAAAAAAGGAGAAGCTAGCTGCAGAGATAAAATGTGTGGGAGCTTACAAGAGACAAGACAAAGGGCAGTAGACTTTGTGTATAAGTGAGTGTGTATTGTATTGAAAATAATGAATAAATGAACAAGTTCCCAATGGAAGATTCAAATTACTGACATCTACGATTGTACAGCGAATATACATGTACTTTCCAACCTTACTGACCATTTAATTAGTCATGTATTTCAAGCTTTAATCGGATTTCATTATGTCAACATGGGTGAATATCATAATAACTTATTACACAATTCATTAATTTATGCCTAATCAATTTTCCCCTTCCAGCTGGTCCACAACCCGACCCCACCACCATCACCCCTGCAGGTAAGACGAATGATTGATATTATTAATCTTCGTCACGTACATTGTGATGATTTCCTTAAAGCCCCTCTGCACTAGATTGGCCAGGAGGGATTAGACCTCCCTCCATGGTCACCGATAGGTGGTTATCTCATCAAATTAGCTCTCAATAACATAAGAAAAAGGGGATCATAGGGACTAGCGGTCACCGATCAGGCATTGTTTGCTATATAGAGGGCGTAAGGAGCTATAAGTAGTGCAGTGGGGCTTCAACTTACACTTCTGATATACTATCAGAAGATTTAGAATTAAGAAATAAGATTAACAATTCCGACATCAACTGGCGAATGATAAGGTTTGATCGAAGCGCCTAAAACGTATCATTTTCTCTAAAGGCAGTGATGGTTAGAAGGGGGAGGTAGTTTTCCCCTTGCTGTAATCGGAATTTAAATTCAAATTCAAATCTTTATTTTTTATTTCAATCTGAATTTTCTCCGATGACCACCAACATCATCCACAGGAGATTTTGTGTAGCGCCCTCTGCAACAGAACTCAAATATCCCTTTAAACAAGCAGAATCTTGTCATTCTTTGCTCATTTTTCCTGATTGACGTTGTCATAATATGAAAGGGCAGAAACTCAACTTTCTAGCAATGTGATTTTCTCTTTGAAATTCAGATACCGTCCGCCAAATGACTTTGTGGTTTCCTCTCCTCAAATTGATCTTAATCACTCATGCGTGAAATATGCATCATATGAGTTGAATCAAATGAAAGAGGGTGATCTAAGCTTAATGTGCCATTTGTTAATTATTAATGTGACTAAGTTATGATTAAAAACATCGCTAATTCTGGGTTTCGTTTTTCTGGCACACACTGTATACTGAATAGCAGCGCACTTAATGAATTTATAACTTGTGAATGTATGAGCTAAGAGTATGTTATACAAAAATGGACTGTAAAGAGGTATATATGAAGTGGAATGATTTGATGAAACGATAGAGAGAGAGAGAGGGAGAGAGAGGGGGAGAGAGAGAAGGGAAGAAATTGGGAGACAGGTGCCAGAATAAATACTCTGACGATTTGGTGATCTGGGAAGGCAGGTAATATGCCAACTCGTCACTATGCATCCCCCGATCCCCCCCACCCCATTTGCAAATTTAATATATCTAACTTCATTTTAGCGATAATGTTTAATAATATTCAAGCAAGCAAAATAAAATAATAATTTAATTTGCTCTCACGCAGTGTTCTGTACCATTTGGTACTAATTTCATTAAGTCCATGCTTTGTTCATAATATATGTGACCCGTTTTATATTTCAGCTACTCTTGGACCATTCAGTACTGACAACTTCAAAACTGACGAAGAGACAACTAGTAAGATTTGTATTTTCAAATGATTTGCTATATCTTTTGAATTGAATTTGAATTTAATAACCACAACATATCACAATAATGAGAGTATAATGAACAATCATACAATGCAAAGAATAACGATACACGAATACATAAAGGAAGAGTAATGTTGATTGAACAGTAATGGTTTTAAAACGATATTAAGACATAGATATGAATACTATTTTGTACAAAATATACACATAATTATATGCATTGAAGTTGTTAATGGGGACTAGAAGTTAGCACATGTGCTAGTCGAGCCCAGTTCCATTGTTTGGCAAGATTTTTGTTGAAACGTATGCTTGTAAAACTTGTTTGATTTGTATTTACATAGATTATATATACAAAATAATACAGTATCAAGTAACTTGTTTACATTTCTAAAAGAAAAAAAGGTAAAGCGCTAAGGAATTATAATGAAAGATAACAAATCGTTAAATGAATACAATCATTGGTATGTCCAAAATATGAAAAAGATGTACAAAAATAAGGCATAAAATCATGTGCGTAGATGCTCAAATCTTGTAAAAGCTTGAGGGCAGAAATAATCGTCATCAAACAAATGTATACACACCAGGGGTAGATACGTATTCCTGCAAAATAATGATAAATGCACAATGATGTGCAATTCATTTTATAGTTCTCATTAATCGTATTCTCTAAAATAAGTTGGTTTTTTTTTCAATCATATTGGGTTTGAAATTAAGCATGCATTTTTTCGGGTAAAATGATAGCCAACATTGGGTAAATTCTATCCAACATTGGGTTGAATTTTAGCCAACAAACATGCATGTCTTTTTAAAAAATTACAATGGGTAAAATCTTTCCCGATTCTTTGTACAGTGTAATTAGATTGGAAAAAGATACCCCCCCCCCCAAAAAAAAAAAAAGGAAACTTGGATTAGACAGTAAGAAAAAAGAGGAGAAGCTAGCTGCAGAGATAAAATGTGTGGGGGCTTACAAGAGACAAGACAAAGGGCAGTAGACTGGGTGTATAAGTGAGTATGTATTGTATTGAAAATAATGAGTAAATGAAAAAGTTTCCAATGAAAGATTCAAATTACTGACATCTACGATTGTACAGCGAATATACATGTACTTTCCAACCTTACTGACCATTTAATTAGTCATGTATTTCAAGCTTTAATCGGATTTCATTATGTCAACATGGGTGAATATCATAATAACTTATTACACAATTCATTAATTTATGCCTAATCAATTTTACCTTTCCAGCTGCTCCACAACCCGACCCCACCACCTTCACCCCTGCAGGTAAGACAAATGATTGATATTATTAATCTTCGTCACGTGCATTGCGATGATTTCCTTAAAGCTCCTCTGCACTAGATTGGCCAGGAGGGACTAGACCTCCCTCCATGGTCACCAATAAGTGGTTATCTCATCAAATTAGCTCTCAATTAACATAAGAAAAGGGGGATCATAGGGGACCAGCGGTCACCGATCAGGCATTGTTTGCTATATAGAGGGCGTAAGGAGCTATAAATAATATTCAAGCAAGCAAAATAAAATAATAATTTAATTTGCTCTCACGCAGTGTTCTGTACCATTTGGTACTAATTTCATTAAGTCCATGCTTTGTTCATAATATATGTGACTCGTTTGACGTTTCAGCTACTCTTGGACCATTCAGTACTGACAACTTCAAAACTGACAAAGAGACATCTAGTAAGATTTCTATTTGCTATAACTTTTGAATTGAATTTGAATTTAATAACCACAACATATCACAATAATGAGAGTATAATGAACAATCATACAATGCTAAGAATAACGATACACGAATACATAAAGGAAGAGTAATGTTGATTGAATAATAATGGTTTTAAAACGATATTTAGACATAGATATGAATACTATTTTGTACAAAATATACACATAAATATATGCATTGAAGTTGTTAATGGGGACTAGAAGTTAGCACATGTGCTAGTCGAGCCCAGTTCAATTCTTTGGCAAGATTCTTGTTTAAACGTATGCTTGTAAAACTTGTTTGATTTGAATTTACATAGATTATATATACAAAATAATACAGTATCAAGTAACTTATTTACATTTCTAAAAGAAAAAAAGGTAAAGCGCTAAAGAATCATAATGAAAGATAACAAATCGTTAAATGAATACAATCATTGGTATGTCCAAAATATGAAAAAGATGTACAAAAATAAGGCATAAAATCATGTGCGTAGATGCTCAAATCTTGTAAAAGCTTGAAGGCAGAAATAATCGTCAACAAACAAATGTATACACACCAGGGGTAGATACGTAGGCCTGCAAAATAATTATAAATGCACAATGATGTGCAATTCATTTTAGAGTTCTCATTAATCGTATTCTCTAAAATAAGTTGGTTTTTTTTCAATCATATTGGGTTTGAAATTAAGCATGCATTTTTTCGGGTAAAATGGTAGCCAACATTGGGTAAATTCTATCCAACATTGGGTTGAATTTTAGCCAACAAACTTGCATGTCCTTTTAAAAAATTACAATGGATAAAATCTTTCCCGATTCTTTGTACAGTGTAATTAGATTGGAAAAAGATACCCCCCCCCCAAAAAAAAAAGGGAAACTTGGATTAGACAGTAAAAAAAAAGGGGGGAGAAGCTAGCTGCAGAGAGAAACTTTGTGGGGGCTTACAAGAGACAAGACAAAGGGCAGTAGACTGTGTGTATAAGTGAGTGTGTATTGTATTGAAAATAATGAGTAAATGAACACGTTCCCAATGGAAGATTCAAATTACTGACATCTACGATTGTACAGCGAATATACATGTACTTTCCAACGTTACTGACCATTTAATTAGTCATGTATATCAAGCTTTAATCGGATTTCATTATGTCAACATGGGTGAATATCATAATAACTTATTACACAATTCATTAATTTATGCCTAATCAATTTTCCCCTTCCAGTTGGTCCACAACCCGACCCCACCACCTTCACCCCTGCAGGTAAGACGAATGATTGATATTATTAATCTTCGTCACGTGCATTCGTCATCGGCAGCCTAGCATAGCCGTGTAATGTTGGAGCGCCTTGAGGACCTTTGCAAGATCGATACGTGCGCCATATAAGAATCCAATATTATTATTATCATTATTGTTATTATTGTGATGATTTCCTTAAAGCCCCTCTACACTAGATTGGCCAGCAGGGATTATACCTCCCTTCATGGTCACCGATAGGTGGTTATCTCATCAAATCAGCTCTCAATTAACATAAGAAAAAGGGGATCATAGGGGACCAGCGGTCACAGATCAGGCACTGTTTGCTATATAGAGGGCGTAAGGAGCTATAAATAATATTAGTGCAGTGGGGCTTCAACTCAAACTTCTGATATGCTATCAGAAGATTTAGAATTAATATAAGATTTACAGTTCCGACTTCAACTGGCGAATGATAAGGTTTGATCGAAGCGCCTAAAACGTATCATTATCTCTATAGGCAGTGATGGTTAGAAGGGGGAGGTACTTTTCCCCGTGCTGTAATTGGAATTTAAATTCAAATTCAAATTCAAATTTTTTATTTCAATTTGAATTTTCTCCGATGACCACCAACATCATCCACAGGAGCCAGCGTATCTTGTGGGAGCACGACCATGACGGTTCTCCTCGACCGAGCCCTGCTCGAGAATAACGGTGATGCCACTGACGTCCACTACGAAGACCAGAGTTGTGTCGGGTACGACTACACCGGAAGTCGCATAGCCGTAACCACCAGATATGACGACTGTGATACTGTGTCGGAGGTAAGAAAGGATTCTTAATAACCTGCCCTGTAATGTTAGGACAATCTCATCAAACTTGTGATGTGGGGGGAGCCGGGGGAGAGGCGGGTATCAGAGGGAGAAATGCAGAAGATGGAAATGGTAGTATAGCAGTACGTTTGCATTCCAGAGAACATGTAGGAAACGGTTGCGTATAAATTACCATATTTCAGTAATCAGAGGGGGGGGGGGATGTGGTTTGTTTTCTAATTGGTATCTGGACGACCCGCGTGTTGTACGTTATACTGCAAATAAAATTGTATATATTTTCTTTGACCTACAAACGGGGATGGGGGACAATACCGGCTTTAGTTGAAATGTTTTGCCCTTCCTTAAGCCACTGCCTGGATACGTCACTACTTAGACTCTAAACGCTGCACATGAACAACGCAATATTGTACTGTCCTGTTTCCGAGGACAGGGGGGCAGTTTTCCCTTATTAATTTAATACGATTATTGAGCGAAAACAATTTTATGTGTTCCCTTGCCAGATTATTGAAAGGCCATATATCGACATTATTGGCTATTGCCAACTCAATCTAACTTGATATTTTTGTCATCTTTTCCCAATTTTTCTGAAAGCAAACTGCTGATGTCATCAAGTACTCCAACGTCGTGACGTACTTCAAACCGACGGGTGAAAACGGATCGCTGATCACGCGTGATTTCCGCCTCAAGATCCCCGTCGCTTGCGAGATCAAACGCCGCAGTCTACTCGGTAGCTCCTTCAAGCCCAAACTCGGCATCGTGAGCTTCAGCGAGACTGGTTACGGTAACTTCTCGCTCACCCTCGACCGCTACTCCGACATCTCCTTCACCTCGCCGGCACCCGACCCAGACTCGCTGGTGTATCTCGGGGAGACGCTGTTCTTCGGGGTGACCCTAGACGCGGTTTCTGACCTGACGTTGTTTCTTGACCGCTGCTGGGCAACGCCCGATGTCTACCCTATGAACCCGATCGAATTTACGTTCGTAAAAGATGGGTTAGTATATAAGTCTTGAAGTCAGTGTTTTCTTCTTCTTTTGTTTTTTTCTTCATTTTGTTTTCTTTCTTTTTTTGTGGTTTTATTGAAGAGGTAGGTTTAGATTGTTTGAAATTGTGACCATACAACGTCTAGAAGGCTCTGGTAGGATAAACAACCTACCATTCAATTTTAGTCTCTATTTTTATCTTCTTTCCATTTTCATAATCTTCTCCTTATTTTGTTTTCAATTTCCAGTCATCATTCCGATTTCTACTTCTTTTTACATAATATTTCTAAATAAAGTTGGCCTTTTAAAAAATAAATAAAGTTCCCTGATTCTTCCTCTTCCTCTTTCGAAAATGGCATCTATTTTTTCTGTGCTGTATTAATTTCTACTCCTGATTCTCTGTAGTTATTATTTTCATTTAAAGAAAAAATAAATTATCAGTCCCTTTCGGTAATTCTTACATGTGTTTTTTATTAGTTGCATGCTTTAATTTTGAATTCTATTTTTTTTTTCACAGATGCGGGCTGGATCCTACCGTAGGCTTTCATGATATACAGCGTTTAATTAAGGGATTCTCTATCGATGCTTTTGCTTTCATTGGCGAATATCCAGAGGTAAGAATACGAATCATATCTAATCCGGAATTTATTAACCGGCTGGCTGATTCGCCGATATTGCTCCTTACCACCACCCCCCCCCCCCCCCCCCCGCTTATTCGCCGGTTAATATTTTCTTACGAATTCGACAAAAAAACACCTCCCCTTAAATAATCCTGGATACGCTCTTGATTGCAACAATAATAGTCCAATATATGCACTATAGTAAACCATAGCCACTAATTATAAAAAGAGCTTTCATATACATGATGTGTATTAATGCATTATGAAAAAGAAAACAATTATTGGTAGAAATAATATGAATAAAAGCTGTATTTTCATGATTGACAATTAAAACTGTAACTTTTGATCGTCCTATCATACAGGTATACCTTCATTGTGACGTGCTTGTGTGTGATACCGACCCCGCATCCCGCTGCTCACAGGGTTGTGTAACCAGGGCCAAACGTAGCGCAGCCGGGCAGCCTCGGGGTTCGAGCTCCAAGCCACACACCATCTCTAACGGACCCATGTCTGATCAAGTTGCTTTTGGTTCAAGCTCAATGAGTGAGTTGCACTCGAAAAGAGTGGCGTTGATAACACTATCAGAACAGTGTTATGATTGGCTTCTAAACAACAAAGCACACCTCCCCCCCCCCCCAAAAAAAAAAAATAAATAAATAAATAAATAAATAAATAAATAAATAAAAATAAAATAAAATAAATAAATAAATAAATAAATAAATAATAATAATAATGATAATAATAATAATAATAATAATAATAATAATAATAATAATAATAATAATAATAATAATAATGATAATAATAATAATAATAGTAAATAAATATTTTTTTTTAAATTTAAAAAAATATATATATAATATAAATACAAAAATCAAATAAAGAGGGGGGACGGGAAATGGGAAAAGAGAAAGGCAATTTCATAAAAATGGATATTGTTACAAAAAAAAGAACAGTAACCAGGTCTAACTGATAATCAGTTTTTTCCTTTTTCTAATATACTACAGTAAATTACTGTATTAACAAAATATGGTAACGTAACAGAATCTCTTAATAGTTTTGTTGAAATAGCGCAGACTTCGTGTCCAAATTTAAACTATGAAATTAATGTCAAACAACAATCATCGTCTCTACGTTAACACGTATTGCTGTCATTTTCTATTAGCACTCGTTCAGAAATGTACGGAACGAAAGAGAACTCATTTACGAACATTCAGAGTGGAGGAGAATAAAAACTGTTACTTAAAAAGCACCAAGTTTACTAATTGTTTTGCTCTCCTCCAGACACATCATGGTTGGCGAACCCAGTCAACATGATGCTGGTGGCAGCCGCTGGTTTCTTCATCACCATGGTTGCTATGGTAACGGTGAAAAAGTTGAGATCACATACGAAAGCCTCCAAAGGATACAGCCGTCTGCAGACTGAGGGTGAAATCGAAGCTTAGAACGAGGAGAAGAAAGAAGAACGTGGAGAAGGGGGAGGAGGAGATGAAAGAAGAAAAACGAGAGGAGATGATGAATGATGATAAAGATAAAAGAAGAAGACGAATGAGACATAAAGTTTATGACGACACAAGCTTTTCTGGTCATTTATTCAATATCTCGCAAATGGCATATATCTCGAATATATCATGCATGTCATTTTAGAGTAATATGGAATTTATAATTCGTTTGTTGAAACAAATATATGATCATGATTATATGCATAATTATTTCGACAATAAAAAAGAGACGTTCCTTTTCAGTTAACCTCTAGCTTTTTATAAAGAAAACTTTTATGAGTACGTCGATGATAGTGACACTTCTGGCTATGAAATTATTACAAACGATTGTAAATGCTCAAGTTGGTACACCTCCTGCAAGAAGGTGGAAACTTATAACTGAAAATTAAACTCGGTAAAATGTGTTGATGTTTATACTGTTCTCTAATGCGTTCCAGATGAAGTTCAAGAAAAAGCCGATTGAGCAATGTATTTTTGCATTTATTGTAGGCCTACTTCTCATTTTTTTTTATTTATTCTTATTGTTGGTATACTGTACAGTAATATATTAAAATGATTTTGAATCTCTTTATCCTATCCTACCACTATGTATCCCTTCTTCTTTCCCATACTTTTCCCCATATTCTCTCTCTCTCTCTCTCTCTCTCTCTCTCTCTCTCTCTCTCTCTCTCGTTCTCTGTCTTTCTCTAGCTACTTCTTATTCCCTCGCTCTCTACTACCATCTTTCTCACCACTTTTTGACACTGTTTTACTGCATCTATACGCATTTTTTTCGACGCTGATGAAAAAAAGTTCTATGCCATGATGTTTATTTTCCACTTGGTAGGATGCTGCCATTGCAATTATCAGTCTGCTATTGAATTGTGCTAAGTAAGAGTGACTGCAATATCGACGTTGAATAAAAAACAATTGTTATTATCCATATAGGCCTACATATTAAATATGACATTAAATTTCTTTCGAAGAAAGCGATGTATAAAAAAAAAAAAAAAAAAATCTTCTAAATTTGGTGATCTGTTTTCGCCTTTTGTAATCGTTTCATCATTATGTGAAAATATCTCACTGGAAAATAAAATCTATCCGAATTGATGATTAAAGAGACGTCGTTCAATGTGTGTATGTGAGAATGATTTTTTTAAAGCTGTGTCACTTAGACTCCTTATTTATTTCCTAAGAACCAAAAAACAAAAACAAACAAACAAACAATTAAAGAACAAAAAGTAACTTTCAAGCAAGATTATTGTTCATGGTTATAGTTTCTCTAATTAATTTCATTTATTTTCTTCTGAATACCATAAAAATATAAACAATTATAGAAAAAATGAAAAGAAAGATAAAATATCAAATTATCATATTATCAAAAAAGATGTTGTATTGCCCTTTGCGACCTTTCCAAAAATGTTGAAATCTACGGTCGGCTTTTTTAAGCATTATCAAAGCATTATAAACTGAGAAATACCACCCATATTTTGGCACCTAAAGGGCAATACAACATCTTTTTTTGTAGGCCTTATTTGAAAAAGAAAGACTGCCATTGTAAGCAAATTGCTTGGAAATATGACAGCCCAAAACAAATTGTATTGATTAGTTGAACATATATTTATTGAGCAGAATGGAAAATATTGTGATGATGTTGATGATGATGATGATGATGATGATGATGATGTACTTTAATACAGCCTAAACGGGTCTCTGTTCTCTTTATATTAAAAAAATGAGAATAGAGACAAAGGGCAGAAGTATTATCAAATCAATGGAGAATCGTCGTATTTTAATATGAGCTTTTGCAATGATCGACAGAAAATATTAAATATATTAATTAATTAATTATATAAGGCTCCTTTCTGTTACTAAAATAGGAATAGGAATAGGAATATAAACTATTATAAAAGATTCAATAAAATGCTTTCCAGTTTATTTAAGACATGTAATCAAGTGGAAATTCAAAAAATTGGGAATAAACAACAACTATTATTTTGAATTGGAATCAGAAATTGCGTAAACTAAACCTCATAAATAAAACTTGGTCATTCACCTTCCAAAAAGTGGAATGTTCCCGAAATGAATACCAATGAGACAAATGAATTAATATTAAGAAATATATATTCACGATTAAAGAAAGGATTCCGGGGTGACTACATCACAAGCAAATGTAGAACAGCACGAAATGAGACATAACCCTAAATTTATTTTCTTCAAATGATGAAGAATGTGTCAAATTCTTAGAAGCTGTTTCAAAGGGAAGGGTCTTTTTTATGATTTAGAATGGTTCAATATTAGAAGGGGGGTAGTGAGCACATTTTTTTTTTTGGCCCTCGAAAGTGTGCACCCTTCCCCCCCCCCCCCCCCCCCCCCCCCCCATCCGGATCCGCCACTGAGGAGAACTATAGCGCTTGGAGAGGATGAGTGGCGGGAGTTGGCTCGACGATTCGAACAGGTTGACTATCCGTCGTCAGGAGTCGTCAATCCTCCCCCACTCTCTCACATGGTGCACCCGCAAGCCTACTGTATTTGTTTTGTTGTAGGTATAACTTCATGCACCCAACAAACGGCAGTATCACTCCTGATACTCCTGAATATGACCTATATACCGGAATCGCATACGCCTGCGACGACGGGTATACGTTAGGAGGCCCATCCCCATCCGAAGCGGTCTGCGAATCGGGTAGGGGTCTGGAATCCGTCCACTGTACCCACTTGCGAAGGTAAGTTCTGTGTCATTCTGTATCTTTTTAGAGCACAACCTAACTGTTAATTAATAAATGTCACCCTCTAGCATATCTGGAGGAACCTCAATCTTCGTTCTCATCACTGTTAAGTCTTTTTGATGGTCTTTCTTTTGTTTTTTATAATTATGTAACACATTTATTATGTAAACGGAACCTTATTCACAAGCATAATGCTTCTAAGGTTTCCTCCTCATTACTGTACATTAAGTAAGCATCCTTTGTACTATTTTAATGACTTGCGTAAAATCGTTTATATAGCTTTAATACCACCATCTATCGAATAAATTGATATGTTTTGTTAACTTGTATATGCGTTAAGTTGTAAATTCTTTTCATATGCAGTTAATGTGGAAATAAAACCTAAATAACAAAATAAAAAAGTCATGAATTAGAGGACATCTTACAAGAAAATTAGAAAAATATGATAATTTGAAAATAATTTGTTCAAGACACTGTCAAATACAAAATACATCTTAATACAAAATACCCCCAGCAATCTATTTCATGATTATCGCAGGATTCATAAAACGCAGTCTTTCTTTTCCAGACACAAATCAAACAGAGCGTTTCTCACTGATAAGGGACTTGATAGATTAAATGATACTGTACTATATGAGAGAGAGAGTTAAAGTCGAAAGCATTCCAGGAATATTTCTTACTATATGAGAGATTTCATGTTCTAGTGGATACGTCAGTAAGCCGACTGTGGATCACATGGTTTGATGTTCCAATTCCACCGCGGCATGTCATTTGGCACGACATTAATCTGCATTATTGTTGTTGTTGTTGTTGCTGTTAAATGTATTAACATTTGTATTGTTATTACTATTATCACTATTATTATTTTCATTACTGTTATTTTTGTATTATTATTATCATTATTATTATCATTATCAGTATTATCAGTATTATATTTCAATGTGCACCCTGGGCAAGCATGGCCCGCCGGAGGAGAGGGGCTACCTCAGGTCAGATGAGGGATCTATCCGTTGGACCTGTACGCTGGATCAAGGAAGACAGCAAGAAGGTTATGGATTTAGAGATGGCTGTGGAGGATGCAGGTATGATTTTTATTTAGCATTTCCCCTTCTGTAAGCCCCTAAGATGAATTTTATCAATCATTTTGTTTTTTTACAAGCTTTTACTCCGTCCTGAAAAGAGGAATAATGGGCGTACTTTTATTCCTCTTATTATATTTCATTATTTTGGCAGAGAGTTTTAGTGTCAGTCCGTGATATTTTTTTTCATTTGAAACTAGAAAAAAAATATATAACTTTGGATCCCCGGGCACATGAGGTCATTGTGATGACTTGATGTGATTATATCGCAGATAGTTTACATGTTTCTTGTTAAATACACTAGTTGAAATTGGAAGTAGAAAATAATATCGGAAAATAGTACATCATAATGATTGTTAGAACTACAAATAAAGGTTTATAATTATCCACAAAAAGTACATTTGTGGATGGAATCCTTTTCATGATTTCAGCAGGTTACTGTTACAAGGTCCCAGTTAAATCTAGAAGATTGAAATTACCTCATGACCTTTCGACACACACAAAAGCAAAAAGTTAATATTTTCTCTCGAAATTTGTCCTCTTGAGTTCCAACATCTGAGCTGATCGTTAATATTTTAAGAGGGTTTAACACTCAACAATCTTTTGATAATCATTCACGCCTTTCATTCAGCGATCATTCACTTACAAGGTTCAAGGTTCATTTTATTTCTTTCTTTCACAACATTTTTACATATAATAATAGAACAAAAAACAGCATAAGAAAAAATAATTTAAGTGCAATTTTAAGTCGATATATAATCCAAATGAAAGAAAGTGGAGACCTTAGAAAAGCTGGGCTTGTAAGAGCAAGTTCCCCATATAACATAATCCATCAATGTTTCACTTTTATAAATGTTTCAAAGTTATCAAAACTACACATGATTAAATATGGGGGAAATATTTACAAAAGGGATAGCTTGAAATTTGAAAAGGAGAGGATGAAAATATATACAAAGGGATCGAGAGGAAAAAAGCAAACTGGAACGAGAAAAACAACAAAACAGAGAAAAACAGAGAAAGAAGAAAGTTATATGTATATAGGGGAAAATGGTATTTGGTGTAAAGAAAAAAAATAGAAGAGAGGAGGGGGAAGAGAGAATGTGAAATACTGACATTTATATTGGCATTTCACACATGATTTCTTACTCATTACTCTACTTCCTATTCGCTTCACTTATCATCTTCTCTCTGTCCCCTTCTCTCTGTTTCTGTCTCTGTCCCTGTCTCTCTCTCTCTCTCTCTCTCTGTCTCTCTCCCTCTCTGTCTCTCTCTTTCTCTATTCTAGAAATACAAGGTGTGGATTCAGCTGATCAGGGTGCCCGGCCCTGGATGACAGCAGTAGCTGTCATGGCAACCGTTATGGCGGCAATGGTTGTGATGATTATCGTGCTGGTGAGGAGGAACAGACGACAAACTTCTCGCTTCAACTAGCTTACAACACGATACTGTCCCATGTGTGAGAATAATGCACCATTAACTGAAAAAGGGAAATGATCTGTAGTAAAGAAATGTGGTGCATTAAACGCTTTATTTAGATTTATGATGATATGTAAGTTGTGCTTTTATGATAGTCATTATGAGTTTGAGAAAAGAAAGATAGAACAAAAAAAACTTAATCTTGCGAACTCCAATCATATCTGACCTGTTTCTTTTCTTGAAAGAATGTAATTTTTTCATCAGGTTTTATTTAATATACTGCATGATGAGGACGAAAATTATGATACTGATGATGATGATGATGATAATACTAGTACTACTGTTACTACCTATAATAATGATGATAATATCATTAATAATAATAATAATAATAATAATAATAATAGTAATAATGATAGGCCTATAATAATATTAATAATACATACAACAAATAATATTATAGATTATCCGGGCTATGTTAATTTATATTTCATACCGGAACTCATGATAAGTTTAATTTCTATCTGCAGTAATACTAAATTACAAACTATAAAAAAATACCTTAGTACCTTCTTACTTATCGATTTGATGTGTGCAAAGACATCACTAATTATAATGTAGATACTCGGTGTCTCTATTTTCTTATTTGCGCTACGATATGATAATAATTGTGAAAAATCAAGAGAATTTCATTTAGGAAAACAAAATAGCTTCCTTATTCGAAAAATTACAATCGGGCTATGTTTGTTATTATGCTTATTTTTTTACATTCCTTTTGCAAATGAATTCTGTGATACTCTACACAGAATATTAAAAGGACATTAGTACAAATTCAAACATAATTATCACTCTTTCGAGAGCTCCTTTCGAAACAAGTTTCAAATCATATCGAAAATGT